AATTCTTCGAGTAAGTAACTGTGGTAAAGTATCGAAGTTTATTGGACCTTGTTTACTGCTATTTCTGGCTAGAGGAAGAGTAGCCCAATTTTCAGAAAACTGCAGTTTATAAAATACTGTTTTGTCGGATTTGTACATTAAACATTTTATTTCGGTAACTACTAGATCCCCCTTTTTGTTCCCTGGACGTATTGATTTGAAAAAATGTATTTTAGAAAATGATTTGAAAAAATCAAAAGTCAAATACTCTACATAATAAGGCTCCTTGGTGCATGCAGTTTTGGAAATAGTGACATAGTCTGCCGGGATATTGATTTTTTTATTTCGTACCTTTCTCTCAATAGTGGAGTGCATTGAATCTACTTCCATCTGAGTGTGTCCTCTTAGTAAGTATTTTTGAATAATAGTAACACCTGACAATATACATAAATTCAGCAATGCATTGGATAATGTTGTGTTTCGGTTCTGATATGTGCAACCATCACTATACAAAATTATATTAACTCCTTGTTGTTTTGCAGCATCTATTATAAATTTTTGAAGGAAATGTATAATATTATTATACTAAACTCATTAGACGTCAAACCTCCTTCAGCTTCATTCCATAAAAAGCAATATCCTTTTTTTCTTTTTAGGTCATAAATTGTGAAGTTATGTACAATGAGTTTGGTGAAGACAAATTTGATTTAGGACATAACAAAACTGATTGCAAATCCATCGTAAATACTTCATTAACTGATTCTTTGTCAGTTTCCTTTTCTTCTCTTGCTTCTTTTTTTTAAGACATGTAGTTCTTTTTCTTCAATTGATATATTACCAGTGTCAAATGCTGTACACAAGTCGCATGCATCTTTCTTTGGTTTGAATAATGAAATATTATTTTCTTCTAAGGCCATATCAAATATTGTACAGCTCATTGGGATAGTATTGTGAGAACTACAAAAATCATGACAGTAAAAACTGTATAATGCCCTTTTTGTCAGCCAATTTGGTTCTAAATAAAGTTAGCCTGGAATTTTAAATTTTGTGTTGAGAGTAAAATGAGTTTCAGAAATAAGGGCTAAGTCAATTCTTTTTTCATTTAACGTAATGATTAGTTCGTTTTTGTGGTTTTGTAATCCATTGGCGTTCCATAGTAGGATGACTAAAGATGAATTAGTGAGAGAGTTATTTGGCATTTTGAGTAAGTAGACGATCGAGAACCGTAGTGAGAAGGGATAGCAAGGGGTTTATCAGTGCTTTGAATTCATTTATGAAGTTTGAGAGAGTCGCGTTTTCATTATTGGACGCATTAGGATTTTGGTCAGATGTGACCTGAGCATAAGAGTGAGTTTGGTATGGAGAAGGGTTTGATTGTGTTGGTTGCTGTTGGGTAGTTTTACATTCATTATTATTTATACTTACATTTCCTTATGACAGTTGAGTTTGAGCTGGCGAAGTTTGGTTTGAGATTATTTGTGGTTGGTTTGCGGGAACGTTGGAGCTGCTTATACACTTGGCATCATATGTAGTTTGCTGGGTGGTCACATTGGCACAGGGCACATTTGGCAGGAGTCTCGTATGATTAGGTACAGTTGCTGGTTGGATGATTTTCACCGCAGCAGACACATCTAGGCTGGTATGAACAGTATTTTTTTGAGTGGCCGTAGTCCTGACAATTTTGACATTGAATATCTCTTCGTTTATGTGGCTCCCCTATTTTTACTTTGGTATGGAGTAGGGATATTACATTAAATATATCGTTATTGATTGGGGCTGGTTCTAGATCAACAAAAAACATTGGCAGTTTGTCCTTTGTTATTTTCTTGAGTTCGTTAGTTACTTGTCGGAACGAAAAACCTATTTCTTCAATAGCTATTCCTATTTCGTCTGTCGGTGTCGATGGATGTAGGTTACGGATAACTATTCGGAAGGCTTTATCCTCTTGGGGTTGGTATGTGTGATATTGCAAATTTTTATCTTTCAGATAGTGTATTAATTAACGGTATGACTCTGGTTCGGTAGTTTGTATTTTTAGATCGTTTGTTGACAATTTGAAGGAGAAATTTTCTGAACCAATTAGCTTAATTAATTGGTTGCGAAGTTCGACAAAATCTAATACACCTCGGACAAATATTGGTGGTGGGAGTTTGATTTTATTACTAGGTGAGTCATCAGTGATTTCTGCTACGTTTCCTCGGGAATAGTGAGAACTATTTTCGTTATTTTCATTCTCTGTAGCGAGCGGCGAATATCTGTTAGCTGTTATAAAAATAGATTTATTTTTTTTTAGGTTCTGGGTTGTCGGTAGATGAGAGGTTTCGTTTGGATGTAGATCCCGTGGTAATATTACTTGGGATTCATCTATTTCAGCTGATGAATTAAATACGTTACTTGATGCACTCTGTATACGACTTTTTGTGAGGCTATTTTGAGATGTAGATAGACTGGGTATTGATTGACTTGATTTACTTGGTTTGTATTTGTTGATAGGTGGTTTCGGAGCCATTGTATGTATAGATAGTTAATGACAATGCGACGCGATAACGGTGTAGACTAATGACCGCCGGCTGTCCGATAGCCGGTGTGGTCGTGTGAGTAGATAATTGGTAATTTAATAATTATAAATTCTCAATTTTTTTTAAATTATCGACAAAGTTTAGATTTTTCGATGTGTTTAAAAACGGGTTAAAGTAACACGGATTTTTACGGAGCGATGTACAGAACACGTGTGTAGTGAACGGTGTACGCGGCGCGACTTTTTTTTTAGTATAATTAAACTAATAATTATTTATTTAGGACTACAAGCAATTTGAATAGTTCGATTGTAAATGAAGAACGTTATATAAATGGAGACATAGATTCAAATGATAAAATTCAGGGTATAAATGTAGATAATTCTCAAAATGTAAATGATGAAACAGAAGAAATATTAGTAGAAGAGGGAATTGTAGATGGAATAGGGAACCAGGTTCAGAATACACAATCATTTGAAAATAACAATACATCTGAAATTAGCCAAATAAAACACCCCAAAAAAGCTGAAGTACAGTTATACAACCTTATAAAAAATAAAAAAGTTAACAGCAATAATAATCCGACACTTCAGATGTTGAAGATAATGAAAGAAAAAGCAGCTATAAGAAAAATGAAACAAGAAGAGAAGATCATAAAACCGAAAGTTCCTACTGTATTCGAAAACATGGATAAAACTGACATATTTTTTCTGAGTATTTATAAAATGATGAAACAATTGCCACAAGTAGAACAGGCTAAAATTAAATTATTATTAAGTAACTCTGTCTTACAACCAGAAATTAGAAATACTAGTACCCCAACGGTTTCTCTACCTATTCCTTCCCCAAATATATCTGAAGTAGCTTAAATTCATTTATTATTGATGCATACGAAATTATAGATTTTATTGGTTCACTTAATGACAAGGCAAGTATTGGGCCCGATGGAATTCCTACAATTTTTTTGAAAATGTGTTGTCAAACTCTCGTTAAACCTTTACATTATTTATTTAATTTGTCTCTATCCAGTGGAACATTTCCTCTTTGTTTCAAAAAATCTTTCATTTCTCCCATACATAAATCAGGTGACAAACAAAATGTGAAAAACTATAGACCAGTTTCGAAAATGTCAATTTTTCCAAAAATGTTTGAAGCCATTATCACAAAAAAATTATTAAATTTATTGTGCAATAATATAAGCTTTTCTCAACATGGATTTGTACCAAAACATTCGATTCAAACTAATTTATTATTATATCATAATTATCTTGTAAAAGCTCTTGATCGAGGCTTCTAAGTAGATACTATTTATACGGACTTTCAAAAGGCGTTTGATAAGGTGAATCATAATTTACTATATCATAAATTAAAAAATCTTGGGATAGGTGGGAACTTCTTACAATGGCTATTTTCGTATCTTTCTAATCGTACTCAAGTTGTTAAAATTATGTCTTATGTTTCTGATGATTATCCTGTCTTATCAGGTGTTCCTCAGGGCAGCCATTTAGGTCCTTAACTATTTTTAATTTTTATTAATGATCTCCCACTAGTCCTTGATTGTTCTATAAACATTTTATTATTTGATGCGAAGATTTTCTGTACAGTTAATTCCTTAAGTGATGCTGAATCTCTTCAGTATAATCTTAATAAATTTTATTTATGGAGTAAATTAAATTTATTACCGTTAAATATTGATAAATGTCATACGATAACATGTACATGTAAAAAAAATAATATCTTTTTTAACTATAATATTGAAATGTGTTCCCTTACTAGAGTAAATGTAATCAAAGATCTTGGTATTTATTTTGAAAGTGATCTTTCTTTTAAAACGAACCATAATATAATAATTAATAAATCATTTAAGGTGTTAGGCTTTATTAATAGAAATACTAAAGATTTTAAAAATCCGTTATGCTTAAAAACCTTATATACATCTTTAGTTAGATCCAATCTTGATTTCGGCTCCGTAATCTGGTCATGCAAATACTTGAAATATATATATGATTTGGACAATGTACAATATAAACTTTTAAAAAGGATTTCATACTTGTCAAATATTCCATTATCTAGTGACTCTCTCCATCTAACTCAAGATTATATTGGCCTTGTTTCTCTTTCACTTAGATGGAAATTAACTGATAATGCATACAAATATTATCTTTTATTGAAAACACATATGCATATATTATATTTATAAGATGACAGTATTTTCTTTTAATTATGGAAATTATATCACTTATAGTGATTTGTCAATTAAAAATACGTGTAGCAAGGAAAAGGCAATTTATACAATTTAATTATTTGGACTCACGGTTTCCTTTTACTAATATTTGAATGTATGTGGTAGGTAGTTGAATGGTAGTTCTATTGAACAGCGGCTGGATGAGTACTTCCTCGACTCGTAGACGGTGTTGAACATACTGGCGAGTGGGTACCAAGTTGGAAAGAAATGTCCAAAAGCTTATATTAGATGTGAAGACAAGGTGGAACAGCACTTTTTATATGCTTGAGAGATTTTTAATATTGTCTAAACTCGTTTCTGATGTTTTTCTGCAAAAACCATCAGGTCCTGAAATGCTCACAGCAAGAGAGCTACAACAATTGCGTGAAACAATAAAATTACTTCGTCCATTTGAGAAAGTTACTCTGGAAATATCTGGTGAAAAATATGTAGTTATCAGTAAAAGTACGCCACTTTTGAATTGTGTTACTATTGAAATAGAATCATTACAACCTACGTTGGATATTGGAATTGAACTAAAAAGAAACATTATTACAGAATTGAAAAAACGGTTTAGTAAAATTGAGTTTTTTATTATGTTTCCTATACCTACAATTTTAGACCCTAGGTTTAAAAATTTACACTTCAGAGATCCTGTAGCCTGTCAAAAAGCCATAGTAGAGCTAAAAAAGTTGGCCAAAAGTTCAATACAGGAAGCAAGCTCGACTGATTGTTCAAGTGTTGACGAAGAACAGCAATCTGATAATTTTGATTTATGGGAACACTATAAAACATTAGTACATAAGAAATATAAAAGAAAACAAACAAGAACAGATTTGTCAGAAACCACCAATGTAAATGCCTACCTATCACAGCTTTTAATTTCTTTAAAAGAAGATCCAGTTCAATGCTGGGAAGATATGAAAACTGTGTATCCAGATTTATATGTACTTGCTCAGAAATATTGTCGTTATTCGTCTGTTAATTATGAAAGATTATTTTCAAAGGCTAGTTTAACGCTTTCAAAATCAAGGAATAGACTGTTAGGAAAGAGATTGAGTAAATTACTTTTTTTAAACTCCATTGATGATGATCTTTGGTTTCAAACTTAATAAATGTTAATTTTGTTACATTTTTTTTTACTAAATTTTAAATGATATTTAAAAAATTAAATATACAGATATACAGTATACAGAAATATATAAAACTTGCAAATATAATTTATTAAAATTGTTATGTTTTTATAAATAATATTTATAAAAACATAACAATTTTAATAAATTATAAACTATCTTGTAATTCTATTAAATATATAGGTACATGCTTTGATTAATCAATTTGTTGGTCATTAATCCTATAGTAAGTATCGATTACAGATTATGGCCTCGGACTACGGTATAACTGTATAAGGTTTTATTGAAATAAATTATAATCTATCATCTATGCGACTATGCGCGAGTCTATAAGCCTTTTACCTTTTTTAGTATTAGAAAAAATGTTCCGATATATATCGATGTATCGATAAAATAGTAGTCGATATATCGTGGTATCGATATTGGGTATGCAATACAGTAGAATCCGCTTATTTGGGACACCGCATAAAGGGGACAACCGCTTAATGGGGACAAATTGTCATAGTCCCGAACCGATGTATAAGTTAAATGCAATTTAACTTCGTTTATCCGGGACAAACCATCGGTTATAAGGGACAAAAATAAAATTGTTTAACTAGATATTTTGGCCTAAATTATCTACTTTCTTATCGAAACTGTAATTATCTAATCTTTACGGCTCTATTATATTTTATATACGCACGTATATGTACATGTAATGTACATACAGGTAATATACGTATATCTTACTTCAATTATGTCAATCATTTTTTTTTCTATTACCACGATAAGAGTCAACTAGCCTACGTACAAAATCGAAAACCTTTAGTTCACGTTATTTCATCGATGTGTATTAATGTATGTGCGTTTTTATTAATCCCAGTTTGTGTTAGTACGTAACAATATTATGTCTCGTAAAGATTTAACATTGATTGAAAAAATGTCTATACTGGATAAAATTAAGGCTCAACCTCATAAAAGTCTTCGTGAGTTAGAGAAATTAATAGGCACGTCTAAATCGGTACTAAACCGATTGAAAAATAATGAAATAGCTATTCGTGAACAATATGAAAAATTAAACGACAACAAAAGTGCACCTGTAAACAGAAAAAGAAAACGAGAAGGCAAAGATCCCGAAGTAGACAAAGCTATGAACGAATGGTTTTCTGCTGTTACAGAACGTGGTGTTCGTATTTCGGGCCCCATGTTAGAGCAGAAAGCTGAATATTTTGCTCAAAAAATTGGACATAGTGATTTTAAGGCCACAGAAGGTTGGATAAGTCGGTGGAAGGATAGGCATAACATTAAATTCAAGCGATTTCACGGAGAAAAATCTAGTGCTGATACAAACGGTGCTAATGAATGGTCTTTAGCTAAATTACCGGAAATTCTTAAAAAATTTTCTCGTCAGGACATTTATAATTCCGATGAAACTGGGTTATTCTACCGAGCGACTCCGGATGGTTCTTTATGCTATAAACGTGAAACACTTGAAGGATCAAAAAAAGCTATGGATCGCATAACAGTTTTATGTTGTTGTAATCAGTCTTCGTGCGGCGTTCATCGTAACAGGTAGTGTGTACACGGGCGATTGTAAACTCCACCGATTTACAGGTAGTCGATTTTAGGGTTGGATTTGTAACATGTAAATTCCACCGATACATTTTTTTTACCTGAAAAAAAAATGTAAACTCCACCGATACGTATTTTTGACCCGAAAACACGTAAACTCCACCTATGGTAAAATCCACTAATTAAAACTATATGTATAGTGTATACACATCAACTTTCGACTGACTTATCTTAAACTTCATCTTAACGACCGCAGATAAAATCATATCGCGATATCGCGAAACGAATGCATTCGATAAAATATTTTCGAAGACACATTTTAGTGCGTCCGTTGATTTCAAAATGAACACATTAAGTGAATTAACCAGTGAACGTGGAAATATGTTGCTTTGTTTGAATAATTTTAAATATTACAAACAATAACAATAATAATTATTATTTATAATTATAATTTTTCTATTTTTTTCTATTTGATTTTTATATGATTTTTTTTTAAATTATTGTTAATTATTATTAATAATTATAGACTTTTCTATTTTTTTCTAATTGATTTTTATATGATTTTTTTTTTTAAATCATTGTATTTAAATACATAAATATATTATAATAAAACTGCACCCACATAAATTATGTAATCTTAGTTAATCAAATTGGATTTGGATTACAATTTAAAAAAAAAAACGTACCAGTGGAGTTTACATTTTTTTTTCAGGTAAAAAAAATGTACCGGTGGAGTTTACATTTTTTTTTCAGGTAAAAAAAACGTACCGGTGGAGTTTACATGAAAAAAGGTCTAAAAAGGTCGCAATCGGTGGAGTTTACATGCGCCCGTGTACACCTATCCCGCTCGCTTATCTTTACCGTCGCGCGTGTTTATAAATCAAAGTTCAGTGTATGGTGCAACATGGCAAAAACCAATACTTCCCAACATTCGGGCCACAAACGTACTAGTAGCGCGGCCCTGTCTCCGCGGCTAACCAACAAAAATAGATACACACCAATCGCAAATCATGAAGATCAAAATGTTGATAACCTCGAAGAAGAGGACATGGATCTCGAAGAGGTAAAACAAAAAATTCCTCCACTGTATATATATGAAATCGATGATTACATTATGTTCCTTGATAAGATCACACCTATGATAGTAGACAATTTTAACATAAATAATAAAAATGTATTCTTGAAATTAAATCTAACAACTGTCGACGACTATCGTACAATCACCAAATACCTATCTGAAATTAAAATAAAATACCACACTTATCAACTTCCCGAAGAACGAAATCGATCAGTTATAATCAGAAACATGCCAACTTCCATCCCTGAAGAAACAATATTCAAGGCCCTTGTTGAGCTAAAATTCAATGTCACATCGGTCACTCGTCTCCAAAACCGTTACAAATCCCCTATCCCAATCGTAGCTGTCTTACTAGACAAATCGGAAAAAAATATTTTTTCACTTGATCGCCTACTACACTGCGTTATCGCAGTTGAGAGCCGCAAAAGCGATTCGTCCATACCACAATGTAAAAACTGCCAACGCTTCCAACATACAAAAAATTTTTGTAATCTTCCCCCTAGATGCGTCAAATGCCTAGAAAACCACCATTATTCTGAATGCACCAAAGACATAAACACCCCACCTACATGCGTCAATTGCAATGAAAGTCATCCTGCCAATTATCGAGGTTGTAAAATTTATAAGCAAATTAAAATTAAAAATAGCTCCAAACGTTTCAGGAACGCTCCTAAGCATATAATGCAATCGAGCAATTTAAACGATAATAATAATACTAAAACCCCAGCCTATACTGTCGATCACATAAATACCCAAAATCAAGACCCAATCCAAATAACTCAAAACTTAAGCAACTTACGCCGAAAAAACAAAAAAAAAAAACTAATCAACATCAAAAAGAAGAAATCAACAACTCAAATATCACTAACGAGCTTATAAAGTCATTAATGCCACTAATCAGCTCACTCATCTCACAGATTATTAAAAAAGTTATCGAAAATCTACCAGCTCTATTAAATAATATCAATGTCGTTTAATAATTTAAATAATATTAAGCTAGTTATCATTAATTGGAATGCCAATGGAATTAAACAAAATCGTAACACATTTGCAGCGTTCTTATCAGCACATAATGTCGATATCGCGTGCGTAAGCGAAACACATCTAATCGCTAATGACAAAATTAAATTTAATGGGTACACCACTTATCGCAAAGATAGGCTAGCGGTACGACCATCAGGCGGTGTCGCTATAATAATTAAAACAAAAATTGAACATCAACAATCATATCTACCTACATTGAAAACTCTTGAAAGTAGCAATATCTATTTCAATAAATCACTCAATCACAACAATAATTAGTGCTTACCAGTCACCTAGCTTTCAAATGTACACAAATGACTTTGACAAAATATTAAATAGCTATCAAAGAATTTTGCTAGTTGGTGATCTAAACTGCAAACACACGACTTGGAACTGCAAAGTTACAAATGCAAACGGACGTAAATTATTCAATTATCTCTCAAACAGTTCCACGATAATGAGTGCTCCAGATACACCTACCTACTTCCCATATGATCAAAATAGAAATTCTGATATATTAGACGTAATTTTACAAAAATCGATTCGTTTTTCCATTCACCAAGAACCACTATACGAACTCGATTCAGACCATTTGCCTGTAAAAATTACAATAGATGCATCTCTATCATTTTCAACACCCACCCGTAAACTTATCACCGGCAAACCAGATTGGGAAAAATTCAAACAACATATCACTCAAAATCTAATTATTCCCAAAAATATTTTGAACATTCCCAATGCAGATAATGCGGTAAAACATTTACGCGAAATCATTTGCCAAGCGGCCGACACATGCTCAGCAAAACAAAACACCATAACAAATTACAGTCCTAATCAACTTCCCCATACAATATTAAAATTAATCAAATCAAAACATCAAACGAGGAGACTCTGGCAAATACATAGACTACCACAAGATCGAAAAAAATTAAATTATCTAACAAAAAAGGTTAAAAACTCACTCGAAGAACACAGAATTAACTGCTATCAAAAATATTTATCTACAATCCACCCTGCTGACTCTAATTTATGGATTGCAACCAAAAGATTAATCAAACCGAATACCAATGAAATCCCCCCCCTTAAAAGCGGGAGATGCTTATCTAAATACAGAAGCTGATAAATGCGAATTGCTTGCTCATACTCTCGAAAATGCATTCACTTTAAACAGCTCACAAGATAACTCTACAAACTATCTAGTTCAACAAAAACTTAATGAGCCTGATATTCAACCACAAAATATTTTACCATACTCAAGTCCTAACGAAATCTTAAATATAATCAAAAATTTACCAAAAAGAAAATCACCCGGACACGATTTAATCACTAATACTATCCTAAAAAATATTCCCAAAAAGGCGATATCATATTTATCCATCTTATTCAATTCCCTAATAAAAATTGGATACTTTCCTACAGAATGGAAATTGGCCACAATAATACTGTTCAAAAAACCAGGTAAAGATAATTCTAATCCCAGCAATTACAGACCTATAAGCCTACTGTCCTCAGTTTCAAAAATATTTGAAAAAATTATTCACTTAAGGCTTACTAATTACTTAAATGCAATAAATGCTATCCCTCATTTCCAATTTGGATTCAAATCAAACCACTCCACTGCTCAACAACTTCTGCGACTAACGGAGCATATAAATGATGGATTTGAAAAAAAACTACATACAGGGGCAGCCTTCTTAGACATAGCCCAAGCCTTCGATCGGGTCTGGCACGACGGACTTTTATATAAATTAAAAACATTAAACACTCCAACCGCAATATATAATCTAATTAAATCCTACCTCTCCGATCGCTGCTTTAAAGTTCGAATCAACGATACTACATCGGGAACAAAACAAATTAACGCAGGAGTACCACAAGGTTCAAAAATTTCACCTTTACTTTTTAACTTATACGTCTCGGACTTCCCTACAATAAATAATACTGAAGTAGCACTATACGCTGATGACAGTGCTATGTACTCAAGCGCCAAAGACACCGAAACAATAACCCAAAATATTCAAGCCCACCTGAATGAAATTCAAAAATGGGGAGATAAATGGAAAATTATGTTAAACCCTCATAAGAGCACTGCGGTACTCTTCTCCAACCGACGCCCGAAAACTCCTGGTAACTTAAATTTGTGTGGTAATAATATTCCTTGGTCACCTAAAATAAAATACCTAGGTGTAGTTCTGGACAGAAAATTAACTTGGAATCCACATATCACCTCCAAACTACAACAAGGATACCAGAGGCTAAAAATACTATACCCATTGATCAACCGACAAACTGCTTTAAGCTGGAGATGTTCTCTTTTATTATATAAACAAATTCTACGACCGTTACTTCTATACGCAGTCCCTGTGTGGGGAAATTGTGCAAAAACCCACATCCACAAAATACAAGTTTTCCAATCAAAAGTTTTGAGAACCATTTCTAATGCTCCATGGTTTGTACGAAATGATGCACTTCACAAAGATTTTCAGCTACCCACAATAACAGAGTACATAAAAAAATTAACTATCAACTTCTTCGATCACATCAATTATGCTCATAGTGCGAAATTTTATAAGCTAAGTGACCCACCTTCTGTACGCCGACTCAAGCGTGGACGCCCACACGACCTATTGTTATAACTATTATTTATTAATATATTATTATTTTTGTTTTTATTTTTTTTTTTTCTTCCGTTTTGTAAATATTTAAAACGTAGTCGATAGTTTCTATTTTTACTAATAATTTTTCTAATTATTACTAATTGTTATATTTTTTCCAAATGTTAAAAAAAAAAAATGTATCTAATCAACACTAAGTTAAGATGACATATGTCAGTAAAACTTTATTTAATAAAAAAGTAAAAAAAAAAATGTTGTTGTAATATGGCAGGCACAGATAAAAAAAAACTGTTGATAATTGGAAAATCTGCAAAGCCAAGATGTTTTAAAAATATAAAAATAACAAACTTACCTGTTTCTTATTTATCGAATAAAAATGCATGGATGACAGCAGAAATATTTACATCGTGGTTGAAAGACTGGGACAAAGAGCTTGGAAAACAATCAAGGACAATTTTATTAATTGTTGATAATGCTGGACCACATCCAAAATTGATAGATTTAAAAAATATCACACTTGAGTTCTTGCCTCCAAATACTACTTCTCTCGTTCAACCACTCGATATGGGGATCATTAAGAATTTAAAAACTCATTACCGTGGACTATTGGTAACATACATTTTAAAGGCTATTGAAGATAATTCAGTAACTCCATCTACATGATATCAGTTCTAAAATAAACATTCTACAAGCAATACAATTTGTCGCTGACAGCTGGAGAAAAGTGTCATCTGTTACGATTCAGCATTGTTTTGCACATTGCGGTTTCAGACCACTGATTGATCTACCTATTCCTCCTATTGTTTCTATTGAAAATGACGTAGCGCAATGCGTAGAAAATGGGGAGCTATTTATAAAAATTGATGATGGTGTGCAGTGCTTCAATGAAAATGAAAATTACGATAACATTCTCGATGAAATTGCTGAAAGAAGTCTGCAAAATGAAGAAAGCGATGACGATGACTATGAGGTTCAGCCCTTCAAAATTACAACAAGAGAAGCAGAAAAGTGCGTTGATCAGCTGAGACTATATTTTATGCAAAATGAAAACGGAAATGCACCAACAACTTCGCAACTTCGACGTTTGTGCAGATTTTATCAAAAAACAAAGTTTTGATAAATTAAATCAAAGAACAATGGACGATTTTCTGCAGCCTAACAAAATATAAATTAAGTATGTTAATCAATTAATGTATCATAAATATCTATATTCTATATGTAATAAAATAATAATTTAATTAATTTACGATATAATAATACTAAATAGTAAATATGTATAATGTACAACTGCTAATAATACATATGTAATTTTTAAATAAAGTATGATTTAAGTGTGTATGTATGTATTTTTTAAATAAAGTTATTATGTATGTATATTATATGCACTTTAATAATTTCGGTTTATTAACTAATAACTATTCGGTTAATCGGGACAGTCGGATAATGGGGACAAATAGGTCACCGCCCGATGTGTCCCAATTAAGCGGATTCTACTGTATATCAAAATTTCGATATATCGATGGTCAACGATTTTTTGCCATAGCTAGTACCAACGGCAACGTTATTCACGTTATTGTATTGACAGACGGCAGCTGCGTTGATAGTGTGTGTGTGCGTGCGCGGTAATGACAGCGTGTAGGTACCGGCAACGGGTTCATTATTATTGTCGTGAACGATTTATGACTATCGGGCGGCGGTTTCAGCTCGGCGCTCTCGATATATTTTTATAATTGATACGGGCGATCGGTCGGATGACGACTTCGGTTCTATTCGCGACACGATGCGTATTTGAATTATGAGGAGTGTGTACCTATAGCACGATAATAACGAACACGGCTCTTCGCTCAATGGTAACGTCTATTATGTTGGCTGTACACTCTTTAGGGATAAGTTTATGTGTACTGTCTGGTCTGACCTGGGTTAACCATATCCTAGGCCAGTACACATAATAAAACAATAAAACAAAATTGTGACGGCGCGGGGATTTTGACCACGGCGGCGGCGATGATAGAACGATATTCGTATTGTCTGGTTTGACCTGGGTTCACCACGTCCTAGGCCAATACGAATTATACAATAAACGGGGTGCGGCGGCAATAAGACGATATTCGTACTGTCTGGTCTGACCTGGGTTAACCATGTCCTAGTTCAGTACGAATAGGCGGCGGCACTAAAAAACGGCGGCGGCGGAAACGATGCTGGTACTGTCTAGTTTGACCTAGGTTAACCACGTCCTAGGCCAGTTCAAGCAATAACTACAAACGGGAAAGCGGCGCGGCGGATGTAGAATTACGGTGGCGGCGACATTATTTATTCGGTCTAGTCTGACCTGGATTATCCTAGGCCCGAGATGAATATCGTATATTTAACTGGAGAAGCGAGAGTATCGGGTGCTATTCACGGGGCCTATTTGGTGACTGTCTCAGTGGCCGCCGTGAATAACAACGATGGTTTTGGATAGTGCGTTTTGAACATTTTTTTCGGGTTTCACGGAGTGCTGAAGTAGTTATTGTGTGACAGGTAGCATTGGTGATAGTCTTTTTTGTATTGTACATCATTGGTTTTGCATATTAAAGTGTTTAATTATGCTTAATCAGCATAGGCGTGGCCAGACTTTCTTGTCAAGTGTTGCTAAAATGTCACAAAAGTTAAAAAGTTCCAAAAATTAAAAATTTTATTTAATGAGTTGTTTATATTATCATTTAGATATTTTTACAGAGTAGTAAATGGTAATTTATATATTTCTTACATTATAAATAATTAAAAATATTAAATAAACTAATTAAATTAAACATATAAAAAATTGAAAATTATACATTTTTTTTTTTTTTTTTTTTAGCATTATAGGCCATTTAGGCCCTTTGCTGCCAATATCAAATTCTTCCACTCTTCTCTATTATATGCATACATTAGGTCTCCATGCCAATCTGGTCTTAACTCCTGGATATCTCTTTTGACTGCATCTATCCAACGCTGCTTCGGTCTGCCGCGAGGTCTTTTCCTGTTTAAGTTGTTTACAATTACCTTCTTGACAATACTATTATCCGCTCTCCAAACGTGACCAGCCCACTCCATTCTAGTGCCTTTTACAAATTGTACTATATTTCCTTTTCCATATAATTGTTGTATTTGTTCGTTTGACCTTCTCTCCCACACTTGGGTATCAGGATTATATACGGGACCATAGATTTTTCTTAACAAATTCCTTTCAAATATATTAAGTTTATTCTCATCTCCTGCTGTTGTAGCCCAAGTACAGCATGCATAAGTCACAACTGGTCTGAGGTACGTAGTATATAGCTTCTCTTTATTTTTCCTAGATAATAGTTTTGACTTGAACAGATGTGACATAGCAAAGTAACATCCATTCCCAGCTTTTAAACGGAGTTTTATTTCATTATGCATACAGTTTCTATTATTTATGTTGACTCCGAGATATTTGAAGTCATGTACTTGTTGAAATGATATCCCATCGACTTCCAAGTCTGAATCATCTTCATTATCTCGTGCTTCTCTTGTCATGAACATATATTTGGTCTTCTCCTGGTTTATAGACAGCCCTATATGTCTGCATACTTTCATTAGATCTGACATACTGTTTACAGTATCTTGCTTCGTATCACCTAAAATTATTATATCATCCGCATATGCTAGTAGGGTATGGTTCTCATTTAATTCCATTATCTGTCGTCGTGGCATTCTCCTTAACACACTTTCTAACGCTAAGTTAAATAATACAGGTGATAGTGCATCACCCTGTCTTAGTCCTTTACCAACTTCAAAAGGGTCTGATAGCTCTCCTTGTACCCGAACCACACATTTTGTGTTACTGTTGCATAATTTTATTAAGTTAACTATTTTATTTGGAATACCTAGAGTTGTTAGGTTTTTCCATAGTTTATTCCGAATTATACTATCGTATGCTTGCTTGAAGTCTACAAATACTAGATGGATATTTTTATTATATTCGTAATGTTTACTTAGTATTTGTCGTAATGTGAATATGTGATCTATCGTTGACTTCCCCTTCCTAAATCCACACTGGTAGTCTCCAATCATTTGCTCCGATACATCTTGTATTCTTCGTAAGAGACATATAGACAGAACCTTATACCCAACATCTAGGAGAGATATACCTCTATAATTTTCTATGCATTTGGGATCACCTTTTTTAAATATTGGACAGATAACTGATGTTCTCCAATCGGTTGGAATTTCTTCTTTACGCCATATCATAGATATAAGATTAAATATACCATCCGTTAGGCTTGGGGCTCCAAGCTTTAGTAATTCTGCGCAAATTCGGTCCTCTCCAGCAGCCTTATTATTTTTAAGTGATTTAATAATTGATTCTATTTCTGCTCTGTTTGGTTCTAATTCTTCATTTCTCAAGTTGTTGTTTGTGGGTTCCCCCCATTCTTCGTAATATTCTCCTTGGTTAAAATTATACATTAAAAATATAAAATAATACAATATTACAATATCAAACGTCTGTTGTGAGGAATGATATTTTTGAACTCATCAATTATATTATCATAGTCAAGTTCTGATAATAGTTCTTGCTCGACAAACATTAGTAATAACGCTTCAAGTCTATTTTGTGTCATAGTATTGCGAAGTTTTGACTTGACAATAGAGAGTTTAGAAAATGACCTTTCACAAGAACATGACGTGACTGGAATGACCAAAAATTTCATTAAAACATCATAAAAATGTGAAAAAATGTTTTTTCGATCTAACTGCTGTAACCAATCTAACCATTGATCAATATTTGTTGTAGAAGATCCACAAGGAATGTCAGTAAATACTTTATTGAGTAGTTTAATATTGTCAACTGTTGGACTAAGTTGCAAAACATTACCATATTATCATATTAATAGGTTTAGTAAGTGATAAGCCCACTTATCATATTATCAAGTGCTACATTAAAACAGTTAATTTTTATTTCCTGTTCCATAGTTTCATGAAATATTTGAGATGAGCTATTTTTACTATCCAACAGACATGAGACTTTTCTTTTACGGACTTCTGGAATACTTATATTTTCCAAAGTACATGACTGAACGGTTTCTTTGTATAAATTGTTAAAAAATGAGTCATCTGACCGAAAGTTTTGAAGTGTAGTATTCAATGAAGTAATTAATGAAATAGCTGATAACAAATTAAGTTGTTTAGCCTGAAGATTTGCACTTACTTTTACGATTAATTTTAAAATTGGATACATCATATTTAAAGAAAAAATAAAATTAAACGATTTCATTTGCGTTATAATTCCTTTAGACTTGGCCCTAATTTCAGGTAGTTTTGTGTCCTCATAGATATTTTCCAGCGCTTTAACTAAAGCAGTGTAGTTTAATTTAATAGCTTTTAACAGCTTCATATCTACAAGCCCACCTTGTAGTTTATAATGACTTCAGAGTAACTAATTTTGTATTTACTTCTTTTGCTACTTTTTCAAGTACTGCATGCCGTGTAGAGCTCCCTTCTAAAAATGCATAAATTAATTGAACAGTACCGAAGAAATCAAAAAGTACTCTGTTTTTATGTCCAATTGAATCTATTAAAACTAAATTTAAGCAGTGTGCGTAACAATGCACATAGAATATGTTTTCATTTTTTTCTTTACATTTTATCTGAACAAAATTATGACATCCGGCCATAGCCGCTGCTCCGTCAAAACAAACCGAAATTACAGACGACCAAGGTATTCCAAAGTTTCCAATACATGAATTTAATGAATCAAATATTGACTGAAAATTGGTAGACATAAGTCTTAATAGTCCTACAAAATACTCAACTGGCCTATTTTTATTGGAATCATAGCATCTTATGACGATAGAAAGTTGTTCATGGTGACCACAGTCACTTGTTTCATCTGCCATAATTGATACAAATTTATTTTTGAAAATAGCAGATAATTTTTGTTTTAATACATTGTTTATAGATTGTATTATGTCATTTTGAATATAATTGCTTGTATATTGCGCATTTTTGGGGCCATTTTCTAAATGATTTTTTGTTAAACTATTATATTTTTTTAACAAATCAGTTAGTTCAAGAAATAAGCCTTTGTTATTGCTTTCATCTTTCTCATTATGACCTCTAAATGGTTGACCAGTTTTTCCTAAGAAAATTGTGATGTCAATGAGTCTTTCCATGTACTTGCGATTAATTAGACGGTCGGCTTCGCGTTTTTTTAAACTTAAATTTTTAGCGTTGTCTAAAACTACATCAATAGGCTTTCCAGTCAAGTATTGATGTAACGATGTTGAACTAGTTAAATGGCATTTTGATAATTGATGTTTATCCAACAATTTAGTAGCATTCGAAAGCCCTTAGTAGTAAATGCAGAATCAAGTTGACTAGAGTTAAAATTATTGGATTTGAAAAATCTACATGAAAAACAAAACGCTGCATCTTTAGCAATACTGTATTCAATCCAGTTGTACTTTTTAAAATAATGAGCATGAAAACTACGTTTTTGCTTTCCACTTTGTACACGGGGATAAATAGGAAGTACGGGTTGAAATGGTCCTAATTCAATTCTTGCTTTTAATTCAGTTCTATCTTTTGGGAGTTCATTTATGGGATCGTTTGGATCATAAAAAGATGATTTATCTGAAATAGTGAAATAAATAATTTGTTGTTATTTACCTTGTAATAGGTACTAATTCAATAATATTAAAACTTTACATTAACAATGTATACAAAAAAATAAAAATTCTAAAATACAATGTTCAAAAAATAAGTTTTTTTTAAAATTATTACAATTTAAATTTGCCAAATTTTTTTTTCTTCATTTTTGAAAGTTCCCTATACTTAACAAACAATATGTACAGTTCAACAAAGCAAATGCAAACATGAAACAATATAAAAATTATAACATATATTAATCCCAATTTTAATTAACTACATACCTACCTATTAGTTACTAAATATTCATACATATATTTAAGTTGAAACATTTACAAATATTTTGTACCTATAAAATATATAGTGTACATCAAAATTAAGATTAGTGAGTGGAGATGATCCACATCATGGAGTGGCAAATTTTTTACTGAAATGTATACATAGACTTTATTTAGGCATATTTATAGATGAGTGGAATATAAAGTGTTAATAGTTTGATATTTTAGGAAACAAAAAAGTAGTGGTCAGTTTTTGATTATTTATTTATTTATTTATAAAAACACAGTTTTAAACATAAAATATAGGTTAGTAGGTACTATAACATATAAATACTGCAAACAGTACAAACATTTAATAAATAACACAATATATAAACAGCCAACACAGTTTTAAACATAAAATATGGGTTAGTAGGTACTATAACATATAAATACTGCAAACAGTACAAACATTTAATAAATAACACAATACATAAATATTATCATAGGCATTTATTGTAAAATCATTTTTTCTTCAGGCATTTTTATAAAAAGTAATATTTTACTTTACCTGATAACAAATAATATTATGTTGTTAGTCACATATAAATATATGTTAGAATAATGTATCATGTATGTACCTATACTTGATTGCTCATTAGTAGGCATTGACGTGGAGGTGGAACATTCTAGATCTTGCTGGAATACGTTAATATCGGTCGATCCTAAAATAATAATTATATTTCTAAAACATTTTCAACAGCTATAATGAATAATTATATAATTGAAATAAGTAATTTACTTACCATTATTGGAACTAGCACTTGTAGATTTTTTTAAAGAAATCTAGAATTGTTTTATTACTCATTTTATGTTTTCTTTGTATCACAATTCACAAAATAAATACTCATTAGTCATTACACAATACGCAATAAACTTGAAGAGTCCGCTGTTCGCACGTGTTTAATTATTTATCAAATGGTAAAAAATATGTTATCATAATTCTATCATAAATGGTGGAGAATCTGTCATTTATCATTATATCGTAAATTCGTAAAGATAATAATTATATCGTCGTAAAGATAATAATATACAAAAACTACACTATAACAATCAGTACCACGCATGGATCAAATACTTATATTATCAATGCCCAATGATAACAAGGGAAGCATTATCAATAATTGTAATAGATATTAAAAGTCCACATGATGAAAATCAAAAAATTTAATATGAAATCAGAATCTAAGAAAAAAAGTGTATACCTATTATTATGTACCGCAATTTATAATGTAAGTTAGATCAAATTTCGCAGGTCATGCCTGTGCATGACAGGCAAGACCCGTAGACACGCCTATGAGTATACTAGTATGGTAAATCATCTAACAAAAGTTCAGGTGTTGCTATAGCCTATAGCACGGACTAAGATATACAGGACTGGACACGACAAGGTTGGAGGGTGTGGGGGGGTTGACTACGAAATGTTTTACAACAGGCAGTGTTCGGGGGGATATTTTCCTTTTAGCATTACTAGCGCCGTCCTAGTGGATACTTATGGAACTAGAACACATCATACAAATTTCTAGTTCCATAAGTATCCACTAAGACGGCGCTAGTAATGCTAAAAGGAAAATATCCCCCCGAACTCCGCCTGTTGTAAAACATTTCGTAACCACAATATTCATCTCGTGTCCAGTCCTGTATATCTTAGTCCGTGGCCTATAGCATACCCAGCAACACCCGTAAACACCTATGTTAATCAGCGTAAATGTGTGATAGGGCGAGATGTGATGGTGGATGTGCGCCATCTGTTGCGTCTTTCAGTCATCTCCTCACGTACGCAGCTCGATGTAGTCACATGACACATTGTCGTCGGGCGGCGGCGCTGCAGTGCCCGGCGGCCGACAGAATTATTTTGCTAATTGATCACTGTGCGCGCTGTTTATGATGTATACAGCAGTTATTTAGCGAACATTAGTTATGGGTACATTCTGTCTCGTTACACGTTACTATAAAAAAATATTGATTGATTAATATGAAAAAAAAAAAAAAAAATGTTTATAATGTAACTATAATATTATATATTTATTACTTTTATTTCAGAGTTATTTTTATATTATTTTATCTGTTTTTGTTAGGTTTTACTGCACTTATTTAGTTTTTAGTTTTTATCTGATATGTTTCCTTTATATAAGGGTATATACTCGTTGATATACAACATAAAAAAAAAAAAACCTTGATAATATAATTTAATAAATTAAATAATAATTGTAATGTTACAAACTAGTTATAACTACTTTAGGCACTGTTTTCAAAATGAAAATAGGCTGACAATCTTATCATGAATCTGACGATGAAATTCCACTAAGTATGCGTGTAGAGTGTTTTTATGGAAAAGATGGGACAAAATGGAATCGTCGTAAGCCAAATCTGAGAACAAAAAATCCAAGTTACAATAAGATAACTGAAAAACCAGGTGTGACTAATTTGGCAAAAAATGCAAAAACTGAAATTGACGCGTGGTATATTTTTTTACGGGTCCTATGATTGAACATATAGTGTTCTGTACAAATATATATATCGATAAAATTAAGTCAAATTTTACCAGAGAAAGAGATGTAGCTCATACAACCACACGGGAAATAAAAGGTTTACTTGGTTGCTTGTACATGATTGGTAAGTAATAATAATTTATATTATAGTTTTATAGTTATAATAATTATAAATTTGTATACGTTACACATCTTGTAATAAATTATTATATGATACTGCCCTGCTAAGAAAAGTTCCGTAAAAACCTATATAATATTATAATATTATTATATAGAATTTTATTGTGTAATTATTTTCGTCAGTCGTCGTCGTTCTTATCGTTGTATTTTGTTATGTTATATTATATACATAATATATAATATATAGGTAGTTATTTATTTATTTTTTTATCATATTTCTGTTATTAGGTGCAATAAAATGTGGTCATAGAAATGCACGGGATTTGTGGAAATTAGATGGAGTAGGTGTAGATATTGTATCATGTGTTACGTCAGAAAAACGGTTTGAATTTTTATTGCGATTTATACGTTTTGATGACATAAGAGGACGCGAAGAAAGAAAAAAATTTGATAAAATAACCCATGTGCGATGGTTATTTGAAAGTTTTATACTACAGTGTAAACAGTCATATAGTTTATCCGAGTTTGTCACTATAGACGAAAAACTCCAAGCCTTTCGTGGTCGATGTTCTTTTAGGCAGTACATTCCGTCCAAACCTGCTAAATATGGTATAAAAATTTTTGCTATGGTAGATAACATTTCATATTTCACCAGTAATATGGAAATTTATGCCGAAAAACAACCTGATGGTTGTATTGATAACAGTCCGAAAAATGTTGTTCATCGTTTGATACAACCTATTAGGAATACAGGAAGAAACGTGACAATCGATAACTGGTTTACTAGTGCTCCGCTCGCAGATGAATTACTGAATCAAAAACTTACCTTACTTCGTACCCTTAGGAAAAATAAAACTCAAATACCACAGGAATTTAAAATCACGAAAAATCGCCCTGTATTTAGTTCTTATTTTGGATTTAGTGGAAAAAAAGTTCTAGTTTCATACAAACCTAAAAATAACAAAATAGTATTACTATTATCCACAATGCACAATGATAATTTAATCGACAGTAGTACAGGAGCGGCAAAAAACCAAACATGATAACGATGTATAATGCAACGAAAGGCTCTGTGGATACAATGGATAAGAAAACCGAGAATTACACTGTTGCACGGCGGTGTATACGTTGGCCATTAGTAGTTTTTTATTCAATGCTAAACATCGGTGGACTAAACGCACAAATTATTTTCCAAAAAAATACTTCAATAAGAAAAACAAGACTTGTATTTTTGAAGACATTAGCTCGTCAACTAATGCAAGAACAAATGGAATATCGTTTGACACTGGATTGTTTGCCAAAACAAATAAAATTAAGACTAAATGAATACTGCAACATAACAAGACCTAACGTGGGGGAAATACAACGTGTACAAGCTTCTGGAAGATGTACTTTTTGTGACCGCTCAAAAGATCGTAAGGCTACAAAAGTATGTACTAATTGCGCAAGGCTCATTTGCAGAGACCATATAATAGAGACTTGCCCTGACTGCTTTGAGGCTTCATAGTTTTAATAATTTTAAATTTTAAGGAAATAAAAATTATGTATTTGTAAACAAAGATTATTAATTATTTTTTTTTTTATTAAAATTTGTAAAACACGCATGTAAATTAATTAATATATACTTAATTAATTTTATAAGAAAGTTATTTTATAAATTGTAATTTAAAATCTGCAATAAATAGTCAATAATAACTGAATAATGTAAAGAAAAAAGTGTTTTTATATTAACGGAAAATAATTACCCCACGCGCGCAACTATATGGTCTGATACCACGCGCCATGACTAAATAGATAGGTATGATCACAACAAACTGAATTTTCTTCAGTCTGCGCAGAGAAGGGTGGGAGTCTTCCGCGTCTCTTGATTGGCTTATACTGTATGGCGCCTTTTTTGTATTTTCGATTGTAATTGCATTGTTCTATACTTTTATGCATATTTGGTTTTCGTCTTTTGTCATTTGATATTAATCATAACCAATTACCACTGATGCGTTATTAATTTGTAAAAATTTTAATTTTGTAATTTTTGTTCGTACATAGTTATTTGTTACAGGTTTAATTGTGGTAAAGGTATCAATATGCCAGTTTGTATAGTCGAAAATTGTTTTAGTGGCAGTAAACGGAAAGGGTTATTTTGTGACCATAGACATAGATTTCCTAGAGATGTCGGAATGAGAGCTTTGTGGGTGAAAAAATTCGAAATGCTTCAAATGTGATCAAAGAGATTAACTGTGATACTGGTAAATTATTTTTGTATAAATTGAATAAAATGTTTTTATTAAGACCTGGCGTTAAATGATAAATTATTGAAGGATCGGCTGTATGATTACATATTAATTAATTTAACTGATTTTATTTTAGCTGCCGTATGTTCTTTACATTTTTCTCTAAATTCATACGAAGAAAGAACAAATGTGCAAAATATGTTGGATTATTCTCCAAAATGTGGGAGAAAACTAAAACCTACTGCTATCCTTTTTAGGTTGATTTCAATTTAATTTTGTGATTTTTGTATAAAGTTAAACAATTTTCGAATATAAATTAATGTTATTTTGTTTATTTAGTGATGGAAATCAATCTACTCCAATAAAAACTCCAGCTGGATTATTTTCTGTGACCAGTTCAGCTGATGAATCTAAAAGGTATATATATTTAATAAGCTATATTTTTATTATGTTATGTATATTGCATTATAACCACAGATAATATTATAATGTGGTATAACTTACAGTAAAATACTAATCATTTAGAATATTGATATATATTTTGTTAGTGTTGAATCTGTGTTCAGGCGAAAAATATCATGCCAAGTTGATTTGTTTGGTGTATCGGACACTATACCTGGTGTCAAATGCCTTGAAAATAATGAGCCAGACTTATTTCAAAAGTATATTTTTACGATATTTGTGTTTTGTCTTCTGTGATATTTTTAATATTTAATGCTTTTGTATTTGCATGAGGTATAAACAACAACAAAATAAATGAATATCCGTTATGACAAGTACTACCAGAACGGCAGAACACTGAAACTTACTCATTCTTAATAAAAAAATACTTGTTCTTGGTCGTTCAGGGATAGTTTATTTTAAATAACCTGTTTGATTAAGAATTTGTGTTTGATATTGAGATATCTACTTGAATGATAATTAATAATTAGTTTTTACATTTTGTAATTGATATTATATCCTTTTTTATTGTTCTTATACTATTGTTATATATATTTTTGAATATAATATGTAGACACTTATAATTATTACCTAACTTATTTTTTATAATTATATTTTGATGTTTAATATCTATTGTAGAGTAGCAGAAACCATTTAATTAATTAACATTTAGTGAACCAATCAAATAACCTAACCAATCAGAGAACATTAAATTATATTTTGTTATATATAATGTTATATTTAATTATATTTATTGAAATGCAACCCAGCATAAGTCTAATATAAATGTATTGTATTGTATTCTTTAAATTACTTTTATGCTATATATTAATCAATCCATATTATTTTAAAACGCCTATACAAAATGTAAAGTAATATAATAAATGTTTGTTTATTTTATGCATTAAACAATTATATTTGTATGTACCTAGTTTTTATGTTTTAGTTATACATGTGTATATTTACAATTTTTAAATTGTTTAATTAGTTATCTTTAATAAATTATCTTTAGAATGAATAATGATTTTGAAAAATATAAGAAAGAGAAAGATGAACTTATGGCAGAAAATGTAAAATGTAAAAATATAATTCAGATGCAAAATGAAAAAATTGAGTACTATAAACAATTTGTTAATTTGGAAAATCAAAGATTCGAATCCCGTTTTAGTGACATTTTGTCTAAATTATTTACTAGTACTCAATTTAGTCAAATACTCCGACCGAGTAAAAAAGTTTCGAAATGGTTACCAGAAGACATATCTTCTGCGATTACATTACGTAGTATTTCGCCAAAAGCCTACAGATATTTAAGGAATAAAAAACAGTACCCATTACCAGGTGAGTTATAACATGAATCGATTTATACGTGATGAAAACTATATAAATGAAATCTTTAAAAAAAAAAATAAAAATAATAATATAAAGTAAAAAAAGTTGCATTACTATACATATACACTTTTAAAAAACGGAACAAATAAATAATAATCATTCATAAAATCAAATTTAAGGTTTGTCTACATTAAGAAGATGGGCTTCAACTTTTTTCAGGAATACTTGAAAGTGTATTAACTCTTATGAAAGCCAAAGGTTATTTAATAATAATAATTTTTTATTTCACATTGATATTATACAACATAATTTGTAGCCTACTATTTTAAAATAACTAATTTACTTATTCAGGAACTTTAATGACTGACAATGAAAAGCTTACTGTTATTGATTTGATCAAACATATATATATCCAATAGAATATGTTACGATAAAAAAAATGAACAGGTGATTGGTCCACATAGATGTGTGTAGACTGTTGTTGTACGAGGTATATTCTTAAATATTAAATACAGTACTATAATATATTAAACGATTAACGAAATATTTACATTAAATTACTATTTAGGCCTTGTAAGTAATTGGAAACAACCAATTTTTTATAATTATGATACCCATATGACTAAAGATCTACTATTTAATATCATTGAAGAATTACATAAGATTGGTTTTAATGTAATTTCGATGGTAAATGATATGGGCCCTTCCAACATGGCTTTATGGTGGTCTTTAAACATTTCAAATGAAAATACGTCATTTAAACATCCAAATACAGGAAAAAGTGTTCACGTTTTTGCAGATGTCCCACATCTCTTAAAATTGGCCAGGAATCATTTACTTGACAAGTTGTTTATCTAGCAATGTACAATAATAAGAACAATTAAATATTATATAATCTTTTTTTTAGTGGGTTTGTACTTCCTAATGAAAAGTATGTTGGTAAAGCAATTTTCCAAAAGCTTCTATCAATTGATTCTGAGAGATCAGATTATAAGTTGGCACCTAAATTGACTGAACGGCATACTGAAGTTCAAGGAACTGGAAGGATGAATGTCAAACTAGCTGCTAATGTGTTTTCCGATACAGTTTTTAAGGCTCTTGCATATCTTGGCACAAAGAATTATATTGATACATTGAACTGGAAAGATGCAAGTATTTTAAAAATATTTATTATTTAACTAATACAATAATTCACAAATTTATTTTTACTTGAAAAGGCTTCGGAATTGATTTTGTTATTTAATAACTGGTTTGATCTTTTCAACACACAACACAAATTTGATGGAGGTGTTCCGAGTTTTGAACTCGATGAGGTCAATCAATATGAATTATTGAATACAATGACCAGCTTTATTCAGGAAATGCGAGTACATGGGAAAAAAACACTGCTCCCTTTTCAAAAAGGTCAATACATTAAATATTTTATGTTTTTGAAAATGAGTACCTAATAAAATAATGTTATTATTATATAGGTATATTAGTATGTAATAATTCATTAAAAAACTTACTAGAAGACTTAAAAAGCAATTATGCTTTGCAATACATTATCACTAAAAGATTGAATCAAGATGATGTTGAGAACTTGTTTAGTTTTTTAAAAGGCATGGCAGGTTCTGCTAGTAACAATATAACTGCTCTTGACTTCAAATACAGGCAAGTCTAATTTTCATCTGTAAATATATTTTCACTAAACATTACCAAAAAAATTAAAATTGTATATTGTAATAAATGTTATAATATTTGGCTATACCTAATAATTTAGTTTAAGGTGGTTCATTTTGGGGAAGCACTCAGACTTTATTTTCACCGAAAATACAAATTCTGAAGGAGATTCAGAAAAGAGTCTGTTAAATGAAAGTGACTGTTTAACTAGCTTAATGTTTAACTCAAATGTGTTTGATGAAGTGGATGATTCCAACGAACATGATAATGAAATGGCCAATATAGAATCGAGTTAATGTATATCAAAGTCTTCAGTTCCAAAAGAATGTTTTGACCTACTGACCGAATTTGAAGTATACAAACTAGTTATTCATTAAGTAAATTAAAACTAATTGTAGAGTTGAGACACTTATTACTTAATAAGTGTCATTTATATACAATACTATTAACTATGTTATAATTAAAAAATAAAATAAATTTTAAAACTAATTTGACAAATATTTATTCTTACCTTATAGATGGAAAACAGTGAGCCTTTCAATGAACTCGAACTAGATTGTGCCCAATATGTAGCTGGATATGTTGCTAACCGTTTTGCTAACAAACATCCAGAACTTATCAAACAAATTGATGATAAAACTGTTAGTTGTTGGACTAGTTTTAAATCAAAGGGTGGTTTGAAATTGCCCTCTGACAACCTGATGGTGGCAGTCAGAAAATTAGAAATCGAATTTCAAAAACTTCATCAAGATAACATTAGTAAAAATAAAAATATAATGAAAAATATGACCAACTTACTGATGCCTCACATTGAAGATTTGTGTATTCCAAAAGATGCTATTGAATGCCTTGTAAGAACAAGGACATTCATCAGACTCAATGATCTCAACAACAGGACCACAGAGAAAAACTACGCGAAGAGACAAGAAAAGAGAAAAAACAAAAATTTATAAATTAATATTCTTGTAATAATATATACTAACACATTAAACTCATACAGAACTTATAAAACACACTATAAATTAAATATAATATTATGAATACCTCGGTACAGTTTGAAAAACTCAATGTTTCTTATTAACCAACTGTCTGTCGTTTGACTTAAATTACTATAATAAATTAATAAATGATTATTGGAACGAAGTTCCTTATGGGGCGTTAGGTGGATGGGAGTCGCTGGAAAAAAATCGCAACACCAAAAATCGCAACACCAAAAAGCGTAACACCGAAAAGCGTAACATTTAGACAGGCTGTGCCTGCCTGCTCGGCTGCCGGCTTACATATCCCCTCCCTCCTCTCATATTATCGTATGTCCCCACTAGGATCGTACCATCTGGTAACACTGCGGTTCCATTCGCGTAGGCTACCCAACATCGGTCGTCACGCGCGTAGAGGTGATCGTCGGGTGGAGTGGGGGGGGGGGACCCATTAAACGAGTAATTATTTTTGACGAAGCATAACTTAGCCGGTATTCGACTTAGAGACCCCGGACCAATGGGCATCTCATTTTTTTAGGCCCCAGATGAATTTTCAACATTAGGGAACCAAAGCCCCCACCCCCCCACATTTTGAGTTGAGTGTAACTCGGCCGGAATTCAAGTTAAAGACCTCGGACCAAGGGGGAACCCATTCTTATTATGAAGACTACAGTTTTCCGCTTTAGGGAACGGGGGCACCTCCTCCCCCCCTTTTGGATTTTGCTTTTTTGATGGATTTTGGTCCGGGAGAGTACTAACACCCACCTCGCCAAGGGGAAACTCGGGGTTTTGAGTTTTTGATGGGATTTATTGGGATTTTCATAAATATTGTTTTTATTGATTAGGAAAGTGATAAGAATTTTATTTTCAAAATAATTTTTGCCCCTTAAATTTATAAATTCCATTGTGATTTCCATTTACCTTCTTCTCTATATACATACAACATACAAATCTATTAAACAAATGAAATTAAAATTTACTTTTGAAAAACGATAATCGAGTACAAGCTGTATCAACCGTATCATTATTAAAATTTCTTTCAGTAGAATTTGACTTAACCATCAATAATAATCAGTCGGAATCTACAACAAGATACAATACCACTATCGATGCAGTATTTCGAGATATATAGAAAAAATTCAATCACAAACATACGTGACATATTAATTCAGCTACCACAAACCAATAGTTACTGTTATTGAGAATACTGATTAATTTCATAATTGATTTGTACTTTTATAATGATTATAAAATAAAATACCATTCTTTCATAATACTCAGAAAAAATTTATTATAATTTTATTACCATGCGCGCGATATATTTATACAAGCATTCATTTCTCTCTCTGTCTCTCTCTCTCTCTATCTCTATTTATTTATATTTTTCTAACCATATATGTTTCCGCGTCTCGCATCACATTCACTGAACTTCGTTCCTGCCGAGTGTTCAACAACACTCACTGTTTTTTTATATATGATATATTTTATTTTCGTGGATATGACTCAATATGAAAATTCACGATTTAAATTTTAAGTACAATCATAATAATATTATATAATATATTATATTAATTGATAACCGTCAACCACTAATCACTATCAGTAGACTACCAGCAGGGAAGCAGCCAATGAAAAGAGGCGGAAGTCTCCCACCACTTTCTATGGTGAAGTGAGGAACCGGGGATGCGTATCAAAAATCTGTGATCATACCTATTTATTTTGTCATGCCGCGCGCGTCACTAAAGGCTAAGATAGTATGGTTGCCCTACGACCTATGATAAGATCGTTTTAAACTGGCAACCAAATTAGATAACCAGAACAGCTGGAAAATTGACCACTAGCGCTTGCGACATGATGTGTGCCAATATAGAAGCAGAATTTACGAGCTTCTTATTTTTTCCCGCGCTTTATTAATATCAAATATTTACCTATTACCACAGTAATACAGAATAAATCCATTATGTGCTATTTTTCTCAATTCTCATAGACCCCTATAAAAACCACGATTTAAACCATGATAAATATTCCACTATAAAATTAAAATAACTATCTATTATCTTAATAAATAGATCTATCGTCCATGATAAATACAAATTTACATCTTCAGAAGATATAACAAAAATGTTATTATTCATAAAGTTTCAATATATTATGCTTAATTTTGTTGAAATTATTTAATTGTTTTTAAAATTAAAATGTGTTATATACCTAATTGTCCTTCACATGATAAATATGCAAAGATTAGTTCCTTCAAAGTTCCATTGAATATTGCCTTACGGTCTGAATGGGAAAATGTCTTGGGTATTCCTTTAACTAATAATTCTCATGTTTGTCGTAACCATTTTAAGACACAAGATGTAATAGACACATGGGAATCTGAAAATGAAATAATTAAATACACGGTTAGTACCTACCATTACTTATAAATATATGTATAGTATATTTATGAACTGATACAACTATAGGTAAAAGTAAAACATATATATATATATATTTGTAGGTGTGCCTAAAAAGACCTAGACTTAGAGATGGAGCTATTCCAGTGAATTTATATATTGTTAACAATAATGAGTCGAATATAAATAATATATGATAATAATAATATAACAACATAAACTCTAAGCATTTTTGTACCTAGTACCTAAACCTAACTAATTTATACAATATTTTATTTAAAAATGAAAAAATAAATAATATACAAGAATGCCCAAACTCTGAATACACTGGATATCAACGATATAATATCATCTATAAATAAAGATCATTGTTATACATCAAAAGGTTCAGATTCTGATACACTTAATAATCTCCATTGCCCAAGAGTAAAAAAGGTTATAAGTATACAATTTAAAACACAGTGTATACCAACATTAACGTGTCTGGTGTCATATTATTATTATTATTATTATACATAATATGACTATATTATAACAATAGTACCTATGTACTTATTTAAAACCTTTATATCTAATATTTTTATAATTTTTATTTATTTTTGAATAAAAGGTAGAACAAATTACTTTATTTCAATCTGTTATGAGTAATATGAAGTTATTAAATATACCAGTAAAATGGTTCTATGATACTGATCATACTGAAGTTGGTTTAAAAAATAAAGTTAGCAAGATGGTCATTTCATTTCATAAATTGGTATCGTGTAAAAAATTTTAAACAGATACATAGAAAAACTAATTATTTTAACTGAGGGTAATTAATAATTGAAAAAATATAATATGTCAAAATAAAATATCCATTAATGGTATAATTTTGCATAATTGTTTGTACATTCAGACTCAGAAATGTTTGTCTATGTTTTTGAAAAAAAATTTGAGGTATCAGATATTGCAGCTAGTTCTTTGAATAAAATAGACACATACAGCGACTTGGAAAAATGTATTAAACTCTTTGATATTATGCCAATGTGTCAAGGTGCGGTGCCATTGTTCCAAAATAGGGATTTAAAATGATCATCTAGTCCAGTTGAATCAAGTGGCATGTGGTGGCATTCAAAATGTTGTACAATACTTCCTAAAGAAAACAGTGATAAGTAAAACTAAAAATATTATATGTTTTGTGGTAAGAATAAAACATTTTTTTTTTTTTTTTATTTCAACATTTTTAGTAGTACCTGTATCTAGTGTAGACGTTTGAAATACATTATACAAAACACAAAAAAGGAATCAAAATACTCGTACATTATTTTCTCCTAATAAAAAGAAAATTATTAGTAAAATAAGGAACATTAAAAATTCAATTAAAAAAAAAGTGTTCAAGGGCCAATGTAAGAGTTGGACGTTTACAAAATCATATTTTGAAAGAAGTGCAAAATCAAATGAAGCTTGTCACTCAATCTACATTAGACGAAAGGTTGGAAAGTTCTAAAATTCCTAAGGGTCAAAGTGAATTGATTAATGAAATTTTTAAAGCTACTAGATTAAAGAACCCCAATAATAGAAAATACAGCGAAAATTGGCTTTTACTTTGTATGCTTTTCCAAATTAGGTAAAATTAAAATATGAAAATTGTTATGTACATTGTCACTTACAAAACTGACCTGATTATTTTAGATCTCCAAGTGGTTACAAATTTATACGAGACCAAAATATATTGCCACTCCCATGTGTCAATACAATTAGAAAACATTTATTGGCAATAGAAATTGGTTGAGGATTCGATTCTAACTTTTTCAAGCTTTTGAAAAAGAAGTTTGACACTAAAACTGAACAACAAAAACAAGGAATTTTGGTTTTGGATGATATTTTCCTACGAGAAAATATTAGTGTCAATAGCCGTTCGTTAACATACTTGGGGTTGGAAGATTTTGGTCATGAATTGGAAAATAAAATAGATGGTTCCCAAAAAGCCAACCACTCTTTGGTTATTATTTGGCAAAGTTTGGCAGAAAAATTTGTCCAACCAATTGCCGTATTTGCTTCACATGGAACTGTTAAAGGTTCTTTTATATTCACTGTAAAAATAAGAGTTATTTTTATCCAATTTATAAATTATTTTTAATAAATAGGTATGTAATATGTTTAATAGGAGTAGATTTAGCAAAATTAGTTAATTATAATAAATATTTTTTTTAAATAACAATATATTAATTATGGTAATTATCGAGGTAATTATGGTAGGTATGACTTAAATAAAAAGAAAACAAACATAACATCATAAAATAAGCACCCAAGTTACCTAACTTGGGTTTTTAAAAAATCTTGAATTTAATTATAAGTGTTACTTTTCTTTTACATCAACACTCCCAGGAAATGCATAAATACATTTTCTATTGCACTGTATAAGTTTTGGTTCTGGTAGAATAGCTAAAATCATATCAATGGTAACACTCGATAAGACATTTTATTTTATAGAAAATTGGTTTTTTGATAATTTTCTTTTTGTAAGCCCTGTACAAGTATACACCCATCTTGATGTTCATCCATACGATTCACACAACATATGTATGAACATTTGGTTTTTTTTCTATTACGACCATTAAATTGTACCAATAGAAAGTCACCAGTTTTTAAATCTGTAAATAATGGTTTTCTATATTGAACTTCAGAGACATTATTTAAACCATAGTCCAATAATATGTCATCACACAGTTTTAGTAAATCATTTTCAATGTCAGAGTTTTCCGAGGAGTTTTCATTCGATGACAAAAGTAAATTAGGTGATTTTGAAGGAGATTTTTGTATATTTAAATCCTTTTTTTTTTGTTTTTTAATTATCTTTTGTTTTGAATGAGACTGTTTGCTTCGATCTTGTACTTCTTTTAAGTTTTGCTTGTGGATTTTGGTTGGTAACATTCATAAAACGACGAAGACGATCGTTGCTCACTCTATGGATTTTATTATCAACCAACCAACGGAAACTTGACTTTTTTATGATCATTTGTTTTTTATTATTTAATGTAATACGTTTAAACTCAGTATCTAACTCGGTATCTGGGTTTTGTTCATCTGTTTGAGTAACAGTTATTGCATTTAAAAACTGTTCACAATCAGAATAATCTTTTAAATTTAATAAATCTTTAATAAATCACCAAAGTTTCCAAACTTGGATATTTCACATAAATCTTTACAAGTGTCTTCTGATATTACGTCAACTGTTGAAGATTCATTTAAATTTATGTCGGTAGTTGGTGTGATTATGGTAGTCATCCTGATATTCATTGTCATCTCGATTGTCATATTCATTGCCTTGTATTGATGATTGATAATTTCTATATTAGCATCTTTATGTCTCGTCAAAAATTGAGGCTCTTCAAAGGATTCCGTAAACAATGGTATACTTACCTAAAAATTAAAATTAAAAACATTAAGACACATTTTATCTAATACATTTTTATTATTTTTTTGTTACCTAAAATGTTGGCCATTTCCTTAACATCACTTAGGGATGAAGTACATATATTGTCAATTACAGGATCACTCATTGTTTCATAAATGGCAGTCTCAATTACAGTTGAATGACATTTGGAAGTATTAATAAAATGTCTACTGTGTTTATTGAACCGAGGAAAATTGAAGTTGTTCTGGTGATTCGATGAACTGTCTTGATCAGATGGATTTTCGTTCTGAACTCCCACTTCATTTTCGTGTAAATCATTCTGAACTGAATTTAATAGCTCTATTCTGGTTAGCCGTTTTAATGTGTCGTTCATGCTAAAGTTTACTACCATTGAATATGTCGATATCATTGACCTCGTTCTAAACAACTCCTCACATGCCTGGCTACTAAAATGCCAATTAACAAACATGTAAGGTCTCAGTGAATAATTATTGTCTCTAAATTGTTTGACCAGTAACATTAAAGACCTAGCATTTAATTCAATACAAGCATATGCGTTGCTGGTAATAAAATTATTCTTCACAGTATAGTCAGTGTTTTTTTTAAAATAGAGTATCTCCACATTCTGAAAAAATAAACACCATACCATATGCGATATATTCTGTCTTCTACCGTTAATGATTTATCTAAAAATGAAGTGAGCACATAGTTCATTGATTTTAGGAATGCAATTGTTCCTTGACTCTCTGGTATATGTTTTAAGAGTTCCAGAACAGTAGGCGCACACATATTCTCTGCTGAACGGAAGTTCATTTTGTCTTCTGGGATTAAGTCGCTACGAGTCAAGGGATGTTTGTCTTTGGAATATGTATCAATCAATTCTTGTTAATGTGATGCTGATATCAAAAAGTTTCCAATTGGTAATGTTACATTTGGTTTTAAAAGTCTAGTTCTGAGTTTTGTTCCTATATGAACCGTGTCTTGTACATAATATTGAGAGCTTTGTTGTGAGTATGCACTTGTTTGCATTGCTTTTAACAACAGTGTATCTCCATCAGAAGAGAAGCCTAAGATTTTAATACCAACTTCGGGGGCTAATTTTTGCATGACATTCCAAATGTTTATAACATCTACACTTGTAAACTTATTGTTAGTGACAAAAATGCTTGGACAGAAAGCTGAAGATCTTGCAGAGGTTTTGCCATTAAAAAATATGCATAATTTGCTTTGTCGTTCTTTTGAAAAAATCTGCTATTGTAGTTGCTGAAGTTGCCAAATATGCATTAGAATTTGCTCCACCATTACTAAAAGGTAAGTAACACAAAACCAACAATTTTATTTGAAATTGAGTCATACTCAATTTTGCTAGTTAGTCTAGTGGCATCTTCACTCACCCAAATACAAAGGGGCAAGTCTCTTTCTGTGAAAAATGTTTTCAAAAAATGTTATCTTTTTTTAAGGAAATTAATCTGTATATTGAACTAATTGATGGTAATGAGTTTACTAAATTTGACTGTCATGTTTCATATAGTAACCTTCTGCCAATAAAATAAAAAAAAAACACAAAACCATTTAAGAGATTCATTATATCTATTGGCATTTTTACTAGCTGATTTTGAATTATCTAAGGCTGCGTTGCACAATGATTTTAATAAAGTGCTAGTGTCTGTTTCCTTTAACATTAATTCTGCAGGTGTTTCCCTACAGGGCGGCATACTTTTCTGTAAATCTTCAAATGATTCAATAAAGATATTATGCTCATTTACATAGTTATTTTATGGTCAATTTCAAAATAGTTTGTTATCTGTAAACTGTTTTTCTCTACAATTTATTAAATTTTGTTCTCGTGCTAGTTTAGCTCTCTCCGATCTACTATACTTAACGTTACTCCATTTTAAAGAATCTTGAATTTGTTTTGTTGAAGTGCAAGGAATAACTTCTAGTGTGGTAGATTCATGTGTAGCAGTAACTTTCAACATTTCCCTTATTAGCTAATGTAAAATAGTTTTTTACTGTATTAGTCTGTTTTACATACCCTTTAAATATTTTTTTTCCGTGATTTTCTACATGGTTAATAATGTGTCGATAATAATTACTTAACGCCCAAGTCATATGAGTACGCCCTAGTCAATGCCCTTTTAAATATTTAAGTATGAATACCTCAAAAGCAAGTTATATCACTTGTCACATTATTAAACTCAATATTATCAGGATCTTCTTCGTTAAATGTTTGACTACATAATTTTACAGAAACTGTTTGGATATCTAATATATTTTTTATTAAGTCTTGCTTATTATACATTACACTGCCAGTATCATTTTCATTATTTTTAACGTTGTACTTTCGATTTATCGATTCTGATATATTCTGTTCAATTATTTTTTTCTCTTTTGGCAGATTAATGTTTAAAACTAATTTATCGTCCAATTAATTTTTTTCTTTGTGTTCTTTAGAAATATTGATCTTTTGACTTGGTTTATTCTTATTTACTTTATGATTTGATTCTGGTTATCTCAAATTTATTTGAATAAAGATTTTTATAATACAGTAAAACCACAGTAATCCGGACTTCGTTTAATCCGGACAGCCGTTTATAATACGTAAATAAACCAGTCGTACGAAAATTACTCTAGTTTTCACCGTAGATTAAAATAAACATGAAAACGAGTTCTACAAATTTCCTATAAATGCGGGTTATTTCGATAACATATTTATCAACACCAATTGTCATTAAAGTTATCCAATTGTAATTCATTTATATATACAATATATATATGTACCTCAATATTATATGATGTATAATTTCGCATCTGCTGTCAAAGATATAAAACCTTCAACTTTGATTAACTCGTGGAAAAAACTTTTAATAAATGAAGAGGTTGAACCAGATACGGTTGAATTAGAAACGGAGGATTTCCACAACATTTTCCACTAAGGAGCTGAAAATTCAGCTACACTGGAAGACATTGAGTTGTGGTTAGAAGCAGATAGATATGATCTAGGTTATCATATTTTAACAGAGGAAGAGATTGTTGAAAGTGTGTTTGCTACAGAAAACTCTAAAACGGATAAATATGATCAGGATGAAGCATAATATGACGTAAACCCTAAGCCAAAACTTGGTGAAATTAAAGATCATCTAAACATTGTCATTAAATACGTTGAAGAAAACAACGATGAAAACAATATGAGCATCTAAGGCATCTTCGCGAGTTAATCATTAAAGAAATCACTGTGAAAGGAAGACAACCGAAGACAATCAGTTTTTTCAAACCAGTGTCAAGTGTGAATAATGAAGGTCTGCCTTAATATGTATGTAATATATGTTACAATGTATGTATGTATCTACTATTTTTTATATATAATAATAAATAATAAATATAATAATATATGGTTTAATAAAATATGCAATAACATTTTTATAAATTTACGATTTTTGGTTATTTTGTTTAATCCGGACTTCCATTAATTCGGACAACCTAGAGCCCCAATTAGTCCGGATTACTGAGGTTCTACTGTACTCTATTGCCGCAGTCAGCTGTTTTTTATGGCCATCAAGAAATTTGAACTTGGAAATATTTTTTTTGAAGATTCCATAATATTCTTCATATTCACTTTCTGAAATTAAATCAGTCAAAGTATTCCTAACAACATCTTCAGAACTGGAAATTGTAACGAAACAGAATGTACACATATCAATTTTCGCGAAATAACGTTTATATGCGCGGTCATCAGCGTGCACAGCGGTGTATCAGCAACCAGAATCTGTCGACCGCCGTGTAACGACGCGCTGCCATCCGACAGAAACACAACTATTTACTAGTGATGGGTGTTATTGAATAATAACTATCGAATTATTCTATAGTCTTGCCAAATTAGTTATCTGAATAATCGATTACGATTATTCAATTTATTATTCAAATGAATAATTATTTATTATTCGAATGAATAACTATTTATCATTCGATTGAATATTAATTATTTATTAAATTTATTATTTGAATAAATATAAATATTATTTTAAGTTGTACCATCTATGATTAAAGTTAACCGGAGTTTAATCGGCCGATTTTGCCAGGTTAAATATCTGTTATCAGCTTATCAGCTAACTAAGCTTAATCGTAATTTAACCGTAGACGGTAGTACGGTACAACTGGCCCTAAGTAACTTGTTTTTTATCAGTGTTATCACCTTTTTAAAATTTTTATTAATCACTCTTTACGAACGCGGGTTTTTCGGTTTTCCGTGATGTTAGCATATACTATTTAGTCCATTTTGGTTTTTAAGTGACAAAATTAACAGCACTTTTAAGAGCTAACTGGCTAATTGTAGCCGACCAATTTTGTTTATTTTGTACTGAACTACTGAAATAATGTCGTGGCTCAAGAAAAAAAGTTCTGGTGTTTGGAATTATTTTATAAAGGATATAAATAATTCTAATGAGACCCAGTGCTCACTTTGTAAAAAAACTTACCAAAGGTCGAGTGGTACGTCAAATTTGATGGAGCATTTAAAGAGAAAGCATATGACCAGGTTGGAGCGTGATAATATTATACAAGCCAGAGAAAAGGAACAAGATGGAATTCAAGATAGTATTAATGTACCAGGTAACTAAATACTTTTGTGTATTTAAATTTTTGTTTAAAACATGTTATAATTTTAAATATACTAGCATAAGATATTTATTTCTAAATTAATTTGTATATTTTATAGAAACATCTAGGGCATCCCAACCACATGATACTTCGTCCGCTGTACTTTGACGCGGGCTACGGCGGTGATGTGTGTCGCGGTAGTCCGTCTCGGGTGGTTTTTTTGAAGTTGTATATATATCTCGGGTATTCACAACGTAAGATTAATAAAATAATACACGCGTCTTTGAGTGGACGGTAATGTCAGTTGGTGACGTTTATTTATAAAAAAAACAAAACAGTATCACGAAAACACAAATTAAATACCACGATCAAGAACTGAGATGGTGTGTCGTTTTCACGTGCGTCGCGTTATACCGTTGGTGGACGAGAGAGTCATCGCCGGCGGCCAGTACTCGTATCAGTGTTGCCAGATGTAAAAGGTCAAAAATTTCGATCTTAACTATCGAAAGTTTCGATTTTCCCATCAATATCCCCAGTTATCTCATAATATTTATTGATAATTGTTGATATGAAAAAACTACTTTCAATTAAAATATTTATAAAAATAGGTAATATGTAGGTAGCAACTGCCAACTATCAACATTTGTCTAACAATAGTGTGTTTAACATAACAGTTATAAAATTATTATAGTTTACTATAATAGAACCATATCAAGAAACATTAAGAGTAAAAATGAATCATTATTAAATTTGGTTAAACAAAGTTTTATTAATATAAATTTCAATATAACATTACAATATCCATCTTGATTTAAATCTAAATAATGATGATAAAGAAAATAGTAATAAACAATACATATTTTCCCTGTACATAAGCAATTTATAAAATTTTAATAAAAAAAAACATAACAATTCAGTCATATATATATTTTATTATATATTTATTTTAAAAATGAATCATTATTAAATTTGGTTAAACATAGTTTTAATTAATATAAATTTCAATATAACATTATAATATCCACCTTGATTTAAATCTAAATAATGATGATAAAGAAAATAGTAATTAACAATACATATTTTCCCTGTACATAAGCAATTTATAAAATTTTAATGAAAAAAAAAACATAACAACTCAGTCATATATATATTTTATTATATATTTATTTTAAAAATGAATCATTATTAAATTTGGTTAAACATAGTTTTAATTAATAAAAATTTCAATATAACATTATAATATCCACCTTGATTTAAATCTAAATAATGATGATAAAGAAAATAGTAATTAACAATACATAGGTATTTTCCCTGGACATAACCAATTTATAAAATATTAATAAAAAAAAAACATAACAACTCAGTCGTATATATATTATATTTTATACATACTACTTGTATGATATTTTAACATATTTTCATCGATATTGAAATCAAAACATGATTTTTCTTGAGCACTTAAAATATTTTTAGCGTACAAAATCCCTGTTAATGTTTCAGTAGATAACCTATTTCTTGTTTTATTTTTGTTTAAATTAATTGTACTAAAGATTCTTTCTACTGCTGCACTACTATGAGGTAATATAAGTATATATTGCACAAGATCATTGATTAATTGAAATGTTTCTGAGTCATCAGAATTTTTTATACTTTTAACACATTGCCAAAAATCATACAGTTACCACCGACATACATATCATCCAGAGGTAAGAAGTTGGTAGGGTTTCTGTATTGTATTTGTGATACACTTGTGATTTCTAAATACTCAGATTTGATAAAAAATGATAAGACGGTTTTATACATGGTTTCAATTTTTGAATAAAGTTTGTACACTTTTGGTTTGGCAGATTGGAATTCAATATTCAGATCTGTGATGATTGGAAGAATATAGTCCAAAAAATGTAAATAAATTTCAATCATTGGATCGCATAACATTAAATGTATTCTATTGGCATTATTATCTATTAACTTTTCTCCAGTGAAATATAATTTTAAGGCTGAGTATTGCTCAATCACACGTTTGATGCAACTGTGTAAAGATAGCCATCTGGTTTGGCAGGGTTGAAGTAACTTGTGTGGTTTTGCTTCGACAAACATTTGGAACTCGTTAAAAGCTGACTGTCTCTTAAAACTATATTTAAGGTATGTATAGACATCACGTACAAGCTGTTCGACTTTATTTGGAACTTTTTCGCATGCATAAGATGCAATAAGAGCCAGTGAATGACAAGTACATTTTATAACAAATAATCCAGGGCTGTCTATTTCTAATAATGTTTTAACAGACCTGTTTACTCCAAACATTACACTGGCTCCATCAGAAGCAAATCCTACCATATTTTTTTTGAAAGGAATATTATTGTTATTGAAGAATTCCAAAAGAACAGAATGAATCCCTTGTGCAGTGCCATCAGCTACTTTTAGTAGTGCTGCAAATTCATCTCGAACAGTAAACTTTTTAAAGTCAAACATTCTTATTACAATTGCCAAATGTTTGATTGACGAATGGTCAGTTGACTCGTCAATCATGATTGAAAAAAATTGTGTTTTCATTTTTGATATACGGTTATCGAAATCAAACTGACCAATGACATTGCAGACAATTGAAGTTGCCTTTGTACGATTACATGAGAATTGTTTAATTACATCTGACTCAGGACAAATAGATTTAAAAAGTGAAATGAGATGATCCGACGATCTAAGGGCAACATTATGTTCTACGATGTACATTGATATTCTGATTTCAGATTCTTTCATTTTTTTAATGAATGTGGTATGTGGTTGGAATGCAGATGAGGAATTAATTTTTGAAGATATTTGGGTGGATCGCATATTTTGTTGGTGTTTTTCAGAAATTGAGTGCTTACGGACAGCTGATTTTCCACCCAAATAATCAGAAAAACAAACTTTACAATGAAAGTGAAACACATCTTTCTTACTTTTTGCTATCCACGCCTTGAATTCCTTTTCTTCTTCCCATTGTTTGCAATATTTGTGGGCATAAGGTTTTTTCTTAGGCCAACCTTTACCTTGAGTTTGCATATCATCGTCGCTTGAATTTGACATTTTGGCTGTAAATACAAACACTTTTATATTTAAAAAATAATTTATTCAAATAGGTACCTAGGTATATAATGTAGCTCACCTTTATAAATTATTTCCTTTAATTATATAATCTGACGGGTGGATCCACACTAAATTGAATTAAAAATAATTATTATTTTAAAGAACGAGTTATTTATTATTTAAAATCACACTACGTTCACGCCTTCGATGTAATAAGCCGATTTACGGTAAAAAGATGACAGGACTAATGTAGTAATGACTAACCATGAGAAATGAGAATAGTGAGAATACTAAATAGTAAATAGCGAACAATCAACAATGCGTTAGGCGTATAAATTGCGTTGCGTAGTGCGTACACGAATTATGATTGTAATTTTCGTGATAATCAATATTTATATGAATCTGGGAAAATTCAAAAATCCTCAAATATCTCCAAAAATAACTAAATCCTCAATCATATCCCCAACACATAGGTAATTCCCCAGATTGAGGAAAAATCCCCAAATCTGGCAACACTCGTTTTGCGCGACTTGCCTTCCCGTCCCGCCTTGTGCCTTTTAGGCGCGGTGGGAGAGTTGGCGTTGTCGCGCTCGTAGCCCGTGGTGGTGGTTGTCAAAAGCGCAGACCGGTCGCTGCGGTACCTGTACTTTGTACTGGTTGCCGCTGCGTACCGTGTCAACTTGTTGTTAGTAATTTTACAAACAACATTAATAGTAATGAGACTACAATGGCAACAACTAAATCTGAGCCACCTATTAAGAGACAAAAACAACTTTTATTGGTAAATAGGTAAAACTCAATTATAGTTTCTGAATTGTATTAAGAATAATAGTATAAATGTGTAATTAGTATAAAACTTAAATTGAAGTACAACTTAAATGAGTTTATTTTTTAGTTTACAACTTGGAAATTTTCCAACTGGTTTGGATACATCAACCTCTGGAAGGTTTCAAAAACAAAAGTTATGTTGTTTAGTTTAATACAGCTTTGAGTTAAATATACAAATAGAGTAAACATATATTACAAAAAAATGTGCCATATTTTTAATATTATTAATTTGAAAAAATTAATAGTAAAATATGGTCAAATCAAATAAGTTTTAGTTTTTGCAAATTGCAAATTGCAAATTCAACTGGTTTGAATGATAGTTATAATTTATAACTTTATAAGTTATAAGATACAAGCGATAGTATAGATGATTTTCATTATAATAACTATACAATTTTGATTTATAAATTATAATACTTAATCAAAACATGTTCTGCTATATACATTTTGAGTATTTGGTTTTTAGTTTTAATTCATAATATTATGTATTATTTAAATTTTTACATTTAAACTATTTATAACCTATAAAGTGTTATTTCAGATTTGGAGCACCGTCAGAACTGCAAATTAAAGCGTTTTACGAAGCAATTGTGAGAATGATAGCAGAGGACTTGCAACCCTTATCAATTGTGGAAAATGAAGGACTTAAAAATATGGTGAAGTTATTGGACTCTAGGTAAATATAAATTACCATCATTTTTGTATTTCAATTATTATAAAATTAGAGAAACATTTAATAAGTAAAACATTTAACAAAGTTAGTAAAAATCATAAAATCATAGATATGTACGTTGTACAAATTTTTTTTGTTTTAAGCTTTATTACTAAACATTACAGTTTTACACAATTATATACATATATGTATATCATACATAATTAGAAAATATAAGAAAATAATATTATTATTAAACAGAAAATAAAATAACATAAGAAATTAAAAATTAATTTTATACACTTTTTATAAAAATTAAAACTCATTTCAGGTATAAAATTCATAGCAGAAGGGCACTTGATAGAACTATAATACCTAATATGTATACAAATTTCCGAAATAAGGTTCAGACTCTTTTAAATGATACTAGTTATATTGCCATTACTACTGATATCTGGACATCAATTAATACAGATTCTTTCAAAACTATGACTGCACATTTTTTTCCAAAAGGACAAAGTAAACTGAAGACAGTTGTCCTGTGTACAAAAAAATTAAAACACAGTCATACTGGTGCTCATTTGGCTGAAATAATGACCAGTGAATTGAATAGTTGGGGAAGTCTAGACAAAGTAGTGGCAATCTTTACTGATGGTGGGTCTAACATCAAGTCAGCAGGTTAATGGATATTCAGCACATACCTTGTACCGCCCACAAACTTAATCTTGTAGTTCAACAAGCTCTATATCTCGGTGAAGAACATTCAGCAGGAGAAGAAATAAATTAACTTCACGATTCAGATAAAATGAAACGGATCTTAAAAAAATGCCGAAGTATTGTAGGTTTTTTTAAGAGTAGTGAAGTTGGAAATAGAATCTTAGGGGAAAAACAAAAACAACTGGGCTATACCTAAATCTTGAAACTCAAACAAGATGTTCGCACAAGATGGAACAGCACTTTAATAATGTTTGAGAGGCTGGTGAAGTTAAAAGAACCCCTCACAATTGTCATGATATCACTAAAAGAAGCTCCTTCAAACCTTACACCTGAAGAATGGGTTATTGTTGAAGACATTATACCATTATTACGACCATTCAATAGCTTAACAGTTGAGCTATCTGCTGAGCAATATCCTACATCAAGAGTTGTACCTTTGATACGAGGTAGTTAATGTTTTACTTTTAAAAGTTGAATTTTATTTATATAATTTAATTATTCTAAATTTAGGATTACAAACTTCATTATGCTCTATAAGTCCAAAAACATCTGTTGGAAGATTTATAAAATCTAACTTGGTGACACAAGTAAATAGGCGGTTTGAAGGGATTGAAGAACAATCACCATTTCCATATTTTTCTTGTGCAACCCTTTTAGACCCGGGGTTTAAAAAAGCTGCTTTTGGAGTTGAACAAAATGCATCTTAAGCTAAGAGTAGCATTATATCGGAAATAGCAAGTTTAACACATAATACTTTAGATGATGGTAAGTATTTTTTATATGATAGTAAATATAAGTAACCGCTATTATTCTATTCAAAATCTATAATTTACATCATACTTATTTTTTATTTTAGAACGTGAAGTTCCTACTGAACAGGTCTAAGAGGACTCAGAAAATCTTTGGAGCTTTTTGCAAAGTAGAGTGAAAAGTGTGCAGAGCCAAACAACATCGACCAGTAGTGCTATTACTTTGATGAAACAGTACTTAAATATGTCTTATCAAAATTTAAACTGTGATGTGGCTGAATGGTGGCCTTTTTCCTTTCAGCTTCTTCAAATGGGTCTTAATTCTTTGAGTCATTTTTATTTAATTCTTCCATGATAATAATCTATTAAGATATACAATTTTATATAAGTAGGTACCTACCTAGATTTATTTAAATACATTTTAACCTCGTTTTTAACTATTGTTTTTGTGTTTTATATGGTAAATAATTATCTAGGTGATTATGAATTTAATTCAGTTCACTTACTCGTTCGTTTATAATATTAAGTAATATGGTTTATTATTTTAGTTAAACGAGATTGAAGTATAGGTACATCATTTTAAAAGTAGAAATCTTAAATTGTTTTTAGCTTTGTAGTTTATTTTTTATAATATTGTAGCGAGCTGTGACTATCTTACCAAATGACTTGTCTAAATCACATTATAACAGGCAATTCAGTGGCGTAGCCAGGGGGGGGGGGTTTGGGTGTTTAAACACCCCCCATTGACATTTTCCTCCCTAATAAAAATATTGTTTATAGGGTTTGGGACTCCTCGCATTATTTTAGATAAGTTATAAATTTGTCTTATGAAATTTTTTAAATGGCTAATCAAACAAAGTTTGAATTTGCATATTTTAGGAAAAGTGTTCATTTGAGCGAATTTTCGCATATTTATTCATATTTTGCATTTTTCTAACTTAAATGTAGGTACTTACATACAATTTTCGGGAAAAATCATATTTGGATAACATTGAAAAATATCTTTAAAAATATTATGTTTGGTGAGGTACAATAGGCTCTAATTTTGAGATTTGGGGAGGCCGAAACCTAAAACCATACTATTATAAAATTGAATTAAAAAAATTTAGTAAATGATTGGGAGGGCTGTTAAAGTTGTTGGTGGAGCTTGGCTATACGGTTTGCTATATTTTCGTATAGTTATGGTATGTAAGATTTCATAAGTCTCTTTGTAACAAGATTGTGTTAAAACTATAATAAAACTGACATCTACATTCTAGATTGTACGAAGAAATGAAAATCAGTAGATATACGTGTTCGTTTATTACGGTGTTCTCATATCACGTTATTCTTTATTACATATTTATTAACCTAGTATTTTATTCCAGTATTTTTAAAAATCAAGTTGATTTATTTCACAATAGTTTAAAAATGTACAAAAAATGCAATAGAGTACTCCGTCCATCACATTAATCAATATAGGTATAACCTACCTGTACTAAAATTAGTAAGCCCGTGTATAAATTATTTATATTCCTACTTATTTTTTAGTTTTTTATTACCAAAATTGTATATAAGAATATGTAGTATATATTTAAGAATATTTTGACAAATTGACTGCATCATATTTCGATAATATTTAGTGCAACAAGTCAAGTCCCGAACCCTAAATTCATTTATATATACGAAAACTGTAAAAACTTGGTTTTAATCTATACTTAAACACCCCCCATTTCATAATCCTGGCTACGCCACTGACAGGCATGACAAAATAAATAGGTATGCTATCAACGTAACTAATATCACAGAACAATACAGAAGCGACACTCTGCTTGGTGGTCGATCTCTGGTGGTTTAGTGTTGAAGTTGTAAATGATTACCTGGTGGTTTAGGAGTGTTGTTATGAACGATTTTTTTTTACAATAAACGGTTTGTTGTTTGTTTGCGTTTTAATACTTTAAGTTATAACCTAACCGTTCTATGCCTATATGGCTTACGGCTACCCGACAACAACTATTAACTTATAATTTTTCGCATTTCACGTTCGACATAAATTATAAATTATAATATAATTTATTATCATTTCTGTGTTATCATAATGGTGTGGCGCGCGTAGGTTTTAAAAGGATGGTACAACTTACGCGGCCAACATATACAATATACGAAGTAATGAGCTCTGAGACGGTTTAACGTAGAAAGATATTTATTATTACTAGTCGGAAATAAATATCACAGAGTAAATAAAAATCACAGAGGCTATGCCGGTCGCTAGCAGCGGGGACGGTGTCCAGTCGCGGAGTGCGTGTTACTCGTCGCGTACTTGAGGGAGACCCGTGGTCGTTTGCTGAGTACCAAGGACGTGTAACGCGAGCACATGGACGGAAAAGATGGCGGTTTCTCGAGCGAACTGTTAGGGCGCGATAAACTCGAGGCGTGTTCGTGTGCGACGTCGTGTTAGCCGTTTCGCGGTTACGGACGGAGAGGCCGTTGGCAGCCGCCCGACACTTCGCGGTCGCGAACGACGCGGAGGGCCGAGCGGTGTTGCCAACACAGGGAGCGCGACCGACATAGGGAGGGAGTATGTGGTGAAACACTGGTTCGCCACAATGGTATCAAGTATCAACTATCAATTATTGAAATATATGATATGGGCCGTCAGCTGATTCTCATAAATAACAAAATGGCAGTGCCCATGAGTTCAAGGCCGTGTCCCCACTTTTTTCAAATAGCATTAGGAATTGTGAGAGTGTCGTACCCCTGCTAATATTGGTTGAGAACGCGCACCCTTCCCGCACTTCACAAAGAACTGTGACGTAAGTCGTTCTCACCAGCAGAAATAATAATAATAATAATAATGGTATATAATATCACAGAACAATATCGGAGAATATCGGAGAATGGATGGCGTAGTTTTTGTGGTGGGAGAATACACAGTTGTGTATCACAAAGTTGATAGCATACCTACACAGATTAAATGAAAACAGATTGTGCACTTAGATGTAAACAAAAAATGGCCTGATTCTACGAGAGCTTCCCAGCAGCAGATTTTTGGCATCCTTATCACGCGCATATAAGTTTATAACAAATAAATGATAATTCCCGGTTTTTATATTTAAAATAAAGCGTCCGCCGTGCATTCAAATAGGCACGACATTATTCATAAAATATATATTTTGGTAATTTTAGCTTGGTTTATAAAATTTACTACTATAAAAAATATATTATGTAATCAAGTATCAATAGAATATTGTAACTTTATTTTGCCATAAATTAACAGTTTTATTTAATAAAACACATAATTTTTTAATGCATTTTCTTGTTATTTGATTTTATAATAATTCACATACTACGTAGTTAAAATGTAGAATATATCAACAGCCTAAATATTATAGTTAACAAATGATAGTATCAAGACATAAAGCACTTCTTTTTTAGAATTTAAATTTGTTAAGTACTGCTAATGTCAATAAATAAAATGCATAATATTTAGTCTAGTTAATACAATATGAACGCTGTATATTTAACAGTTTTGGTAGGACTTGATGCCGTTACCTGGGAAATTATTAATTATTATTATTTGGCATTAATGTTTGGGTCAAATTTTAGTCTACATTAGATGAGTGAAAATAGGTTTTGACTTAGGTAATGGACTAGGAGCAGATTATGATGTATGCTTAAATAACTTTTTGTATATACAATGTTGGTACTTGGTTGGCTTTAATTTTTTAACTTATAGGTGATAATAATAAAATTTGGTGTACCTATTAAAATAATATAACTAGCTGTCCAGACACGGCGTTGCTCGCGTATTAGTTTGTTTTTTGGCATTTTCATAAGCTGTGTATTAATGTTATTATGTATGAGAAAATATTTTTAATTATTTTTATTTGCAGTTTTATTAGTGATTTCGGAGATCATAGCGTATAGTAAACTATTTAGTATGTCAAATTAATATTCATACAATGTCACTAATAATAACCCACAGGATTAAGTCTGCAATGAATGAGTAAATTACAAAGTTCTTTATTTTATAACATAAACAAATATAATTTTATAAATGATGTACATTTTATACCTTTGAAGGTTGACATTTCTAGAACTTAGCTTTAGGGAACATTTTATACGACATCACTCCCTATTTTAAACATTGTGGATCTTTCTAGAAAATTCTATAACTTTCTTTTTCACAATTATTTCAATGCAAAAATATTGAGGGCCTTAATCGAGATAAAAACTATCCTATCTTTTAAGTTGGACCAAATTACAGACGGTGTAAAAAATGTCATCAAGATCGTTCCAGTAGTTTCGGAGTTCATTCCGGACAAACACTGTGACACGAGATTTTTATATAAAAGATTTACAGAGAGTTGCAGTATTAGCTGCTAATTTGTAATATTAAATAATATAACAATATTAGTCTGTAGCTGTGTCTGAACTGACTACGGTTAATAGAATTACAATTTATATATAATATAAATTAAATATATTCATTTACATGATAATTTTATTTCTTTAGTTGAACATGAGAATATATTATATCAATAGACTATAAGTTTTTTAATCAACAATGATGCCTGTCAACCACAGCCCTATTGTTTTGTACTATGAAGTGATGGACAATATGTAGGTTTCTTTTAAAGTCTACAATTGTATTACACTGAATACGGAAACCTACTGTATTAATATAAATGTGTATAATTAAGACGTATATTTTAAATACTTATATTAATATAATGCATATTATTGTAAATTGTGAGCTTGTGTGCCTCCACACAAACCTGTTCAGTAGTCTATAGTATATAGGCTCTATACCCATCTATAGCAAGAGAGAGAGAGAGAGAGAGAAGTACGGTCTTAAATTACAAGAGACAATTTTAACAGCAGAGTTTTTCAGCGTAAATTGCTGTACGTACATTGTCTGAAATTTCACGACACAGATGTACTACCGTGAAAGATCTATAATGTGAAATATGTCAAAAAAGTTTTTCCACCCCTAAAACATTATCTGTACCTATCAAAAAGTTCCATGATAAAATTGATACTAACAAAATCAAAAAAAATCAAACGAGAATAATTTGCCCTTTGGTTTTTAGTTACAGAATTTGATTCTTGGAAACGAGAAATGGAACAACGGACATCAACAATGTATATACTTGATAGAGCTGCATCAGAATTAAGTGATGGAAATACAAGGCAATTTTACTATAGCAATCGCTCTTACAGTTACCGAAAACAAGGTAACAATGTTAGAGAAATCAAATCTATGGGTAGTAATAAAACTGAACGAGCCTGTCCATCGTTGCTAAAAGTTACTATTTCCAAATTTGATGGAAAAGTGTCCACATCATTTTGGAAAACTCACTGTGGGCATAAACTAGAAATTGGTCGAATTCGGTTGGATGATGAGACAAGAACAATTATTGCCGGTAAGTGCTACTTTTTATTTTAAGTATTAATCAACAATGAGTTAAATATAATATTCGGGACCATTTGATACCATTTAATTCAATTATTATTTTAATTGATTCTACCTGCATACTTTTAATCAGTCTTTGGTGTTTTATATTTAATTTTATAGGTATGGCTATGTTATTTTTTAAACTCTGATTTTGAAGATAACATAAATACCCAAAAATAGTGTAATATTTATTTAATATTTTATTATAAAATAATATAAATGTACTTAGAAAAACTAAAGGAGGGAGTTACTTTTAATCGTGTGTTAGATGCTATTCGTGAGGCTGAAATATCTCCAGATACTTTTAATCGTTCATGCCTCTTGGAACGTCAAGATTCATATAATATAGCACGTGATTTTAACATAGATTATGCAACGAAACGAGATTCAAAAGATAGTATTAGTGTAAAACTATGGGTCACTGAAACGAAATTATTATGTTTGCAGTACTATACTATATTTCTAGTAACCTAGAGGGGGGAAGTTCTTTTTAAGTAAAATTCAATAAGCCTTTGGACTAACACTTAAGTATTTTATTTTGTTCATAATTTTATTATATTTGAATATTGTTACTTATAAGACATGCATAACAATAACAAGAAAAGTATGGCTATAACATTAATAATAATAACATACGTAAAATGCAATAAATAATTAATCAATGGATCAAGTGTTATACCATATCAAATGTTACAAACATTTATAAATTATAATGTATTGTATAAAATGCTATAAAATATTTATATAAGACCGTTCGTCATGGTCTCATCTTTTTTTAAAAATAATCAGAAAAAATAAAAATAAAATAAATATAATAATAAAGGTAATTAAAAAACTTGTCCCATGTCTCTCAGAAACGCGTCAAATGTGTCAAATCGTGTTCAAACTTCTCCACCACGTTTCAATGAGATACCTGTAATAGTTTTACTTATTATATTTATTTATATAATTTATTATATTATTATATATAATTATATTATACCTTGGAAGTAATTCTGGAGTTGTACCACACATATTTTTTACAATTTTTAGCCTCAATGGGCGCCACAAACTGTCTATTCTTTGGGTATGTGCTTTTGATATTGGATTTACAAAATTTTCGCTATGATTTACAATATTGTGACTGTACCCGAGATCCGAAAGTCCATTATAACCTGACCAGCCATCGGAATGTATTGTAGACCCAGCAATGACCTCTCTTTGTATAATATTGTGTAATGTAACCTTGTCTCTTTTTTGGATTACAATAATTCCTTGCTCCATTTTCTAGAGGATCAATATTTTCCTAGTCATCGTCGACGTTAAGATTTTCGGATGGTAAATCTCCAAGTCGAAGTCGTCATTTATTATTTTTCCTTGATCCTCGTTACAAACACTCGTCTACTTGGATAACTATTCCGGGTCCTCCTAATTTATTGCGGTTTTCAAATATTCTGACAGGTACATCACGACACAAGTTCATCCAGTCACACACTGTATGAGCTGATCTACCGGTTAAAGTTATAATTGCGGACTGCTTTAAATCTTGACACCAATAATAAACTAATTCTAGTTGTGCTCCAATGCTTAATCCACTATAATTACGCCCATTTTTATACAAGTATGTCCAAAACCTATTGTTCTTTCTAAATATATAGGTAATTAATATTATACATATGAAATATTAAATAGTACCTTACCTTATACTTTGAGTGGTTTGACACACTTTCCTTTTACACCTCAACAATTTTCTTTCTTTTCCGCGTTCTTTTTTTATGTAATATTTCATTTCACTACTACATTTATCGCGCAATACATTTTCTACATTTACTAAAAGTTTTTTAGAAATTAAAAAATTAGTAGCCGATTCTTCGTTTTGAATTATAGTATAAAATTCTTTTGCAAGCATATTGAAAAGTGAAAATAAAAACCGTGTAAACCCAAGAACTGTCGGCCAATGACTAAATACACGATCAAAAATTATATCATGCAGTAAAAGAGAGTGCTAATCTTTATTAGCATTAAGTCAAGATAGTAAAGATAAATTGGGTAGTAGAGTGCATACGACAAGATAGCCTAAAAATGTTCAAATTTCGGATTTACTAAAGATCAGCCGACGACCAGTGATGGGAAAGTTCCTAATATAGTTCCTCTAAAAAAAGAACTATTTCCAATTTTCGTTCCATTGTTAACCTAGTGTCCTAGTTTTCTCTCGACTTTAGAGTCATACCTTGTTATTTATAATGTAAAAACAACAATGATCATTGAATTAGAACTTAAAAGAAGAAACTAAACAGGAGCTGAATAGTGAATATAGGTTACCCACTGAACAATTTAATTAATAGGTACAACAAATTAAAAATGTATAATAATTAATAATATAGATTTAGTTTGAATTTAGCTTATACTTTTTTTTCCTTTAAGTACTTTCAACTTTTAAGTATAATATATTTGACTCGGCCCCGCGTAATGGCAGTTTGAATTCAAATAGCCTTTACGCGAACGCCGCTCTGTGGCTTCCCAAGCAAACCGCCAATCGACGCCGGTGAGCGACACCCGCGCCAGGAACCGGCCTGGATAAGTCACTATAGTTTATACTTTATAGTTCTCAACGACCCGCATACACGGACACCGCGCACGTCCCCGCGAGTTCCGTTCACAACACACCGCAACCGACGGACAACCCGATACCGCTACTCATTTTGTTTATATTCTTCTAACAAGGTATAATAGGATCTACAGTATAAACATCAATTGAACTGCACCAGTGTTTTTTTTCTTTTTCTTTTCCTCCTCAACCCACATCATCCACGCGGCACCCCACAGGACCGCATCAACTGGAAATCAGGAATCACCGGTAAGTGAAAATTTTCTTTTTCCCTTAACTTACCCCTTACTACCACCACCATATACCCATAGATAAGTATATAAAATAGATAAGCCACTCCTGTGTTAAATTGTTGTACCGTCACAACTACTCCCGGTGGTTGTATAATAACACTAAAACAGCGCGCAATCGATGGTCACAACTATCGATAATTATCATTGACGATAGTTATCATTATCGATAGTTTAAAATTAAGTCAATTACGTTTATGTATTATAATAAAAAAACAATTGAATTAAAAATGAAATATTTATCTGTATTTTAAAGAATTATAAACGACAACCAAAAATTATAATTTAAACAAAACTTAATACATTTTATATAATATAAAAACACTTTATTATTAAATATAAACTGAAAATATTATGGGAATAATAAAATGATAATATAATAATATATACAACCAGCCAAGGGTAAAAGTACAGTTAATTACAGAACAAAATATATAAAATATTAAATACAATTAAATAATAACAATAAATGTATAAGTTACATATTTTTATCTACATGAATGTATTATTAATAATAAGCAATAGGTAAAAGAAAAAACATTTTGAATGAAATATAAAACTAAAAAATTAATAATTTGGTTTATATACAATTATAATAATAATTCTGTCCAACATAATAATAATAAAACAAAAATGTGTCCAAGTACCTACTCAAAGTCAATAATTTAAAAACATAATTTAGGGTAATAGGTTACCTATATTTACCTTGAACAATTTTTTTTTGAGTGTTTTAAAAACCATGTATTTGCAAATAAAAATATAGGGTCATTTTCATGAAGTCGTATCTTGCGTTTTCCCATTAGAATCCTATTTACTTCTGTACACCAATGATTAATTATTAACTCTACAATGCACTTTACTATTTTTTTATTTAAATCTGTTTCATGTTTAGAACAATGAAGAATATCAACATTGAACTTTGTTAATATGTCTGCAACTAGTGATTGTCTCAATTGTGAGTGATGACATATTGAAGGCAGTATTTTACTGGTGTATGAAATTATGTCTTGAACTAGATATTTGAAAGTAGCAGCTGGATATTTCAAAGATGGTCTTGATGATTGATATTCTCTTGCTTCAATTAATGCATGCTCATAAAGAGCTTTATCACTACATAGTTGTTGTAAGCAAGTGTCACAGTTTTTAAAAACACACTTGTTAAGTTTTCTGATTATATATCCAGCAATGTAGGTATGCGTCAAATCTCTTAAATCTTTAGTAGTATTAGTAGATTCAGGTACTTGTTTTCTGGGAAGTTAAATGATGTGAAAGTTGGTTTAGGATGTTCTTGTTGAAATGAAAATACATTTTTTGTAACTCATCAGACTGTCTTCATTGAAATCTTCGCAGTTTGCTCCTGGAGAATGTGAGGACACCAAATTGTTGAGAAGTAAAGTTGTATATGATGAAATAAATAGACTGCAAGTCGGTGTTTTATTTATTTATTTATTAATTCAAACGGGCAACGCCCAGTAACAGTTTTAAATCAAAACATTAACAAAAAATGTTTACAATTAGAAAGAGACTAAAAGTGAACAGAGTGAGATTAAGACATATTATAAATACTTATACAAAATATAGAATAATTAATTAAGATTAATAATAACAGTAGTTAAAATAGCGAATAATTTAGTAAGATTAATAATAACGGTAATTTACATAAAAAGGTTTATAATATTGATAAATAATTCACAAGTAATAATTATGAATATAATTATAAAAAGACTCAATTGAGTTAAAATTAAATAAATCGACATGTGTATCATTAGCTAATTTCATCATTCTATTAATAGGAACATTTACTAAATAATTAGTTCTATGTAGTTGCGAATAAAAAGTATAAGTAGATCTTGTTTGGCATTGAGGAACATAGAAATTAAGAAAGTTTAGTACCTAATTCACTAGAATTAATGATACCGTTTACCACTTTATATAGGAACTTTAAGTCAATAATATTTCTCCTGGTTGCAAGACTATTCATATTTAAAGTGTCTAACAAAGGCTTATATGGTGTTTGACGTTGACGCGGAATATTGCATTTGTACGACATAAAGCGAAGGAAGCGATTTTGTATACCTTCAAGGCATTGGATATGGGCATTTACAGATGGCGACCAGATAACCGAATTATATTCTAAAATAGAGCGTACTAGTGAAAAGTATAATGTTTTAAGAGTAAAGGGATTAGTAAAATCTTTTCATGTCCTACTAATAAATCCTAGTATAGATGACGATTTTTTAGAAATATTCAGATAGTGTTTATTGAAAGTAAGATTAGAATTAAACGTAACCTAAATCTAGATTTTCGGGTGAAACACGATTGCGGACGCTTTACCTTTTTTGCAACACGATTGCGGACGATTATTATATAACAAAAGGTCTTATGTTGCACCCAAAAAATGACACGACTGCGGTCGAAATTAAATGAAACGTTGCCAAGTTGTGCGATTATAAAAATAAGTTATAAATCAAAAACTAAAGTTTTCTATAAATTAAAATACTATAAGTGCTTACTGTACATATTCATTAAAAGTCCAGAATTAATTTATCACAATTACAATACAATTACGAAATTTAATACGATTATAATAAATACTTTATGCGAATCTGTTGACAGCAAAATGCTATTATTTGCGGATGATGTAAAATTATTTAATTGCGTTCAATCTGAGAGTGATGCTATTTTGTTACAAGAATCGTTGAATAAGTTAGTCCATTGGTGTAATACAGTTGGGTTAGAGCTGGCTATCCATAAATGTAAAGCTATGTCTTTTTCGAGACGTCACTCAATTATTCAATATGATTACTCTATTGATAACGTGATGTTACAGCGAATAAACCAAGTTGAAGATTTAGGTTTTATTTTTACTCCAACGTTATCATTTGCACCTCATATTGACTGGATAGTAGGCAAAGCATTGCGATCATTAGGGTTTATTAGGTGACATGCAGGGTCGGTCATGTCTGTAAAATGTTTGTTAATATTATATGCTACTCTAGTTAGATCAATTGTAGAGTATGGCTCTGTGGTATGGTCTCCGAGGACCAAATGTGATATTATTCGAATTGAACGTGTTCAGCATCGTTTCTTAAGCATGGTTTCTCGATTTATGGGCATTAATCATGAACCCCATGACTATAAACCCGTCTTAATAGCACTCAATTTATCCACCCTAAGCGAAAGAAGAAATATGAGTGATATTAAACTTTTAAATGGTTTAGTCTCTGGTGTAATTGACTCACCAGACTTGTTATCTAGAATAGGTTTTCGCATTCCAGGTACAACCCGTTCTCGGGACCCCTACTACCTTGCTTCAGTGTCAAAAAATTATTTGGATGATGATCCTTTAAGGAGAGCTATGTCTTTAGTTAATAGTCAAACTAGTTAAACATTTTTTCTAATTTAGGTTTTTGTTCCGTTAAATTTAATTTTCAGGAGCCTACTATGTACTACTGTATAATTTTAATTTATTGATATTCAATGTGTTATGTTTAGATATGTATATACATAAAAATATGTTATAATGTTTATGAGTTATAAGTATTTAAAGTTTAGACGAGTGGTGAAGTGGACAAACATTTCGCGGGGTAACCCCGAACCACTCCACTCCGCTCGTCTAAACTTTAAATACTTATAACTCATAGACTACTCGCCCCAAATTCAATTTTCATGTATCAAAATACTAAGAAAAATATTCTACTTTAGAATATAAAATTAAAACCCTATGTTGTCATTCAAAAAAGTAAAAAACTTAAAAAATTATAAGGATAAAAAATAATTAAAAATATAATTTTTTAATAAAAACGTTGTTTTATAAGCGACTTGAAACTATGTAAAAAAATATCTTCAAAAAAATTTATACTTTTTGAAATAATGAGTGTTGTTTGATAAAAGAATCACCCGGTATTGTAAAAGCTGTATGGCGTTTAAAATAAAATAAAATTAAAATTAAAATAAATAAAAAAATAAGTTATAAATCAAAAACTAAAGTTTTCTATAAATTAAAATACTATAAGTGCAACTACAATTACAAAAGTACTTAAAAAAGTTAAAAATTAAAAAACAAATAGGTACTCATCCTCAATATAAACATTTAAATTTATATTTTTTTTCCTCTTTAATAACAAGAAATCGTTTTTAAATATTGTAATATGTTATGGTGATTTTTATAATCATTATAGCTCTGAATAGTTAATTTAATTCTATCTAAATCTTTTTTTGCCACGATTTTTTTTCGACCTTTGTTTATTGATGAAATTATTGTCTCAGTGTCGGCTTGAGTTTCTTTTAAAATCGATATAACTAAATGAATCGGAGGATGAGTATTATGAAACTGGCTATTATATGTCCGGTGAAAACTTTCTGCTCCATTAGTAGTTCTTAAATAAAAATTATATTATAATTAATATACCTTATAATTAAATATTATGATTAATATATACCTTGGGTTCAACGTTGGTCTGGACGCCCACAGATTTGGTGGAAATAAAGCATCAGGTTCTATGTAATTTGATAAGACGTAGTCCGAAAATAAATTTCCTACTGGGCTTGGACATACTGTCATAAGCTCCACAAATGCGTCCTCAACTTCCAGATATGGTATAAACGGTAAACCAAGAAACAACTTTAACCATTTACTAAGTTCGTCATTTTGATTATTATATGCTGTACGCAATTGCGAACCTCCGTTTATCTTTAAATATAAAACTATTATTAGTACTCTTTGTGGAAAAATAATATATTAAATTATATTATAAATTATATTTAATTAAATTGTTTTAATAATTTAAAACAGATGAGATTTTATAAATTGTATAAATATGTTACCTTTCGCCACCATGATTGGCCAAGATGAAATCTGCAAGTTTCAATAATTGCACCGGGAAATATATTTCTTAATGCCTCGTGTGCTCCAATTTCGAAATCCAAATGTAACTGTTTGATGTCAAAACTACGATTTGAAAGTTTCAAACTTATCTTCAAAAGAAACCTCCACATTTCAATATATGTTTGTTTTGATTTATCAGGCAAAAAGAAATAAACGAGTGGTACGTAAAATCTATTTTTGTAGCAGTGAATAGTATATAATTGTAAAAAAAATCTAGGTGCATAATCAAACGTCCCATCTGCAAAGAACTCTGTGCTCTCCGCGAGTAAATTAATATTTGATGAAGTTGTTAAGCAAATAATATTTTTATCATCGTGAACATGGACAAATTGATTACCTTTAAATTGAAAAAAATCGTCTTCGTGCAAATTTTTTAGTTGATCAATTGCTTCATCAAATGATTTCGGAAATGTTGGGTAATGTTTTCGTCTCTTCTCATACATAGTTTTCCTCACAGTTTTTATGTCTTCTTTAACTATCTCTGTTACTGTATTATTTAATAGTTCCGTTCTTATCATTTTTAACGGCTTAGTAGATAAATCTTCTTCGCATTTTCTTTTACAATTTTCCCTTAATATCTGTCGCTCGATTTTTTGTACAGAGTTTTCAGAGCAGATATGCTCGCCGGAAAATTCACAAATCGATTTTTTATCTGATGTCGTCAAAACACTTGTACTACAGACTTTGTTTGTAGATAACCATTTTAGAATTCCATCTTCCCGCTGTCGCCTGAATCGATATTTGTTTGTTTTGTGTAGAACTAACTCTTTACCACGTTCTGATAAAATAATTTGAAAGTCTTCCATAGTTTAAAAACACAATATACACTAGGTATATAGACTATATTATACAACGAGGTTGCAGCTATTACTGCAGTATTTAACAAAAATGAATTGTAACTGCATACTAAACTTAATACGCTCAGAATTTCCACATTATCGAAGTATTATTTATAAATTTGGCAACATGTGTCCGCAATAGTGTAATATTCGGGGGTCCGCTGATAAACTATAATCGTTCGCAATCGTGTTATTAAAAAGGTCGCCCCGATAAGAACCGTCCGAAGTCGTGTATGCAGTCGTGTAACCACCCGATTAAGTAGAACATTATCTAAATAATAATTATGAATAACTGGATTACTTGACCTGGAGAAAGTCATTACTTTACATTTATCAACATTTAGCAGTAATTTGTTTTTTTTTACACCAAACTGATAAGCGATTTAAGTCGTTCTGTAACAATATAGAATCTGAGGATGACTTTATTAATCGAAATAGTTTCAAATCATCGGCAAATAGTAGTTTTTGAGAGTCATTAAAATGTAAATCATTAATAAATAATATAAAAAGCAATGGAGCTAGATGAGAACCTTGTGGAACGCCAGATGGAATATTGAAAGGTTCCAAACTAAAGTTTTTAACTTTGACAATCTGTTTTCTGTTAGTGACATATGAAATTAACCATGATAAAATTGGATCACGAATTCCAATAGAATGAAGTTTTTCAGAGAGAATGGAATGAGTTACTTTATCGAAGGCTTTAGAAAAATCAGTATATATTACGTCTACTTGGCATCCTGAAACAAAAACATCGAGAATAAATTTTTGAAAAATTAATAAATTAGTCGTTGATTTTCCCTTTATAAATCCATGTTGATCATTATTTATTACTGGTGCAAGTACCGGATATATTTTTTTTGGTACTAAGGATTCAAATATTTTAGGAATAATAGAAATAAGGGAAATCGGCCGATAATTAAATATATTAGACAAATCATTTCCTTTTTTTATTGGTGTATCATGGCTAATTTTCCAGTCTGAAGGAAAGTAACCAGAAGAAAGAGATAAATTAAATAAGTGTAATAACGGAACACACAAAACAAATTTACATTCTATAAAGAAACAATTTGATATCATATCTGGACCTGGACTTGTTTTATTATTAATGATATCCAATTCATTTAGAACGTCGCGTCGGTAATGTTCAGCGTACATGTGTAACGTACCAACCACTTCAACTCAATATTGATGGTATTTTGAATTAAAATAACAAGTTGATGGTATAATGATAGTTTATTTGTATTTATTTAACACGAAAAATATTCTAAGTCCAAATAATTAAATTATAAAATAGTGGTAAACGGGTTGTGACTTTGTGGCTGTTCTGCTAGTGCTCGTCGTCTTGGCTGGTGTTCGTCTGATGGACACTTGTCCATCGACGTATTTCGTCGGTTTTCCTATTAGATCCCTCCTATGGCATTTTTAGTATAAAAATGGTACATAGCTGCGTACACCTGACGTCATTTCGGCGTCCTCTACGAAATAATGTTAATTGGGATTATATGTTTTCAAAGTTATCTATTTTTGTTATTTACGGCTTTTTCGTATTTCCTAGAATATGGATAATGTGCGCGTTCTATACTCTTATCGATGTGGCCGCCCGGACGCTTATATTATTACTATTATCGGGTTACGTGCCCTCTGCAGCATTTATATCTGTTATTGAATATAATATATTATATTATAAGCGTATTATACTTAATACAGCATAATATAATATAATATTTTATATATTATTACTATTATAATATGTACGTAGTCACAGCCCGTTACACATGAATGTAGGTTAATATAAACTAAATTATTTAAGACAGTTGACGATAATTTATTTGTAGATGTTGGCGTAATTAAATTATTTACATATACACTTGAAAAATAACTAGCAAAACAATTAACAATATCTTTACCACCACTTATTACATTATTGTTATAAGACATTGTATTTGGTAAGGTTGAGTTTGATTTTTTTTGACTAAAAAATTTCCAAAATAGTTTAGGATTAGAGTTTAAAGAAGATTGCATTATAAGAATAAAATTATTATAATCTAATTTGGATCGAGATTTACAATGAGCACTTAAGTTAGAAAATTTTTTGTAATTTGATTGTGAGGGAGTTTTCTTGAATAGCATATGGGCAATTTTTTTCTTATAAACTAAGTCCCTTAAAAACGAGCTAAAACATATCGGATGTTTACTAGTAAAATATGTTTTCTTATTACAGTAAGTATCAATAATTATAAAAACATGGTAATAAAAGACATTAACTGCATCATTAATGTGTAGACCCTTTAACACGACTTCCCAATTAATAATTGCTAATAAAGATCTTATAATATTATAATCACAATTTACGTAATCGTATACAGTATCGTTATAGTGCAAAGGTTCATTATTTTCAAAGATAGGAATACTAATTAGTAGAGCTGGATGATAAGAGTAATCAATTGGAACTAAAGTAGATTGCTCACGGGAAACACACACATCAGTTGAATTAGACAAGACTAAGTCCAAAATTGAGTTTTTGTGATTTTTTACTGTATTAAATTGTTTTAAATTAAGATATGAGGAATTAGCTAATGCGTCAGCCTCAATTTTACCAAAGTGAGAAACAACTTCATCACTCACAGTAGACCACTGAATAGCGGGTAAATTATAATCTCCTAATAATATAATCTTAGAATTACTATATTGACATAACAGATTATTAACTATATCAGTATGATTATTATATACATTTAAACTAGAGTGTGGTGGAATATATACAGCACCAATTATAAACAAAGAAGACCCAATTGTTAATTTTACAAATAATTGCTCAATGTTGTTGTTGTGGATGGTTATTTGACTGCAATGATAATGGTTTTTGATGGCAATTAGAACACCACCTCCTCTTATATCATTATCGTTTACGGTACATCTATCACAGCGAAAAATAGAATAATTTGGAAGGAGGCCGAGTTCATCTTGCCGTAGCCAGGTTTCCGTTAAAACAATTATATCATAATCAACTAATCCAACATTGCGGGCAAGAACATCAAGTTTGGTATTAATACCACGGACATTCTGATAATAAAAATATAATTGATTTGATACAACATTAACATTGGGTTTTGTTAGTTTTTTGAGACGACAGGCAAATTATTTACATATTTGATGAAGAGATCAGTTTCACCTGCAATTTTTCTAGCATTTAATTCATCAATAACACTTTTTAGGTGTTTTCGTTGTAGCATTGTTCTATCAGTAGATATACTAATGAGTTTAAAATCAACCGAATTACTAAGTTTGCGTTTGTTTTTTAAAACATCATATACATCGTGTTGATTCGGTAGTGTAGCTCGAATTGGCTGACACTTATTAGTAGTTTTATCTAAACGTATAATATTAATAAGTTCAATGCATAGATCAATTTTCTTAAATATATTTGAAACATAATTTTTATCATCATAGTTAGGTTGATTGGGAGTTTCAGGTATATTGAATAAAATTATATTGCGGCTTCTGGATTGGCGATCGGAAATCTCCGCGAAAATATGTTCCTGATTTAAAGAAGTTGAGTTACTACTACTAACTTCAAGCTGAGATACTTTAGACTCCAGATGTTCAATTTTAGTGACAAGTGAGTTATTGTTAGCAAGAATCTCATCAAACTGCTTACATATAAAATCAAGCTTACCATCAATATCAGCAACTTTTTTAGCCATAAGCTTCCTGTCTTCGCGAAAAGAATTAATTGAGGTGATTAACTTGTTTTGAGTAGTTTTAATATCGTTGATAGATTCAATAATTTTAACTAGTTTATCCGATGAATCGAGACCTTCCATAACAATAACATAAATAAAATTGAGAAAAGATCCAAGATAATTTATTATAACTATATAGTAATTATACTGTAATTAAATCACGTTTATCACGGAGCGCACAAACAGGCACGTGTTATTCGCACAACGGTTCACACGTTTTGAACACCCAACACTTTTGGCAGCACCAAAGAAACATTCCAACGAATCTTGGTTCAGATGCCAAGATGTTGGCATCGCTTCTGGCTTTGAGTCTGGTTTCCTTCCACCTGCGACGCCACGGTCTTCCCCTGCACGGAAGGACGCACTCCCGTCCCGATGGGGCATTTCTCCCCTGCGTTGTCGCGAAGTCCCTGAAAAAATGTAAAAACACGGCCCCAGGCGACGACGGCCTCACCTACCAACATTGGAGACGCCTTGACCCGTCGTGCAGCCTACTGTCCGAAGTTATCAACATCTGTATTATACATCGCCGTGTCCCCCCGGCTTGGAAGAAAGCGGTGATAGTTTTAATTTATAAAAAGGTTGACTAGAGCGATCCGAGCAACTGGAGGCCGATATCTCTGTGCCGCACCATCTATAAACTATACGCCGGGTGCATTGCCGGTCGTCTCACTGAATGGCTTGTAAGCAACGCTGCGCTAGGCCCATGCCAGAAGGGATTTCTCCCCGCGGACGGTGCTTTCGATCACGTCCACACGTTGAACCACGAGCTGGAGAAGGCCAGGACCGGCCGCTCCAACAAATGTGTGGCGTGGCTCGACGTGTCCAACGCATTCGGGGCAATCTCCCATTTGGCGCTGAAGACCGCCATCGAGAACTGTGGTGTTGGTGAGGGTTTGCTCCATATCGTCCGGGACCTGTACAGTGGCGCCACTTCTTCTGTTATTGTGGCCGAGGGGAAGACCCCTGACATCCCTGTTTTGTCCGACATTCGTCAGGGATGCCCTCTGAGCGGACTACTCTTTATTATGGCGATTGATCCGATCGTATCCGCGCTACAGGGGCAGGAATCCGACCACTGGGTCCTGGCTTTCGCCGGTGACCTTTGTCTTCTCGCCGACAGTGCCCCTGCCCTTCAGTTGAAGGTGGATGAAGCGAGAGCCGGGCTGGAACCCCTTGGGCTCAAAATTAATGCCAGCAAGTGCGCCTCTCTCCATCTTTCTGGACGACACCCCGTTGTCGTGCGGGAGAGCGTATTCACAATCCTTGGGGCCCCTATGAAGCCGCTGGCAGAAGGCGAAGCTGCCGTGTTCCTTGGCGCTCAGGTGGGCTTCCATGTGATCCCCATAAGTCTACGCTCGCAGACATTACTGAGCTAGGACTTAAGATTGCTAGGAGCAAGTTAGCTCCGTGGCAAAGGATTGACGAGCTAAAAACTTTTTTCTTCCCCTCTGCGGTCCACCTCCAGCGCATGGGAACGTTCACGAAAACGGATTGGAAGACCATCAATGACATCCTGCGGCCCGAAATCAAAGTCAAGCTCAACCTCCCGCAAGAGGCCTCGAATGAGTACATCTATGGTTCCACTCTGCGCGGCTGCTGCGGAATCACGAGGCTGGCTGAAAACTCTGATATTGCGGCCATTGACAGCGCCTTCAAGCTTCTCGCCTCCCCTGAGGGACGGGTCACGAGGGAAGCGGTCGACCATGTGAGGAGCGTCACCTTCCGGAGGATTCGCCAGCTCCTTCCAACAGTGAGGTTGGTAATTATTTATCTGGTGATAATGAGGGTCCCTTCCGCGAGAGCCGGGGCAGTGGCAGGGCCGAACTTCCGCCTAGGCAAACTAGGCAGCTGCCTAGGGGCCCTTGCCTTTCTGGGGCCCTCAGGGAAACACACACAAAAAAAAAAGGTATCACACACATAAATTGATTAACACGGACAAAAGTTCGTGTATAATATAGAATATTATTGAGAGGAAGTAATTTAGAAATTAATATTATTATGTTGTGTTTTAGTTTTATGGAACCGTATATAAACATAAATAAATACATTTTGTGGTGTTTATCAGTGTTTATTTGTTTCTATTCGATTATATTTATAGCCGAAACCCGTAAATAAATGTATAGCCGTAAACACTTAACATTCTTAAAATAGTGAATAATTATTATCGCGTCGCTCGCTCGCCAGCTCGCATGCAAAATCAGTTCAGCTGGTACACGGCGTTATCTTTATCTTTACATCAAAACCAATAGTCTATGGTACATAAAGTTATAAATAATTTGTTTTGAAAGCCAGGGGTACGATTATCAGTTATTACGATTTAATTTTCATTTACACTCCGATCGTGTTGCCGTGTTGGTGTCAACTGAAAAATTACGTAAGTACAATAATATAGCTGGTTATATAACACATGGTTAACCCACAAACACCTAATGACCAAAACGAATCCCGAACCATGTCTCTCCTGTGGAGTAACACCTACAGTCAAGCACATCATATGCTCCTGTCTAGAACACAACGACGTCAGAGTCAACCTCAAACTAGCTGACAATCTTTATGAAGCACTCGGCCCGGATCCGGACAACATCCAAAAGATATTTACTTTTTTAAAACTAACTAAATTATATAATTTAATCTAAATACGCATTCGCACCCCAAACTTGAATTATATAACTCTCCCTCCGTTTTATCTTTCTATGTAAAATTTAATAACAGCCAATAATCTATGTTGTTGTGGCTCATTTAATAAAAAAAAAAAAAAAAATAATATAGCTGTTCATAATATAAATCAGTAATAATTTATTCTCATACGTTGTACCTACAAAACGATTTTAACCTTAAAAATTATACGATATATTTAAGTCAGCATGTTAGTTAAATATATCCAGTTCATCTAAGCCGACGTGACTATTTAGTTTCAAACAATAACAGAGATTAAAAATGTTTATTTTATTGAAAAAATGTAGGTACTAATGTCAAATGTAAATTATAAATTAACCCGTCTTCAGTGGTTTATACGTTACAGTTTATAGTTTATACTAACTATATTGCATTATTGCTACTATATTATAGTACGTTATAGACTATAGTAGCAATGTATACTGTAATAATATACTAATAATAATAATATATTAATAAAATAATAAGATTATAGTAATTAATTTGTGTTTTATTTAAATTTTATTTTATAAACGCTGAATAATACTGATTATTAATAATTGATCGACCAAAATGACCACTATTATTTACTATTTATTTTTTTTTACCACTTTATTTGCTTTTTACTATTTTATATGATGCCACTATTGTATGTGTAGTTTGGTCAAAATGATGTTATTTTAGAGGACGCCGATGATAACAAGTTAAATTGTAGGATATTTTTTCAAATTTAAACGAATGTCACAGGCTAAGATAAACTGGACAAATTATAAATATATGTGTTTATATGCAGATCTTAACAATATTTAATTCATTAAAATATTGTTTTTTTGAACTTGTTAAAATTGTAAATAAATTGGTAATCAATAAAATATGAAGTAATTTTAAATGTATTTTTGGTGAATAATTTAAAGGTAGACCTTTTGAGAATAAGAGTGAGAATGTCTAATACCAACAAACCATTGAGTGGGTTCCAAAAAAGAAAAAAGAATTTAGAGAAATTGCTGAAAGAAAAAGAGCTTCTTCGTAAAGTTCCTAAAATGGATTCGTTCTTTGCCTCTTCTAGATCTAATAATTTAAATGTATTAGTATCTAATGATTGTAGTGAAGACAATCAACCAGAAAGAGTATCTGAAAAAGAAAAGTCACCTCAAAACTTAATTTCAGAAAATATTATCATTCAAAACGAGATATCTATTAGCGATGATCCTGCCAAGTGGGTACTGGATGATGCTACAATTGAATACTTAGTTCTAAATGGTGTTAAACAAAATATGGACATTGATTTTTCATCTTCAAAACGTCAGTATGCAGATACTACCAGATTTCTATCCCTATCACTTTTCAGTCGGAAATTACCGAATGGTGAAATACAACCTCGGCCTTGGTTAATATTTTCAAAGACCAAAGGTACTGTTTTCTGCGCTCCTTGTAAACTGTTTAAAAAATCGGGGTCTTTATCAAATGATGAAGGATATAACGACTGGAAAAATGCAGGTCAGAGAATGAAAGAACATGAAAACTCAGATGATCATAGATCTGCATGTGCTAAACTGTTGGCGAGAAAGAACGCTGGTGGTAGGATTGACGAGAGACTTGTACTTCAAATGGAAGAAGAAATTAAATACTGGCATGAAGTTTTGAGGCGTGTTGTTGCTGTTGTAAGATCATTGTCTGCACGTGGACTGCCATTTAGAGGTTCGGAGGAAAAATTTGGATTAAGAAATAGCGGAAACTATATCATGTCTTTAGAACTTTTAGCTGAGTTTGATCCTTTTCTAAATATACACATCAAGCGTTATGGGAACAAAGGCTCTGGTACAACATCATACCTTTCATCTAAGGTGTGTGACGAAATTATTGATATCATGGCAAAAAAAGTCATTAGTACGATTGTAACGGAGATACGACAAGCTAAATATTTTTCTATATCAATAGACTCGACTCCAGTGCCGCATTTAGGGGGGGGGCACTGGCTACAACTGCCCGGGGCGCCAGTATTTTGGGGGCGCCGAAATTTTGTGGTCGGAAATAAAAAAATTAATAAAAATAAAATGAAAAATGAACTTTTAAAATGTAAATTATTTTAATAACAGACAACAGTAGGTATTATATAATATTAATGTATTATGCTGTTTGAAATTAAAACAACTAATGTATTACGCCGGACTGCAAGCAAAAATAAAAGAAGCCAATCCCTTAGCAAAATTTGTACCATGCTCTGCGCATTCCCTTAACCTGGTTGGAACTAATGCAGTTGATTGTTGTACTCAAGCCGTTTTATTCTTCGATTTACTTCAAAATGTTTACACGTTTTTCACAGCTTCTACTCACCGCTGGAAAGTTCTAAACGCTTCTGTTAAGGGACTTTCAGAAACAAGATGGTCTGCTAGAGATAACGCTTGCCAATCTCTGAACAAAAACTGGTCTTTAATTATTAATGCATTAAATTTAATAAATAATGATGATACTGAGAAAACACTTACTCGAAATGAAGCTAGTGGAATTCTCAACAAGTTAAATAATTTAGAAACTGCATTCCTATCTATATTCTGGGGTCAAATATTACACCGATTCAACTTAACGAGCAAGAAATTACAAGCTGTCAATATCGATTTGGGTGTAGTGTGTGAATTGTATAAATCATTAATAACATATATCATTGATTTACGATCTGATAAAAACTATGAGTATTTTAAACAATGTGCAATTGAAAAAAGTAAAATTAAGCAGTTTCAATCCTGTACCAATTGATTACAAATAAGAAAACAATTTTTTGATGAAGGGCCATCTAAAGAAACAACAGTTGAATACTCTGATTTTAAAGTGAAAACTTATTTTGTTGTACTTGATCAACTGCGGTCACAACTAGAAAAAAGAAATGAAAAATATGAAAATCTACTTAAAAATTACAACTTCTTTTTCAAATTAACAGAGATGACATCAATTAAAGTCCGAAAGAATGCTGAAATACTACAAAATGAATATAAAGATGATCTCAGTACTTTATTTGCTAATGAATGTGTTCATTTTAGGAGCCACTTATTAAGTATCGGTGACGAGGCTCCTAAGACTATCCAGGATATGTGTGGTGTTTTGAGAAAAAATGATTTAATAGGAATGTACCCTTATATAGATGTATCTCTCAGAATGCTATTATGTACTCCTGTAAGTAATTGCTTGACCGAACGGTCATTCTCATGTTTAAAACGTGTCAAAACATATCTGAGGTCTTGTATCTCAGCAGAGAGACTCAGTGATTTAGCTATTATGAATATAGAATTTGATGTAACAGCTAAAATTGAATTTGATGATATTATCAATGAATTTGCTACACTACAAAGTAGAAGAAAAATTTAGGTACCTAAACAAATATTTTATTATATTTTTATATTGTTCTTATTAATATTTGTACTTATTTTTAAAAAAATAAACCATAAGTTTGCACATAGTTTATATTAATATGATCCATGAAGTAAATACCTAAATATGTAAAAAAAAAAAAAAACATATGATGTAAATTATAAGCAGGACTCAAGTGGAATACACTCAATTGTATCTATGGGGGGCGGGGGGGGGAGTGTTCATGAAAATATTAAACAATATTTTTAAAAAAAACACATTATTGTAAAACAATATTCTTTTCTTTGCTCAAAATCTAAAAGGTTCATGAGAATTTATCCTCCATATTTCCCATATATGGGGTTAGGCCTCATACGGGGGCGCCAAATTTTTTTTGCACCGCAGCACAAAATGTCTAAATGCGGCACTGGACACCGGGTATATAATGCGTAAATGTTATATCCCCGGACATGATGTGCACATGCGCGGGGACTTGTAATTTCGGCGAGGCGTTATCAATGTTATCAGTTATCAGATTTAAATCAATTTAATTGATATCGAATACCGCGTAAATTTGAATAATTGATTTTTATATATTAACCACTAACACTTAAAATTTTTAATAACAGTTATTCGCCTTTTACTGTTAAATACAAAAATAAAACAAAAAAAAAAAAAACCAGCCATAAAAATAAAGAAAATGTGATATAATCAAATGTTCATCAAAACCAGTTCACATTTTCCAGTTTCAAATATAAATAGACTGTAGACTGTAGAGTATGTATTTCATCATACTCTATATCTTACTATATAATAAAACATATTATAATTTATAAAAATATATAGAAATTGTATTTTTGTGGGAATTAAAGTACACATTAACATAACATTTGAATTCATATTCAAATTATTAATTAATATATAAAAATCAATTATTCAAATTTACGAGGTATTCGATATCAATTAAATTGATTTTAATCAACGCATGCGCACATCATGTCCGGGGATTTAACATTTACGCATTATATACCCGGTGTCCGGGTCTCTAGCCACAGCGTTACTTATTATTACTTACCTTATTACGTATGTAACGACATTGTCATAAACAATCGATACACCAAGCTCCTACTAAAACTCTTAGCTATAATAGTTAAATTTACTGCAATACTCGTGAAAAATGTCTATCTAATTCGTGCATTCAAACTACTTATATTTTAATATTATTGAAATGCTGAATGGCTGAATTCAAACAGATATTGCGCGGGACCGCGTCAACATGCAGCCTGTGCAATAATAATTGTAGCTCTATCAGGCTGCACCAACATTTTATTCTCAAATACATTAAACTGTTTTGTTAGTATGCCAAAAGCACACTCCACAATTCTCCTCGTTCGTGATTGCCGGTAGTTATAAATTCGCTTTAAATTTGTAAGTTGTCTACGTGCAAATAGTTTCATTAAATTGGCTTTTAAAGGATACGCTTCGTCCGCGACAAAAACAAATGGAAATTCATACTCTAAATCTTTATTTATTTTTCTTGGCTTAAGGAAAAAGCAATTTATTAGCTTCTAGTAATTTTCCAAAATTTGATTCCTTAAGAACACCTCCATCACTATTACGACCAAAATCCCCAACATCAATAAATATAAATTTAGTATTAGCATCAACTACTGCTTATAACTAAACTATAGAATGGTGTCCTTTGTAATTAAAAAATCCGGATCCTGAATTTGGTGGACATTGTATTTCTATATGCTTACCATCGATGGCGCCGACACAATTTGAAAAATCCCAATATTTTTCAAATCCATTTGAAATTTTTAACCAATCTCCAGTAGTTGGCAAAGGCATAAATTGTGGTGATAGGAGTTTCCATATTCCTTTACACATTTCATTAACAATTTTACCTGCTGTAGTATCTCCTACTCGCAGATTATAATGCAAGCGTTGAAAACGTTCTCCAGAGGACAAAAAACTAAAAAGAAAATTGTATTTGTTTTAGTATCAATTTGTAAAAGTAAGTGGAAAAAACGTGGATTATAATAAGCTCAACGAAAAAAATCAACGTCGGCTTAAAAATGATATGATAACAACATTAAACAATTATCTCGATGAACAAGAACAATATACCCAGAGGGTATCGTTGCAAAATAACATTAATTCATATCCATATACTGCAAGACAAATTTGTGAACAGAATGTCAATGCATTTTATCAAAATTTTGCTTCAGAAGTACCTTCACCAGGGAACAGTAATAATTCATTCTAATAACCAAGGCTGGGCAAGTTAACTATTTTTTTTAACTCGTTAAGTTAAGTTAATATAGAAAAATGTAAGTTAAGCTTAAAGTTAAAAGTTAACTTCATTTTTTTTTAACTTGTAAAAGTTACAAGTTAATTAGAAAATAAAAGTAACTTAACTTAGTTAAAAATAAGTTACTTTTTTTTTTAAAATAAAATTAACAATTATACTTACCTACCTACCTTTTTTAAAGCTAACAAATAACATAATAATTCAGTAAATCAAAAAATGTCTTACAATATTTGAATAAACGTTTGTAATAAAATTAGTTACTGTAGGTACTTATATTAATTTTGTGTATTATACTTTAATTAGGTAAATAGTAAATACCACACTACTACGGGTATTATTTACATCGACGGGCCAAGTTATCATCGTAATTCTATGAATGAATAAAAATATAATAATAAGTAATAATATTAATAATGATTAGGTATAGGTTAGGTACTGAGTAAATTGTTATATTTTTCTTTGATGCGGTTACCCCTATGATATTTCCCTCTATAATATAGTTATAAAATATTTTCTGTGAATATGCAATATAAAAACTTACTATTATTATAAATTATTATTTAATAAAATATATTTAATATTTCGGGGTTTTTTTTTATGTAATTAATTTTACAAAATTGAATTAATTTTAAATAATATGTGGTTTAGGAAAAAATTAACTTAACGTGCCAATACAATTAATTAACTCGTTAAGTTACTGAATAACTTGGGGAAAAATGTAAATCGTTAAGTTAGAAGTTACTTTTAAAAAAAAAGTAACTCGTTATTTAACTTAGTTAAAAGTAACTTAACTTTTTAACTTAACTTTAACTTATTAACTCGTTAATGCCCAGCCTTGCTAATAACCATATGTATTAATTTTTTTCAGTAATATTATATGTATATCATGTTCGCATTTGTTATAAATATTTCAATTATGAATACAAAAAATGCTATTTCTTACCTTAATGTAAGCAACAGTCTTTCTTCAGGAGAAATACTTTTCCTAAAATGAATATCCTGTTTTCTAATTTCTACTTGTATTTGTTGTAAAATAAAGTCAAAAGTATCAATATTAACACATGTGTAATTTTTAAATTCACTTCCATGAGCACGTAATTCACATAATAAAGAAAATATCACATTATGAGTTATACGTTTCTGATTTAATGGACGAACCCATTTTTTTTTTCTCACTCTTGTAGAGTGTACCACAAACGAACTGCAACCTCTTCGTCAGATGACATTTTGGTAACTGTTTGCGTATTTTTTATGTTTGTCTAGTCTTGTCTTGCCTTGACTTGACTAACTGATATGCGCATATATAAAACAAATGGTTTTTAGTTGACTAAAACAAAAAATACTAATGCTGCTTAACAAAGTTTTGCTCTTTTGGTGTGCGGCCGGGGGCATGTACCGTTTCCGCCAACATTTGAAATGACCGATTCCGCCATCGCCCGTTTCCGCCAATCTACCTGCTATGGTCAAATTATTATAATATATTCCATAATACTTGGAGTATTATGCATATTATTTTTAAGGAATATTTAAGTTTTAACTTGGGATAATTATTCCCAGTATACTGATTATTTATTAGAAACTTATATACACTAAAATTTCCTAAAAAATATGGGCATGTATGAGTTTATCTCAAACAACAAACAATTATGAATCATTTCATTCACACTTTAATCAACAGTTCTACAAATCATACCCAAATATAAGTATATTTTTAAAAATTTTGGTTGAAAATGTCCAGACGGACACTTACATTAAAATAAATAGTGGAAATTTAAATATTCCGAATACACCGAAAAATAAACCAACTTTGCTAAAATGTGCTAGGACTAGTAAGTCTATAACTGATTTTAAAAATAAACTAATATCGCCTTATTCGTACGTAAAGTGTGTTGCATTCAATTAAATTAAATAAATTAACAAAATATTATGACTTTTTAATTATTTTAATTTTTGTATTTATAATAAAACTAGGTATGACAAAATAGTATGTATTTTTTATTTGAGTATAATATATTTATCAATATACAATGTTCTCATCTCAAATATTCCTTAAAAATAATTTAATAGCTTGATAATGTGATTATGTTTTTATAATTATTGTGATTATTTTATATTTATTTTTACTATTTTAATTTATCAATTTAATTGTTGACAGGCTTAATATATGCATAATACTCCAATATTATAATAATTTTACCATAACAGGTAGATTGGCGGAAACGGGAATTGAACCTTTTTTTAATTTGGCGGAAACGGGTTCGCCATACCCTTGCTACGCCACTGCACTGATTGAACATTTTGTGAAAAAAGCGTGTGGTTAATATGATCATCTGGTATAGTAACAACATCACAAAGCTGCATATGACTATATTGTATTACATCTTTTGCTTTGTTCACATTGATTCACACTATTTAGACTGAAAACACAACAATAATTAAGTAAATTTAGTTTAAAATGAGATAAATATATCAAATTTTAATTTTAATTTAAACTTGTTTTAATGCCCTTTATAATAAAATACAAAAGCTCAACTATTTTGGTGCATTCCTAGTATAAATCAATTTTTGTTCAAATAATATTTTACCTTCTATCATCAATTTCAATGTTTCTATTTAACATGCCACATTCAGAATGTGTTGCGCAAAGATAACTAAAAATTTATCTAGATAAAGATAAAAGATAATTGGATACAATTTATCTAGATAAAGATAGAAGATAGTTAAAATCTAAATTATCTAGATAAAGATAAAAGATAAAACACTATTTATCTGGATAAAAAAAAGATAAAATTATTTTAATATACCCACCCCCCTCCAAAAAAAAAAATCCTAGATCTGCCATTGACCATTGGGTACATTTATGTATGGAAAATAAGTAATAAATAATAAGTACTTAGTTTTAAAAAAAATACATTCTTTGTACCTAGGTGTATTATAATTTTATAAAACAATTCATTAATATATTTTAAAATAATAGTAATTAATTATTAAACATAAAAATGTAATTTGTTATACAAATAATGGTTAACACATAATTATATTCTAAAATATATAAAATAGTAAATATACATCATAATAAAATATTGAAAAAAAAAACATTGTACCTTCAGTATAAATTGAAAAAAACACTGTACATTTATGAATAGGAAATAAGTAATAATTACCTTATAAATATTTAGTTTTAATTAAGTACATTATCTTTGTAGTTATATTATAATTTTTTAAAACATAACATTACAATTGAAATAATACTATATAGTTAATACATATGATAGTAAAATATTGGAAAAAAAAACATAAACTTTATAAAATATAAAAAAAAATTATGATATATTTTACATATTAACATTGTTAACAATTATTGAATTATTTCATTAAGCATTAAGCACCTACAACACAAAAACATTTCAAAAGTCTTATCCTGAAGCCTGTTTCTTCTCGGAGTTAAGATTTGAGATCCACTACTAAATAGGCTTTCTACTGGTGCTGATGACGGGAGAGTTGTATTATATTTAAAAAAGACCTTTTTGACAACTGGGAATGTGTTTAACATGTCAAGGTCTTTATTTTTAGAATCTAAATAAGATAGTGCTTGTACAGTTACTTCATTAGTACTATTTAAATTTAACTGTACAATATCAGAAGCCGAACGATCAAGTGAATATTTTCTTTGTGTTAAAATACCATAAAATTCTTCATCACTACCAGCAGAATCATTTTCAACGGAATTAGAATCTGAATTGGTTAATGAGTTTATGAAATTGCATTCAGACAAAAATAAATTTTTACAGAAAGTTAAATATCGACCAGGTATCCATGAAAGTTTAAACCAAGTATGAGATATTGAAGCAATGATATATGGCTTACCTTTTATGTTTTCTAAATCAAATACCGTGTGTTCAATTTTAAAGGTAACAGGAAATATTTCGATCGTATGACCTTGAATTTGATTCGGGGTTTTTATACTGCATATTATAGGACTTATAAATACATATTTTTTTAATAAATTCAAATTTTTTTTTTTTTTTATCAGCGCATGCGCAGTAAAATAAAAATTTCTTAAATAGCAACCACTATTTTGGAGACCGGATTTCGATTTCTTTATTTTTTCTGAACAACTTTGATCTTTACAGTTTGTTGATATCTTCAAAATTGCCATGTTTATGACGGTCATAATGTTTTTTCTAGGCTTTTAATAATTGATAACGCTAAATGTCTGCAATATATTAAATTTGTCTGTTGAATTAATAAAAGTTTTAACGATATTATAGTAGGTGCAACATATCCTAGAAAACAAGATTTTTCAGCTTGTGATTTGTCAAGTGAAATGGCAAGCGGTTCCATAACTGCACAGTATTCTTCTAAAAATACCCAATTTTTTTTTGTTAGTTGTTCAAGTTTCAATTCAGTAAATGAAGATTTTACTGTTTCTTTATGTGCAATTATTTTTTTTACAGCGTCAAATGAGGAATTCCACCTAGTTACAATAGGTACAGGAAATTTGCAATCGCAGATATCATATACCTTGTCTGAGGCCACTGTACTACGACTTAAAAGATTCCAAAAACTACATAATTTATTAAAAGCATTTTTAGAAGTTAATTTATAAGACTGATCAGAAATTTTGTCTACATCAACAGTTGCAATCAAGCTAAGAGTATGTGCAGAACTGCATGTTATATGATCTGGTAAGCATATTTCATCACTTTCCATATCATCAGAATTCAAAAACAATGTGGAGAAATCTACAGTATCAAAATCTGTACTAGAATTATCAATTTCTACCCCAGTATTAGGATCATCACATATAGATTCATCAGCAAACCAGTTATCATTACCAATGTTTGAAAACTCCACACCAATAGATTTTAAAGAGTATGTTCTGAATGCCTTGCCGAAATTGCTAGCGTTATCTGTTACGGTATGTGATATTTTAGAGTTCTGGATATTATATGTATGAGTTATTTCATTCATTATCTCTGTTATATTTAAAAATGTATGACTTCCTTTAATCCTTCTACAAACAAGAATGTATGAATGTCTAATGTAGGTATGCTCATCAATGAAATGACCAGTCATACCCAAATAACTTTTGTTATTGCAAGACCAAATATCAGCCGTTGTACATATAAAATTTTGTTTAGCTATTAAATCAGTTAACATGTTATGTATGATGTGTACTTATTATTTAACTCATTAGACATGACTCTACGATCTGGTAATGAAGTTGTATCGCCAAGGCCGCATAAGCCTTTTATGAGGTGTTTTGAATGCTGGTTTTTCGCTTGTCACTAATGGCCTCATTTCTTCCACAATATATGCAAAGGTTAAGTCAGTTATCTGGAAAATGAAATATTAAATAACTTACAGTTACAAAAAATACAAAAAAAATTTAAAAAAAGCAAAATATAGGTAAACCTAATTGTTCTGTATAAAGTATAATATTTATATTTAAAAAAAATAAATCTATAATAACTGTAGGTATTAATTTACCACAATTTGATCTACTTTTCAGTCATAAAACATGATATACTATATATTATTATCTTTAGGTTTTTACCATGAATTAATTATTTGTGTCAGAGTATTTAACCATTAATATACATCTATAATTTCAAAATATTTACTGAACAGTAATATATTAATCTATATTTATATTTTTTTACACTACTCGATAAGAAAATGTACCACACATTTGGAGAAAAATCTCAATTATCTTTCAATTTCCAACACCGCGGTTAAAAAACTGTTAACTAAATCGGTATTTTTTTATTTAAATAGATAAAAATTTTTTTTTTAATATTTTAAAATCTTTTTTCATTACATTATTAAACACAAATAATATTTGAACAATTTCTATTTAAAATTACTCTGTATAAGAATGTATAAATTAAAATATCAATAAATAGGTATTAAAACAATTATAGAACTACCAAGTGACTTGAAAGGTACACAAATTATCATTAAGTAAAATCAAATAGTTTAGTGTAAATCATACATATATAATAAATACTCACTTTTTGTTTTGATATTTTATTTGTATACGAGAACGGCAAGGTTTCTTGTTTTTTTATGGATTGTACATTTTTCTTAACAGTTTTAGCTGCTTTGACTTTTTCCATCAAATGTGAATGTTTAAACTATAACAGTAAATTTATAATAATACATATTATTATATAATAATACGCGGTCGGGCAAAATTATATCTTGATAATTATTCAAATAAATATGTACCTATTTGAATAAAAAATTATCAACATATTAAAATACCTAACCAATTATATATATAAACCTTGGTCAAAAAAATTAAGACATTCAGGGCAAATAATTATTAATAGGGCCTAACACAGGTGTTTTAGGTACCTATCAAAATCTATCATCGTTATTAATTGAACTAAAAGTGTGTAGGTACTAACTACTATAGGCACCTATGTCCTATGTAGTATGTACCTACCCTGCAATTGGACATATTTTAGGTCTCGATAATAATAAATTTATTTTATTTAAGTACCTACCTTGATGTGACTTAAAAAATTTCCAGTAGATACCTTATGACCATGCACGATTTTAGGACAATTTTGGCACTGTGCGGATATTTTATTTTTTTCATTGTCTTCTTCATTTATTATTTTGAAAAACTTGCCATTAAATATGTAACATTTTGATTTTTCTATTGTTTCCAAATTGTGTACAGGATCGTCTTCACACACAATTTTTTGTTTTTTTGTGCTTCGATTGACAAATTTTTCTATTATGTTAAATTTAAAATTCAAACCGAAACTGAGGAAACTAAACAGTAAAGTGTAAACACAATACCAAACAAAAATTAATAATTATCGGTAACCAACTTTGTCGCACGGCACACTCACACTGTCATTCGTCGTCTGTGGTCTGAGACCATATGATATTATTAAGAATATGGTAATAATAATTGTTATCGTTTTAGTAGAAATGGTATTAATGTATATTTATGATTTATCAACAATTTCAAAACTAGTATACGTATTTAATAATAAACAGTGTACACTAAGGCTAGTCGCTGACTGGCAATTTTCAGTTGCGCGATAGTTGCGCAATAGTTGGATCATGACCGCGCTCACAATTGCAACTAAACTATCGTGTCATACTAGAAGCGCGCACAAGGCACAAGAATTGTTTAGTCGCATCATGGATTTTGTCGAGATAGCTGCAGTATGTGCTCTCGAGTTAAAAAGAAGGAAGACAATAAAAAAGAAGAAGAAATATTGGGTACATCCTATAACTTCACAGCGATTATTGAAAGGACAGTTTTATAAACTTCACAATGAATTACGGTCTTACCCGGTGAAATTTTTTAATTTTTATCGTATGAGTGTTAAAAGTTTTGATGATCTTCTAAATTTGATACGACCTTCCATCACTTATCAAGATTCAAAGTGGAGAAAGGCGATCCCTCCTGAAGAAAGGCTTTCTGTTACCTTAAGGTAAGGAAATAATGTTTATTAACAAAAAATTTGTACTTTAAAAAAACTTAATAGTTATTTAACTAAAACTTAATACTTTTAACAAAAAATTTGTACTTAAAAAAAAACTTAATAGTTATTTAACAAAAACTTAATACTTTTAACAAAACATTTGTACTTAAAAAAAACTTAATAGTTATTTAACTAAAACTTGATACTTTTAACAAAAAATTTGTACTTAAAAAAAAACTTAATAGTTATTTAACAAAAACTTAATACTTTTAACAAAACATTTGTACTTTTTAACTAAATACTAAATTCATAGACTGCTAAAATTATAATGTATGCATATCTTCAAAATCAAACTGCAGGGGCGTAGTGGATTCATAACCGCTACAACTTGGAACTGTGTTAGGAGTCGACGATCCAGAAGAGTAGTTTCCTGTGTTGAAATTTTGAAAATTACGTTGTTGATTTTGATGTGAAAATTGATTTCCAGTTAATCCATGAAATCCGTAGTTTGAACTGGTACCGTGGCCAAGAGGCCCATTGTGAGACGCTTCTGGTCTTGAAAGAGTAATACGTTTTAATGTGGAAAGAAACTCCATTTTTGCATCCATTTTTTGAGTATCCGTCAATTTCTTAAATGCTGGCACTAATGATAAAAGAAAAGATTTATCTTCATCAATAACTTCTTCCTTCTTTTCCTTTAAAATGTTTAACAGAGATTCCTCATAACTCAGATTTTTTTTTGCTACTGATTTGCCATGGCTTGCTGATTTTTGAGCTTGAAGTGTGTTTACAGGGGAGTCATCAACAGATATATTTGTTTCTTTTACTACTTCAGAATCGTCTTCACTTCCTATTTGGTCTTCATTTATATCACTTGGGCTACAATCCGAGACGGTTGGTCGATCTTCCATTGTCGGAAGGAGGAATAATAACTGGTCAAAAAACACGTATTTTCGACGTTTAGTAGCAGCTTGACCGGATTTTCCATGTTTTTGTTTGCTTAGTTCTCTTCTAAAACATGTTCTCAAGTTTCTCCATTTATTTTGCAGTTCTTTTCCTGTGAACGAAATAAAAAAAAACAATAAAACCTTGAGTGGTTTTATAAATAACAATATATTTGTTTTCAATGTTGTTTTTATCAATGTATTATTCCATACATATATTTACTATTTTCGAATTTTCCATAGGTACCTTGCAACAGGAAACAGTTTTAGAACTTTATACTTCGAGTTTTTAATTGGGGGGACAACAATTAGAACAATTGTTAAAGACACATGTGAAAAGATATGGATGTGTCTTAAAGAAAAATACATGCCTGAAAGAACCGAAAGGATGTGGCAGCAAATTGCAGAAAAATTTGCGGCAACAACACATTTTCCAAACTGCCTGGGGGTAATAGATGGCAAACACATTCGCATTCAAAAACCATGTAGTACAGGTTCAGAGTTCATGAATTATAAAAATTTTTTTTCTGTGGTTCTTATGGCTGTTGTAGATGCGGAATATTGTTTTACGTCAGTTTACATTGGATCATATGGTAGTGCTAGTGATTCACATGTGTTTGAAAGATCAAATTTTGGTAAAAAACTAAACCAAGGTAAACTTAACATACCACCTAATCAGCCACTACCAAACGATGACACAGGTGTTCCAATGCCCTTTATTTTTGTTGCGGATGAAGCATTTGCATTATCAGATCGTGTACAACGGCCATTTGGGCGACGGAATTTAACTATAGAAAAAAAAATTTATAACTATCGGCTCACTAGGGCCAGAAGAATGGTCGAGTGCGCATTTGGCATCATGTCCAACAAATGGCGAATACTTCATAGAGCATTAGATGTGAACCTTTCATTTTGTGACGCAATTATTCAGGCTTGCTGCATTCTTCATAACTATGTACGCCAAAGAGACGGTGTAAGATTTGAAGATACACTGTATGAATGCCTCCTGACAGAAATGAACCCAACGAATGTGCGTGGCAATCACATTGGTACAACGACAAGAGAATATTTCGTGAAATATTTCACTTCACCCGGGGGATCAATTCCTTGGCAGTATGAAAAAATTTGAACAGTTCAAGTTTCAATAGATCATTAAGTATTAATAATAATTTTATATGTAATATTAATTAATTTTTTTGGAAAATATAACTATAAAATACAATAAAATTCTCAAAATTTTAATTATTAATAGTTACTTTGTTTTGTTACATTACCTTTTAACGATTTTTCACTTGAAGTCATTGCTTGCCACGTAGGAATCATTGTTTCAAATATTTCACTCCAAAGTCGCAAAATTAAGTTCCGGTCTGAATGCTCTGAAAGTTTTGTGTTATATATTGGAGGTCTACTTTGAACTGCTTGAATAAATCTTTCTACCCAATCACCATCATTAACAAATTCTAGAATATAAAAATTCAAAATGCATTTTGTTAACTGTAATGACTATCACATGATATCTGCTATTTATAGAAATTATCATGTTTTGACACATAATAATATTTGTGGCAAAATCTGATAAATGGTTTATCATAATCTGCCACAATCAAATTCTGTGTTCTGTATAGATAGTTAATTTGTATAATGCTTATAAAAGTAAAACTAACCGTTCTAATGATATCATATTTTATCACAACAATATATATTGACCTATTACTTTCATATACCATAAAAACCCCAAAATCGATAGTTTGGCAGATATCAGCTTCTGCCTCTTCAGTTCAAATATAATAACACATAATATATTACATAAATGTAAAATTATAATATACCTCATTAGTGATGGGTCAAACCCTGATTTTTTAAATCTAACCAAACCGACCGAACCGAACCTAGAATCATTTTAACTCAAACTCAACATTTTTAGCATGTGAAAATGAAATCAACCATAATACCAATTATATTTTGAGTTTTTGTATTACCTATTGTAGAAATATAGAATATATATCGAAATTAGGTTTTTATCAACAATACAGCCGCGGTATCGGAATATTACCATGGCCTTACCCAAAATAGATTTTTCCCGTTACAATAAATATGATAAAAACAAAAATAGCAATTATTGGTAATTAATTATTTTAATTAAATGATTTACGGCCTCTAAATAGTATTATTATATTATTATTTCTAAATAGTAAATAGTCATTATACATTTTTTTTAAATAACTTTTGAAGAATTTTACAAAATATTATGTTTGGTCTTTGAACAATCGAGGCATTTTTGCAAGCCGAGTTCGAATTTCATACCGAACTGTTCAACCCATCACTAATAATAATGTATAATAATAATATAACACACAGTATTAATATTAATATTTATATTCTAACTAAGCATTATGACAAAATAATATCGATTATTAATTGTTAACATTATTATAAATAAGTATTTTTATGCAAAGCAGACAATTTCTATTTTTTTTTAACATGTAATAGATTAGATAGATAGGTAGTAATTAGTAAAATATTTTTAATAATTACCTTGCTGGACTTCACTTTCGTTCATGTTTGCACTTTGCAGTGTTAATTTTTTTTTAAAAAAAGCGGAAACGTGAACCTCGCAACTGTTTGATGACAAGTGAGCTGAGACCCGTTAAAAGATAATGACACAAAACAATTACATGTAATCACGCAATCGAACGATTTGTGGCAAAACACAAACTAATTAGTTGGTCAAACTGATTAGTTGCATGTGAGCTGATTGTCATATATCACTGTGGAAGTCACCCATGCAATTAAACTATTGCGCAACTATCGCGCAACTGAAAATTGCCAGTCAGCGACTTGCCATATGTAGATACTAGATATAGACGTATATTGAATTTGTACCCACTGTCTGACTGTTAAAGAAATATTCAAATATAGAATATAAGGTACTATTATAGCTTTATATGATATAATATATTATGGATTTATTAATATAAAACCATACAATAACATTTATAATATCATTATATAACTATACCATTTTGGGAAATCTACATTAATTTATATTACCTATATTTAGAAATTTAAAATTGAACACACAAGATTATAAGAATATAATATTATACAATATAAATCAGTTATATGCGAGCTATTCAAAATATCATTGATGTGTTATTGTGCCTGTTTGTGTAGGTATTGTGTAGTGTGGTCTTGTACTCTTGTGCACATATTAATTATTATTATCCTCAATAATAAATTATGGACTTTGGATTATGGTGTACACGGCAGTCGACGGACGACGAGTCGACGACACAACGTTGCAAGTTTGCAACATAATATTCGGCCGTAGCCCGTATAAATCGGGATAATTAGAATTTAGAAATAACATAAAAGTGGCATGGAAAATTATTACCTATTACTTTGTTATTGTACTGTATTTGTGCAAGGATGATTTATTAATTTAATAGGAATTTAATATTTTAAGACTTTCAAGTTCAATTTTTCGAATTTTTTGAATAAATATATTTATTTATCTAGATGAATTAGGTAACTCAATAATTCATCTAAGATAATTCATCAGATAACTAATTTTGTTTATTATCTAGATAAGATAAAAGATAATTAATTATTTATCTAGATAATGCTCAACACTGAGTCATTTTGTCATAACATTTGTATCATCAATTTTAGCTGTACTAAAATGTCTGAAAGGAGATAGTCAAATAAATTAATTTAAATATTGAGTAGGATGATAATAAATTTGGTTTACTTTCTTTGTGTGTTGGTATTATTATTATTATTATGAGTACTATGGATAATTTGTTCTTTATCATCTAGCCAATTATGGTTTGGAGTAGCTATGACGTCAGATAGTAGACTTATGCTTAAAATGTCTTCTTTTAGATCACTAAACGTAGGTTTAAAAACAAAATGTATGACTCAAAATAGTTACTCCAAGTTTAAATTTATTTAAAACTTTTGCCTATTTTTAAGTTGAATATGTAAATCAGTCACTGGTTGAAAATGTTGAGAATTGAGTATAAGTTTAGCATCATCATTCATCATCATCGCAAAGTTGGATATGGCTATTTTGTGTTAAGTCTTTACTTTGTTTATGGTGATTCATAATATTTAGACTGAAAACATAACAATTAAGTAACTTTAGTTTTAAATAAGTGGGCAGTTCCAATAAAAAAAATAGGTAAGATGCCTTATACTATAGTCTAATTACAGAATATAAAATGTAAGTAAAATACTAAATTATTTCTATATAGGTAGTTTATACTACACTATACGAATTATTGTACAATTACAACATAACTATTAGATAGGTACTCAGAAAGATTGGTACAGCTATTTAGATAAAATATTTTGCAATTCACTTCAACCTCCAAAGCTTAGTGCATTGAGTTAAAAATTGTAAGTGTAGAAAATTAAAAACAATATTAAACATTACAATATAGAGATATATACATTATTCTTTAAAAAGCATCTTATAAAAATTACTAATGACAAAGGGGGTAATTTTTTAATAAGTATGTAAAGGTTAGATCCAAACAAATTGTGAACTTAGATAATCCCACAATTATTTACACTTATTTTAACTACCAATAATTTAATAAAATATAAAAATGTAAGGGTATTATAAGTCATATTCATAGACGATGCTTAAGAATATGTTTTCTTAAGCTAATTTTGATAATTTAAAATGAAAAAAATTGTGATAATAACTAAAAGCAATGATTAAGGTAGGTCTCAATCTACTTTAATTTAAGTAATACTTTTTATTTTCTTAAGCCAAAGTCTATCTCATTTATGAATCTCATTTGAGTCACAAGTATAGCTTAAGCAATACTTATTCTTAAGTATCAACTAAGAATATGGCCCTAACTATTTTTATGCACGCCTATTATAAATCAATAATAAAATAAATAATATTTACCACTTATCCACACATTTGTTTCTATCTAACTTGTTATTTTTGGTAGTAATATTTGTATCACTAACAGTTGTAGCTGCATTAAAAAGTCTGAAAGTGATAGGTAGTAAAATTAAATTATTTAAATATTTAATAGGATGAAAATAAATTTAGCTTACTTTCTTCGTGTTTTTATATGTTTAAATGTATGTGGTATATTTTTTTATCATCTAGTCAATTAGTCACTTTGCATAGTCCATTATATTTAGATGCACTTGTAATCGATGAATTTGCAATTGTTTTTCTAAATTGAACAAGATCCCGGGTTTTGATGCCTTACGGCTACAACCGCGGACCTTATGTTAGCACTGGGTGCTAGTCAAGAGCCGCGGATTGTCACAACCGACGTACGGCAGTTTGACCCGCCGGCCGCAGGCCGCGCGTCGTCTAAGGACCACGAGCACCGGACCCGCAAGGAGGAATTCTCCGACGGGCCCGTACCATCTAGCTAGGGCTTACAGGAGCCTTTCGCCACCTTGGTGGGGCCGCAATCTATCCAAGTTGCTTTCCGTTTATGGTCACGGACAACCTGGCTGTATATAGCCCAAATGATAGGCTGGGTGGGCGCTGGGGAGGGACCGTGCTTTCCCGGCCGACTGTCGCCGTACGGGTCCGCCCGGCACCGTCACTCGGCAACTTTCCCCTGACCAAGCGTGTGGTCTATTACCACATAGTATGCTCCTGCAAACTGCCACTTCGAAACCAATCCGCCGTCGGTCGAGGCAGTGCCCTCCACGACCGACGTGTGAGGGCTCGGTGTTAATCTCTCAACACCGAGGGGCCCCCTCACATCCCGAAGCACCATTCTCGCCTCCCGTCAGGTAAGGCACATCATTGGTGGGATGCTCGGACGAAGCTTCGTCGGCGTCTTGCCTCAGCTTATGGTCCTCCCGAGATTTGGGCCATGTACCGCGGGTTCACGGTGGGCCGGCCACGCCTTCCAGAGGCGTCACCAGGCGGATAAGCCCAGTAACCGACCAGCTCTTCATGAGCTCTTTCATGAGTCATAACCTCACAACGCCCTAGTCCCCGAAAGTTTCGGTGCGTCCGCGCCCCAGGCCGGTCCCGACAGACCAGTTCCCTTTTAGTCGCCTCATACGACAAGCAGGGAATACTGATTCTGAATTCTGAACGGCCCCTTCAGCAGGGCCGAACTCCTCGTCCCTGACGTATGAGTGCGCCCCGGGTGAGGACGCACTCGAGCGTGTCTACCGCTTCTGCCCCTTACGCCATGCGCACTCATTCGAGACACCCCGAGTGCTGAGCCATCCGTCGTTGACAGTGGCGGCGTCCTGACCCATAGGGTCTATCGCCCTTAAGCAACTATCTGTCATCCCTGTTTGTCAGTGCTTCTCTCGCGAAGGACTTTAGTGCTGAGAACGTTCTTCGAGACTTGAGGAAGGCTCCGTTTGCTGGAGGCCACGCTTCTCCTTCTTCTCTCATTATTCTTTTGAGTTTGAGTCTAGCTGCTGCTGTCCTTGGGCAGAACCTAAGGACATGGTTTACCGTCTCCGGCTTACGGTCACAGGCACAGATCGGGTAATCTATCAAAGCTAAACTGTGGAGTTTAGCTTTGAAGTCCCCATGACCGGTGAGGAACTGAGTTGTATAGTGGTCCAAGACAAGAGGCAGGTGGTATCGCTGTCTTACGGACGGGATCATTTTCTGCGTCCAGCTACCTTTGTTCGTACTTGTGTACCTTTCTTGCAACTCGTTTACCAACTCGTCTGTTATCGTGTCCATTTCATCATTCGATATTTTCTCCCGGGCCAGGTCTCTCAAGGCCGCTTGGTGCCTAATCTCAAGATCTAGAGGGAGAGTACCTGCCACTGCTGCCAGGCAATTCGTTGAGGACGTTTTGTACGCGCCAGTGATCGCAAGCAATGGTTTCCTTTGTGCGCTGAGTTGTTTAACCCGACTTTTGCGTAATTTCGATCCTTCGGCCCAGATCTCCGCTGCGTACGCAACTCTAGGCAGGAAGACGCCCTTGTATATAATACTGGCGGCAGATTGGCCCATGCCCCAGTTTGCTGAATACAGGGCTCTGAGACGGCTGTACATATCGTCCGATTTTTTACAGATGGCCAAGACGTGATCCCAATAACTGCGTCTTGGGTCAAGCACAACACCAAGGTATTTGGCCGTAGGAGATGACTCTATCCTAGGCGCATCAGCAGCTGTACCGAAAGCGATACTGTAGCCTGGCTTCAGTCCGCCTTTGGGGGAGAGAAGCTGTGTCTTCCCAGCAGAGAACTCCAGTGCGTATTCTGTTGCCCATTCAATGAATTTGTCCAGCTTCTTTTCTATGCGAGTGAAGGCTGTCTTCGGCCTGGCTGCCCCTACCATTAACAGTATGTCGTCGGCATACGTTAAGATCTTCGAACTGTCAGTGCTGATAACTGTGATCGGTGAGATTGCAACCTTCCAAAGTGTCGGGCCAAGCTGGGACCCTTGAGGGCATCCTCGTTCCAGCATTCGCCTGTACAACACTCCTTCCATGTGGAAGTTAGCCCATCTGTTTGTTGGGTAGGACTGCACAAGTCTGACTGTCCCAAGAGAGGCCCCAGGTTTATGAGCTGGGTGAGGAGTGGAGACCATTTCACGTTGTCAAACGCGCCATTTATATCTAAGAAGGTACCGAAGATATGCCGTGAACTGGAAGCGTCGACCCAGTCATAGACTGCTTCTAGAGCACTGGTTGTGGATCTCCCGGTCGTAAAGCCGTGCTGTTCCACGTGGTCTCATTTATTATTCTATTTATTATTATTGTTTCAAGTGCTTTCCCCAGGACCGGAAGCAGGCTGATTGGTCTGAACGACTTGACCAGAGATGCGTCCGTTGCACCAGGTTTTGGGACGACTACTAGCTCCGCCGATTTCTAACATTCGGGGACTTGTCCTGTTTTAACGCACTGGCCGAAGAAATGCGTTATCGGCTCCTTGAGCGCTGGCCATGCCTTCCTGAGCATACGGGCCGAGACGCCATCCAAGCCAGGAGCACCAGAAGGTTTGATACGCCATATGGCCGCTTTGATAGTCTCCGGATCAGGGAGCTCCGTGTCTTCCAAAGAGCCCTGGTAGACTAGTACGCTTTGTAGCGGATCTGTCGGCACAAACTTGTCCAGAATAAGTTCACTCACCGACACTCAGCGGTTTGCGAGCCGTCCGCCTTCGTCAGCGTGCTCGGGATCAATATACCAAGTGAAGGCACTGGACCAGGGATTCGTATTCAGATCGTTGGCGTAGTTTTTCCACTCTTCGGCTTTGTGCTTTCTAATTTCCGCAAGGAAACTGTTTCTGAGGATGTTATACTCAGGCCGGTTCAGACCTTGGCGTCTTTTGCGAACCAGTTCTTTCCTTAACGTGGATAACTCTGGGGACCACCATGTGTTCTTACCCGGAGCACCAGTCGGTCTCTTTTTCATAATGGCTTTGTCCGCTGCCGTTTTCAGTGCGCAGTTAATGCCCACCGCCATAGCGTTTATGCAGTCATATGGGATGCCAATTTCGTACTCTATGCCCTGTCAGCCGACGTTAGCGTAACGTCAATATTAGATGTCCTGTTGTCACGGCGACGAAAGGTGTTCATTTGACCAGCTATGTTGTGAACCCTGAGACCATATTTGTTTATAAACTCTTCTACGGTTCTCCCGCGACGGTTCCGGGTTTCCGAGAACCAGAGTTTTGAGTGACCGTTAGTGTCCACCCCGATCAGGGTTCGTTTCTCCTTTTCCAAAATCTGGCTCAAACGCTCAATGTGGAGGATCGTGGGTGTGTTATACTTAAAATAGGACGATACAAGTATAACATAGTCCGCCTGCCTTGGGCCGAACCTGACTCTAATCGCAACAGTGTGGCTTGACGAATAGGCACCTAAGAAGATACTCTGGAAACGGTTGGTCAGTTCTGTGACTGCCACGCCGGCATCTCGACTGATGTGCGCCCGTCTGCAGGTTTCAAACGCATAGACCGTGTTGTTTGCCAAGATGAGCGATTCTTGGACTAGGACAAAGTCAATTTTTTGTTCCGCACAAAGCTCATGGAGCTGGTGGCTAGCCGTGCGGTCCCTGTTTAGATTGTGCTGAAGTATTTTTATTTTGTTATTTTTCATTTGTTAGAGGGACGGCTCCATTAACCTCTGAGGTAGGACCTTTTCTACCAAAGTCGGTCTGACGGGTGAGGCGTCTGATAGCGGCTGCTCTTGCCGGACAATTGGCTGAGGCCGCGTTGTGTGACCTACTGCGGCAATTGGGGCACTTCAGGGTTTGCACCGTCCAATTCCTAGAGTCATGCCGTTCAGAGCAATTTTTGCACCTGGGCTGTTCTTCCCTGCATTTTATGGCTGTGTGGCCAAAACCTTGGCATTTATAGCATTGTGTTAGCATTGCATTGCATTTTGTCATACCCAGGTAAGCCGATTTGCCTTCGATTTTCGGCAGTGTTTCTGGGGCGACCTCAACAACCCAACCTGCATGTCCGTCTCGGGGACCAAGCATGAAGAGTGGCTTTATACGACCTTTCTCTTGTTCGTTGATCTCGAGAGAAACGTTCTTGCTCAGAGCCCACGGGATCTCTTCTCGAACAAGGTGTCTATCAAAGAATTTTATGATGACCCTAGGCAACCGTGGGGCCCTCTCAACGAGGTTGGTGGTACGGCGCAGAGCAGCCACGGTATCATCATCCTCAGGGAAAAGTACCAGGCCACCATTCTTGGTCTTTATAGTTCTGACCTTAGGGTTATGGAGTTTCTGTTCAATGGACTTGCGTAGGTCCTTCCAACCCTCGTCACCCGTTGTAACTTCAAATCTAAGACCTAGCCTGGCGGATCTGTCCCTAGCTTTGATCGTACCTTCAGCTTTACGCTTACCGATGTTTTTGGCAGATTTTTTGGTACCCAGCCTATCCTTTACGCTGATTCTCGGCGCTGATGGCGTTTTAAGCACAGGGAAGTCATCACGTTTTACCCTTTTCTTCCTTTTGGAGGAAGACGCCATTGGTTTGGCTGCAGCATAGGAAGCTCCTGATGGGCTGACGATCATTATACAGTCTTCGTCAATATTTACAAATTGTAAGGGAGGAGATAGTGGACTGTCTGGTTTGTCCGAATTCTCCGGGGCAGAAATACCGATCGTGCCAGTTCGGCTATGACATTTCCTTTTTCATGTAAGCACTGGTTGTATTTCTCAATCTGCGCCCCCAAGTCCCAGTGGAGGTCATTCATGTGTCCTTGAAGCGAGCGTAGTTCGTCACGTTGTTCTTCCCACTTGCCGAGAACTTTAAAACTGGCCCTGCACAGACGGTTATTGCTAATCAGAATTTCGTCAAGCTGGTGGGTGATGGCATCAATCCAGCGCCTACCAATTTTTGACTCTTTAAGCATGTCTTCAAGGATCAACTTCGTATCCTTTATATTATCGCTGACTTCATCGGAGTATTTCTCCAAGTCCATGGCGTGCGGACAAGGGGAGCCAGGGCTGGAATCGTCATCGCCAAGTCTCTTCCGCTTTATGAGTCTAGCGGCGGTATTGTTTTGAAACATTGGCGTGGTGTACGCTGAGCCGCCAGCTTTGGTGCTATCATCACCACCACCGCCTCCTTTGAGGCGCAACGTGCTTTTTGCTGAGAGGACATAGCCAGCATTGTCAAGGATTGTCAAGTTTTTGTCATGTACTTTATTTGTCATATAACCCGTAGGCACGTCGGAATTATTTCTACCCGAAGGCACGTCAGTCGGGCCGCTCAGCTCCGACCGTTGATGGAGAGTGACTTGGCCCCAGTGGCGTACCAACGAGGGGGGGGATAACCCCCCCACCCGAAATTAATGGATGATTTAATTTAATATGAGAAAACTAAAATTTCTAGTACCTGTATATTAATTGTACTGTACTATACTTTTCTCAAATACTGAGTTCTGAATTACAAATATTATTAATAGTACAGCTTGTCAGCTTACATTATCTAATGTGGGTACCTACGGGAATATGAGTATTTCCACGAAGATATTGTAGATATGGACGTGGACGATCGGTGTAATTATTATGACAATCTTTTATCGTCGTCGTAAAACGTATTTTATTTTGTGCGATTAATCACCTAGTGTGTTAGCCACTTTAATCTATAATCGACAATCGTTAACGTCGTTTTTATGTATTACCGAGACAGTGCCTACATGTTATTTTATCAACCATTGAACTATATTAAACTTATAGTGACAAACAAAACTACAGTTGCATACGAAGTGCGAACTATTGTATATTTGTATTAAAAATTTTAAGTATATTTTATTAAAAGGTTTAAGTATATTAACATTTAACAATGGATAAGTGGATAATAAAAAAACCTAAACTTGATGTAGAGAATAGAGACCAGCATGATCGTGATCATAATAACGAACCAAACTACGAGAAATCAGACATAAATGAAATTAGTTCAGGTAAGGCTATTGTTATTATAATTATTATTAATACCCACTATTGAACACTAAAATTGAACTGTGTATTTCAAATGTTTATTAAAAGCGTTTTTAAAAGTAGTTTTTTGCCCCTTCGAGAATTTTAACGAATGTTAAACTAAAACTATTATTAATACTTAATAGATTTAAATAAGTCAGCACTTAGTACCAGTACACAAATACACTCGCAAACTTATGATTATGATATTGGTGTCTATGTAGAAAGAACGTGTACTAATGATGAAAAGTATAAGATTTTGAAAAATCGATGGATACCAAATGAATTTTATAAATTTCCTATCAGTGGAACAAGAAAACTTAAATTCCAAAGAAACTGGTTACTAGAATTCCCTTGGATTTCGTATTCAGAAAAATTAGACGGTGCTTTTTGCGTATTCTGTTTTTTATTTTGTTCTAAAGAAGTGGGAAAAGGAAGTCATATCTCTACAAAGTCCCTCGTAGTGACTCCATTCTGTCGTTGAAAAGATGCAAAAGAGCAATTCCATTATCACACAAATTTAGAATATCATAAAACTTCTTGTATAGTTGCTCAGAATTTTATAGATGTACACGAACAAAAAATCGTTGATATAGCCTTCAGCTTAATACAGCCCGTTTAGCGACAATCGAACAAAACAGGAAAATTTTATCGTCTATTGTTGAAACAATCATTTTAATTGGAAGGCAAGAAATTGCCTTAAGAGGTCATCGTGATTTAGGTCCAATATTATCGAAAGTTTCAAACCATAATGACGGAAACTTCCGTGCGTTGTTGCTTTTTCGTGTAGATTCAGGAGACAATACTTTAAATGATCATCTATTACGAATAGAAGCAATGCCATCAAATCGTTCTACTAGTTACACCAGTCCAAAAATTCAAAACGAATTAATAGAAATATGTGGAAAAGTAATTTTAAATAAGATTGTCTCAAAATGTAACGAAGCAGAATGTTTTAGTTTACTAGCTGACGAAACTACTGATATCAGCGGCATTGAACAGTTTTCGTTATGTGTTCGTTACATTGAAAAAACTACCAGCGGAAGTATTTTAAAGCGTAGAACGGAGCTTTTCAACGTTAAAACGTTTGAAATCATACTTGAGGAATTCCACGGGGGAAAATCGTCTAAATGGATTGGCTCATCTAAGTATTCACAGAGAAATACCAATAAAAAGTAGTGAAGTGGTCGATATTTTTTCAGAAAAAAATAGAAAATTAATGTTCTAAAAAACATAAGTATCTAAATTATTTTTTTTTTATTATTATTATTATATAATTTAACATTTTTTTTTTTTTATACATATGGTTAAGTAGTAATTACATATTTATTAATTATCACATGTCAATGAAAAATAATATCACGAATAAAAATTAGTAATCTCTTAAAATGTACGATATGTTTTGTTATGTTCAGGTGTCACGTCATCTAATATGTTAATTAAAAAAACTAACCCCCCCCCCCAAAGTTCAGGTCTAAGTATGCCACAGCTTGGCCCCCCAAAATCCATGGGCCAGTGCTCCCGCAGGAGGTGAATTTGCCGGACTTGCCGGATTATCACTTGGGGTACTTACTGTTTTAATCACTTCCATCGTTGTGGTTTCCTACGTTTTTTACCTGCCGCCAGGCTTGGCCCTGATCCCTCTGGCTTACGTCGGGCCAGTCGTGAGTTGCATCCTTGACCGGCCTGGTCAAGGTATGTCCATTCCGGTGCCTGGCGCCTAAGACCGGAGTTGCCAACCTCCGGAAGTTCGGAAATGGTGAAGTCCACGGCCGAGCTTGACCACCAGAGAACTGGCTAAGGTCCCCGGGCGATCCCCCAGTTAAGGGTTGGCGCCTGTACTCCCGTCCGCGACGGCCCTCAGACCCCGAGGCTGGGTTACGCCCACGACTCCTGCCAGACAAAGGACACTGCAGCTGTCTGGTGGTGTTTCGTGGGTTGCTCCCGACCCGAGGTATAAGCGCGCCGCTCGCGAGAGCACGACTTGGCGCCGCGTAACAGCTCACGCGACGCCTGGGGCCTGTCACAACTAGTTTAAACGGACCCGATTTTCAAAACCTCTTAGCGGCCGACCCATCTGTCGGCCGGGTGGGGTCACCACGTCAAGGTGGGTTTTCATCAACCCCGCCTCTAAATTGAACAGTACTATAGTATTATTGGCCATCGTTACATGTCACAATAATTGTCTTCTAATCTTTTACATCATGGTTCAAAAACAATGTAGGTAGGTTAAAGTAATCAATATAATTTAAACTAAGTACCAACAAATTGTAATTAAAATACATCATTGAATACTTGTGAATAAAAGTATAGAAATTTGTACCTATTCGATATCCCTCAAATACTTTACATCATTGTTATGACTAAACAGCTATATAATATAATTTAGTTTTAAGCTATACATCATTTTGTATCTGTCTGGTAGGTACTCTAGTGGAAACATAGGCACATATGTACTAAGTTAGAAGCTTATTTGTCGAAATTAAATTGAATGTATTAAATCTATAGGTACCTATGCTATAAATAACTTTGTTGGTACAAAAGTTTAAGTTATACCTAACACTGGCAATTCGTATACATCAATGCTTCTCAACCTTTTCATAACGGCCGCCCACCTAAGAAGCAAAATATTTTTTCAACGCCCCCCCCCCCATTCATTAAAATAAAAATAAAAATATTATACATGAAAAGTTTAATATTGAATAATTAATAAAGATAATATATATATATGTACAAATGTGAATATAATGAAAATAAAATGTAAAATTTATGTTTAAATATAATTTAAGAGGATAATTAAAATGTTTTTAAATGTATTGATCAGTGAGATGGTTGTGCTTGGTGATCCAGAGCCAATTTTTTTACGTTTGGTTCAATGTTTGTGAGATGAAGGCGTAAGTCTCCTCTTTTGACGATGTCTAGTCGATTTCTTTTTTTAGTTATTAGATTCGTTATCGCACTAAATCCTCGCTCAACGAGGTAAGAGGAAGGGAAGGCAATTAATAATTTTTGTACGACAGTCCACAGCCCAGGATAAATTCGACTGATAGTAGACTGGAGCCAAAATTCTGTGAGGTTTTCACCATTCTTAAAACTTGCTTTTAACATCTCGTTAGTGGAAATTTCAATCAATTCTTCTTGATACTGTAGTTTTGCTGATTCAATATTTACAAAAGAGTTTATGACCCATTGAGGAACTTCCAGGGACAAAATATCTTCAAAACGTTGTGAAAAATCTTTATCCAAAGATTGAAGGTGTTGACAGTAAATTTGTGTGTCATCAAACGAGATCTTATTGTTCTTGTGTAGATCTGATAGGATTGGAAACTGGCTAAACTCGTTGCTTCCAAAATCGCGCTTCCATAAAGTTAGTTTTTTTTGGAAAGCGGAAATAATAGATTTAGTTCTTATGAAATGGAGCTCGTCGAATTGAAGTTGCAAATTGATGTCATTGAATTTTGCGAATAAATCGGTCATATAAGCGATATCGGTCTTAAATTGTAACTTCTCAGATCTACATCTTTCTCTTCAAGGAACTCAAGTATAGATTCGAATATATTCCAAAACCTGTTGAGGCACGCGCCTTTGGAGAGCCATCGAACCTCGGTGTGTAGAATCAAACGATTGAATTCTTCGTCGTTGTCTTTACACAGCTGTGCAAATAGTCGATCGTTGAGAGAATTACAGCGAATTTTATTGACAGCAGAGATGACATATCGTAATGACTGATGCAAACGGTCGCTCAGGTTTTTCGCAACTAAATGCTGTCGGTGAATCACGCAGTGAACAGCTAAAATACCGGGTACTTCTTTCTTTAAAAAGGCGATGAACCCACGATGACGACCCACCATTGCAGGCGCTCCATCAGTGGCAACAGACATAATGTTCACAAGAGGAATATTCTTTTCTTTAAAATAATCTTTGACTTTATTGAAAATAGATTCACCTTTAGTATCTGCTATCAAGGTTCTTGCAAAAAGCATCTCTTGTATGATTTTTCCTTCCTTAAAACGTCGAACATACGCCAACAGTAAAGCCTCGTTACCAGGCAATGTCGATTCGTCAACTTGAAGGGAAAATTTGTTGGATACCAAGAGCTCGCATAAAGAAACTTCTGCGTCTTCAGCCATTTCATCAATTCGTCGTCGCACAGTATCGTTACTTAATGGAACTTTTTTTATGACATTGTATGAGGCTGAATGGTGTAGAACTGTTTCTAGAACTTCCTTGACAGCTAGCAGTATTAATTGTTCACCAATGGTATGGGCTTTTCCTGATTTATTTTAGTAATCGATAAAAATTAAAACATTTACCAAGATAAATCTTGGTGCGTTGCTTTGAACGGAAAAAAAGTTCACCGCCCCCCTATCACCCAAAACGAGCCCACCGCCCTCCACCGCCCATCAGTACTCCTTCGACGCCCCCCGTGGGGCGATATCGCCCCCGTTGAGAAGCACTGGTATACATGAAAAATAAGGAAAATGTATAAAATATTATATACTTACTTGTTGAGTACATGTGAAGGGTTAATATCCTGGTCATTTTTTGAATTATTTTTTGTTAGCGCTATCATTTTATTTACTCTATTTCTCCGAGAGTTCATGTTGACAATTTAAGTACAATATGACGGTTCACGAATTACGGAAGAAAACGCAACAATATAAATTGAACGGCATAAATCATAATTCACAATTATGAAAAATGTCAAAAACGTAATTCAAATTTAAATGTACCATTTATTATTATACTAAAGTAGGTACTATATACATGTGGCATGTAGGTATTACCTACCTTATCACCGCAACAAAACAAAAATAGGCGGTAAGTTTATGCTGGAATGGTGGAATAATATTTTATTATGGCACAATAATAATTTATATTGTACCAGTGGTATAACCGTATTATAACGGTACCTTTTCATTATGAGATATTACATTTAAGACCGTTTAGAACTATTTCATTCTAAATTATTGTCGATACACTCTGATCCCGTCATAGCTTCTCAAAATCTCCAATCTCACATCAATCTCATGGAGAAGTGGTACACCGACTGGAGATTTAAAATAAGTCAAACCAAATCGGTTCATGCGACGTTCACCCTTAAACTCACCCCTTGCCCTGATGTCTTTATTTATAATACTCTGATTCCCAGTGCTTCGAATGTTAAATATCTTGGCTTGACCATTGATAAAAGACTGACCTGGGCCCAGCATATTAAGTCCAAAAAAATTAATCTAAACTTACGCCTACTACTACTAAAAAACCTCATCCACAATAATAATCACATCATTGCCAAATTACTAATCTATAAATCACTACTAAAGCCTGTTTGGGCATTTGGCCTACAGCTTTGGGGAAACGCAAAAAAAAACTAAGATAAACAAAATCCAAACATTACAAAACATCGCACTTCGCAAAGTAGTTAATTCCCCTCCCTATGTCTCTAACCACACTATACATAAAGACCTTAAAATGCCGTCAGTCTAGAAGCTAAAGCATATTATAAACGTTTCCATTTCCGCACTTTAACCCATCCCAATCCTCTTGTCAGAAATCTTGCCAATCCTACTATCCCTGGTAACCCGCCGAGACGGTTGAAACGAAAATGGTGTCGTGATCTATTGTTACCTAATATTAATATAAATATTAATTGAAAAAAAAAAAAAAAAGTGAAAATATAAAAATAAATTTTTTAAAAAAATGTAAGGCAAATTGAAGTTTTACTAATGGGTGGCTGCTTTCCTCAAAAATGTTTCACGTATTATGAACAAATATTATTAAGGGTATGATTTATTTTTTTTAAATTATTTGTATATGATAAATCTCATTCACATATACTTATTGTGCCATGTGGTATAGATTGTAGATTACATTTAAAAATAAAAAATAAAAATAATGAAAAGGTTGTAACTGATATTTCTCGATTTCACGTTTTTATGAGTTAGAACCTTTTCATTTTCTGTATCTCATTGAATATTCAACGGATCGATCCGATTCCAAGATTGAACTATACAACAAAAAATTATAAATGATTATATGCAAAAAAAACCATTTTTCAAAAAAATTGATTTAGAACGTTTTCATTCTGAGGCGACGAAGAATATTAATATACACATTTTTATTTTTTTCTCTTTTCTTGTCTCTTCATGTAGTTTTTCTCTGTGGTTCTGTTGTTTATATCATTCAGTCTGATTAATGCCCTTGTTCTTACAAGGCATTCAATAGCATCTTTTGGAATACACAAATCTTCAATGTGAGGCATCAGTAAGTTGGTCATATTTTAGATTCTGAACGGAGCGAGGGTTTTACAATAGTGTTTATTTTTATAATATTAATTCAACTTAATAATAACTAATAATAAAGAAGTTCCCAAACTGTGGGTCATGACCCAAAAGTTGGTCGCGATTATATTTTTAGTGGGTCACGCTATATTTTTTTAAATAATACATACTTTTCGTTTATGTTCAAAGTTCAATTCAGTTTTATCGTCAATCGTTATCTGCGAGAGTGACGATTACGAGTTTCCAGCGACCGTGTCAAAATTATAGGTTCCTATAAAGAAATATGGTCAGTAAACTGTTTTTTTTTTTAAATATTTTACCAAGGAAGGTATCTAAAAAGTTATGTACGTATGTATGTTACAGTTAATGACATACGTATAGATAATATAGTCCAAGTCTCAATCGTTTTGGTCAAATAGATTCTTCGGAATCTTAAAGGACTATAAAAACAAAAAAAAGATTTTTTTTTATTAAAACGAAATCAAGTAGTGCGTGAAAAATACAAAATTTCTGTAGTTTCAAAATTTTTATCTGACCATGGGTTCCGCGTAAATTCATCAGTTTTGTTTTAAGTGTGACGTCACTGGCCCGTCAACCACTAAGCTGTTATAATACGTATATTACTACGGGCACGCGACACTACCTACACAATAATCAATTTGAAATATTATTTATCTAAAAAACATTTTAACAAATAATAATACTTTCATTTATTTACAATTAATGTATTTATGTATTTATGTATTTACAATTAAGATACATTATTATATTATATTATATCGATATTTTTATGCTGTTTTATATACCTATTTTATTCTTAATTTATCAAATAATATACGCAATGATAAACCAAGTTGCCGATGCTTAATTAATAATAAAAAATACATTTTACTTCCATATTTTATTTTCTATTATTATTTCGAAACTTAAAAATTATTTTTTACATACCTTTATAATATGATAGAGTAGTTATATCAAAAACAGAAAATTAACTTATTTTTACAAAACTAAATTATTTACTTGAAAATCTTGAATATTTTGTTTTCATAAAATCTTCATAGTTTGGTTTTTATTGAGGTGCTATTGTTTGAGGTATTGGTACAGTCTCAAATTCTGTTATTGTTGGTGTTATTTCTTTAATTTTTTTTTATTTCTGACATAATTGTATGACGCCACTCGTCGTTACTAGGTTCATATTTGGTTTTTAAAACATATCGTGCAGCAGGTTTTGAATATACCATTTTGTCACCCAATTCTTTTTTATTTATATTATGATTATGGTCTAAAATGGCAATCATACTTCTCCTGTGCACACCTTCATACTTTAAATGGATTATTTTTGGCATATATTTTAAACGTAAGTTATGGTATGACTCTAATCGACCAGTGTGCACGAAGTTCTTCCAAATCCTTTAGTAAATCTTTTGACATAATGATTTTCTTCAAAGCATAGTAAGACTCACTATCTTGATTTAACCATAATTTTGATCTAATTTCATTTTCTGTTAGTTTTTCGTGTTGACATTGATTTTTATTACCATCTTCAACCCATTCTTGCTTATTAAAAATGTGATGTAATACAGAAATAAATTTATCAACTAACAATTTTCCATTTCCTTCACATGTTTGGGCAGACCACCAAAGATGGTAGTTTATTGAAGACTTCCATAAAAATGCATTAGGATACTTTTTTTCCAATGGTTTAAATCTCTTCATCAAGCTTTTACTCAAATGCCATACATCAAATTCTTGCGTAATTTTTGGGTGTTGTGTTCGGATAAATTTACGAATTCCTCTGTGTCTATCTGTAAGTAACAACTCAATTTCACAATTATATATACATTTTTTTAGTCTGTTAGTAGTTGTTCACAAGCTTGTCTTTCTAGGTCACCTTTTATTTGGACCTTTTGAACCAATTTAAAATCCACAATTTTGCCAGAGTGAATCCATTACAGAGTATGTACAGTATTTTGCACAAAATCCAGGGGAGTCTCCTACCAGCCAAATAGGTAACTCAGAAGACATAATACTATTAATATTTGCATTTTTGTGCTCTTGCCATTGATGACATATGACAGGGTACACGTATTTATTGATAATTTTATCAAACACCGGACGGGTAAACATTGAAAGTTTTATAGCTGTATAAAATGCTTTGAACTGATTAAATAAAATTCCAGATAATTTAAGAGCACTTATCAAAATATTTCCTTCCGGTCTTTTGTTGACTTTCGGCTGAGAATACCATTGTAATCTATGACCGTTTTCACAGTGTAGAAACTGAAAGAAGCGTACCTTGAATAAAATGTTGTTTTGATATAACTTTGCTACTACATTGGCGACAGTGTGTAAAAAGTTCTAATAGACAGTTCCAAAACACAATGAAACAAGAATCATTTTCAAAATTATTTTTGCAGTTAATGACAATCTATTATTTTTACTACTTGAACTACAGTTAATATCAGCTTCACTATCTGAAGAACAAGATTCATCGCTGGATTCTGATGAAAAATCGAATGATAAATCATCATTTACTTCTAAATTTGTATAAATATCTTTTCCAATTTCACACTATACACTCTTATAATTTGGATTAATTAGTTCCTCTAAAATATCTGAATCAAAACTAGTATCACTAAAATTAATCCCGTCGTAGTTTTCTACTAGCATCGATTTTTCTGGTGTATTTGATGGAATCAAACTTGCAGTCTCTGTGTTATACCTACGTTTTACTCTTAAATCACGTTTACTGGGTAAAAAATCAATTGTTTCGGATCGTAGAGTGGGTATTACTCCAGAATTCAAATTTATTCTGACTTTAGTATCAGGCATCATTTTTTATCCAAGAACATCAGATTGATTAAAGTCGTCAAGCTTAAAATGTTTGGAACACAACCTACAATTTTTGAATGGCTTAAAGTATACAAAAATCTATCAATTTTTTGTGTCTGTTTGGTGATTTTTCACGATTTGGAAATCTATAGAAATGTAAACGTTTCGAACTTTCATCACATTCAGAGCATCCATAAGCGGAACAGATTGGCATTTTTAAACCTAAATTATGATAAAAATTACATCGAGATTATTTTTACCAATATTAATATATATAACAATTACTATTATACCTACATAATATTATCATTATAATAGTGTAATACATTATGAATTATGATCAAAGAAATTGAAATTAACAATGAATAATTTTATCAATAAAAGTTAACAACGATCTAAAAATATATTTTATAAAACTGGCGTTACGAAAAAAAACACAGATAATATTATTATATTAGGTATCCCACAGTCAATAAGCGTCGTTGCCAGTCGTAGGCGTGTCATAAATAACGCTCGCTACAGTGCATATTTGTGACCATCGTATATAAATTGTTAAATTGTATATTATTTAAACGTGAACAGGAAAAATGAGTTTACAGCCTTATTGTTTGGAACCTATCCTACAAGATATTGATGAAACAACGTTAGCAACAATATCGGTTAATCCGTTAGTGGCGATTAGTTGCGATAAATGAACAAAAAAGGAAATCAAAGATTGGTGTTTATGGAAAAAATGTAGGTAGAACTATGAAAATTGATAAAGAATGTGTTTGTTGTTTCGAATTTGACAACTTGATAAAATTGCATGAAAAAAAAAATTGTATAACTAACATCTTTTCGAAAAGTTATTATAGAAGAGGAAATTCTCAACATCAAAAGGCATCAAATGATTATTAAAGCTTGTAAAAGTAACAAGAAAAAAATGCTTTCAAGTCCATGTCCCAAGAATAAAACTTGGAGATTTAAATGCTATAAACAATTTATTCACTGGATATCTCAAGGTCTGCAATAGGCAAAAGTAAATAATAATTAAAAAATATTTTGTTTCCATTATATAGGTTTTTTTAATAAATTATTTGAGGACCAGTAAATTGTAATAATTTCTACAGGTAATCGAATTACAGCATGTGTAGTGAAAGCGATTCGAAAAAAATATCCAGAAAATAATGGAAATTTACGTTGGCTTCAAAGAAAACAACAAAACTCCCAGAGTAACATTATATAAAATATAAATAGTAGGTAGTATTTTACCTTAAATGTTTTCTACAATATATTATATTATTAATAGGTACCTACCTATATAAGCTATAGTTGTATAGGAATAATGTAAACTCAATTACAAATAAAAATACACAAAGGATCACAACATTTATTATAAAATATTATTTTTGTAAAATAATGTTATTATCAAAAACTCAAGTATTTTAATAAGTCCATATTTTAACAAGTACTTTAAGTATTTTAATACTTATTCTTACCTAGTAGCTATAAGCTAAGTATGAAACCAGTATGAAGTAGTATGTCGTCCGTGTGTACAGTGCCGCAACTACACATTACGGGGCTGGTGTGCAAATCTTAATTTGGGGGTATAAATATTTTTTCAAAATGAATTTACCTATTGTTAATAAAATATGATAGCTGTCGTTTATATTATGAAAGGTTAATATTATAAGAAATATTATGGAAATTGTTAAATTGTACAGATAATGGTTGTATAATGTTGTTTAATTAAATTTATAATGGTTATAAACATAAAACATTTGTCAAATTATACTATAATTTTAACACATTTGAAACTTAATTATCCAACAGAATTGATTTTTTCTCGCTTTTGCACTTGTGAAGTTGTCAATGATTTTCTCTATATCTATATCTGAAGTTCTTTTCCTTTCTATGTTTAGTATGGAAATTCCACTGAGCCGTTCTTGACTTATGGAATTGCGCAAATAATTTTTAATTAATTTAAGCTTAGAAAAACTCCTTTCTGCCGATGCTACCGTAAAAGGAATGGTTAAAAATATAAGACCTGCAGCTAAAACATCAGCAAAACTTGTTGATAAATCCATATCAATTATATAAAAAGCCAAATTCTGTATGGTCTTGAGTTCCGATACAATAGTTTTAACAATTTTTGTAATATGTAGCTTAAGACATAATAATTGTCTTTTAAGTTCACATGAAACATCTTCTGTTTACAAATTTATAAAATCATATGATGATTTTATAATATAATCTTCATTTCGTTTAATAATGGTTAATGGTGATAGAAGTTTAAAATTATTAACTATAGTAAGCATTCCTTCAAATCGACTATGTAATTGAAACAGTATAGTATCCAAGACAGGTAAAAATACTTTTATTTTAAAATTTTGTTCATTAATATCAAGTCGAAAGTCACCATCAAAATCATCAAACCTTTTAGTTGCAAATTGTTTACGTACTAAATGGAGTGGCACTTTTATGTTCCATTTAGCACATAATTCTTTTGATTTACTTAATATCCAATCATAATTATTCCTTAATTGATTGATTTGACTAATTGATTGATTCATAAGTGTAGAAGCCATCTCAATGGAAATATTAACTCCTTGTAATAACTTTGACACAACATTTAAGATTCTCAAAATATTTTCCCATAAACATAAAATTAAAATAAATTCACTTGATTCAAACTTTTTTTTTAAAGTTAAACTTGAGTTTTTTTCATCTGTTTTCTTTGTAGTTAATGATATTTTAGTTAAGCACTTAACGACATCTATGAACCTCTCTTGTAAACAGAATACTGCTTAAATAAATTAAAAATATAAAATAGGTACCCAAATAAATTAAAAACATCTTGCACTATACTAAAAAATGAAAAAATCTTTTGTGAAGTTTTAGCAGCATCAGAAATTACTAGGTTTAAATTATGTGCACAACAATGGACGTAAAGAGCTGTAGGCACTATATTAATAATTTGTTTTTGTCCTCCAAAATGGGCACCACTCATTACAGAAGCGCCATCATAACCCTGACCACGACATTTTTTTATATCTAAACCAAACTTAGTCAGTATTTTCAGCGACAGTTCAGCATAATCAGATGAATCATGATTTTGTAATGCGAAAAATCCTGAAAAAGATTCCCTTATATCTAATGTGTGATTTTCATATTCAACAAAGACATACCTAATAATCACGCTCACTTGATCAATGTTAGTTATATCTTGGGTAGAATCGAGTATAATTGAAAACCAAGAACACTTTTTAATCTCTTCACATATACTATTACGTACCTCTGATGCTAAAATTTCTATAAGCTCGTCTTGAATTTTCCAGCTTAAGTATTTTACATTTTTTTTTGAATCATTTAATAAATTATGAACAAAAGGATCAAATTTTGCAAGTAATCTAATAGTACGCATAAAGTTACCTTCAATTTCTTGAAGATTACCTTCCTTCCCTTCGTTTTCTCGGAGAGCAGTATTACCAGATGTAAGTGTTAAAATTATATGAATAACTCGACGAAGAACATTCCTCTAATACTCTGCTTCTTCAGATATTTGTTTCTCTAAATCTGTATCTAATGTTTTATATTTTTCCCAGTATCTTTTAATTTCTGTTGCATTTATATGTTGAATAGAATTTTCATGTTTAGAAATTTGTTGTGATAAATGTTGCCAGTTGTCAACGCCAGAAATCCATTCATATTTAAAATGCTCGTATTGCCGGTTAGCAAAAAGCCAACAAAACTCACAATATGCTTTATCTAATGTTAAAGACTAACATAACCATAGTCGTGGAATTCGGATACTTGTTTTAGTTGTTATATAGTAATAACTAGTGGAAAAACATAAAATTTGATTGATGGGGTTTACATGGTCCGAATATCAAAATACTCTTTTTTGATGATGTGCAAACTTCACCTTCAAAATGTCTACGATCAGTTGGATACTTCAAAGTTAAATTTAGGCCACCAAAATATGAAATATATAATGAAATATATAAGTACCTATAACTTACAACTTATTTGTGCAATATTTATTGTTTTTTTTTAAATCATTTTTATTTAAAAATATACAGGTAATCAATAAACGTACCTTCTGAACTATCACTATCTTTTATAATTTCATTTTGTGGATCATTTTCAACAGCGTCTGAAGTGTTGGATACAACTGAAAAATAATTAGTAAAAATGTAATTAAAAATTTACACAGTATATAATATAGGTATCATAATAATGATAATACCTAATAGACTAGTTTTAAATTTTCTTTTTTAAATACATGATATTCTAATAATATAAAATTAAATATATAAGTACCTAGCTATAATTTACAACTTATTTGTGCAATATGTATTGTTTTTTTTTTTTTAAATCATTTTTATTAAAAAATATACAGGTTAGTGGGTTAGCAGGTTATAAACGTACCTTCTAACAGTGTTGGGCGTAATCGATTAATTTACGATTAAATTACGTAATCGATTACGATTAATTCATTGAACTACATTAGTTATTAATCGTTTAATCATTTTTTAAAATAATCAGTAATCATGATTACATTTTTGTAATCGTTAATCGGTTAATCATTATCGCAAAATTTATCGCACAACTACAATCTTGTATTATGAATTATATCGTCTAGCGTCTATACCTACTATATTATATTATTGAAATTATGAATTTACGTACAAGACATAAGCTATTTATAAATTCTAGAGCTACATGGCGCTATCGGCTATTGGCACTTATTACTGGTCGATAAATTGTACTTATATTTTTATCTTATAATTTTCAAAGGTTTTTTTATCTAAATTTATCTATAAACGTACATACGTACAGAAAAATATCGTTTGTATTTAGTTGGTTTGGAACATTGAAACATTACTGGTTTCATTTCGTTGTTTTTCGTCCTATATATATATATATATATATATATTTACTACAAACTACAATGAGTGACAGCGAAGGAACTTCAACTTCTGTACCACAAAATAATAAAAATGCATCATCTCCAGATTCTC